AAAATAAAAAAACACGTATTTCTTTTTTTTCCATATAGATTGAGAAAAAAATATGTTTAACCGAATTTTCAAGGTCATAGGTAAATCTTGCGTGGAATTGCCCATATATATATATATTAAAATATGACTATCAAATAAACACAATTTAATTGCTTTAACAAAAGCATTAAAATTGATTTCTTCTGATTCGGTTGACTTTCTTCCACATTTAAATATTATACCTGAAAAGTCGTATGTTTTATGCTGCCCAGATGGGTGGCGCTACCATATTATTGCATCACAAAATATAAGGAAAATACTAAAAGAAATCTACCTTTTCCAATTAATTAACTTGGAAAAAAGTACTTTGTACATGTTACTTATAGAAAATTGCAGGATTAAGAAAAAATTAGAAAAAAATACCCTTTAATAAGGGTGAACAGTTGGGCCCATAAATTTAAATTGTCAACTAGTTCTATATTGGGTAACAAATTTCCAAGACTTTTTTTTCAGTTCAGGAATAATGGATCGTGTATAAAAATTAAACTTAAAAAGATTCAGAAGAATTTTTAGCATTAAACATTTAAATTGCAAGAAAGAGAAAATAAGTATAAAGTACTTTCTATAATTTTCTAACTTTTTTCAGATAGATAGTACTTAGATTATAATTATACTAGGACTGTCAAAATAAGTATTTTACCAATTAATACAAATAAAACTTTACTGAGTTTTGTCATAAAACGTAAATAATTCACCACCCACTAAGAATATTGACATTATCAACCTAGTTATAAATATACATAATGATTATTCAATAACAAGTGTGAGGTCGTTTTAGTTATAATTTGACCTAAAAATGTGTACTTCCTGAAAGATCAAATCACACAGTCAATATTTTTTTTGCAATTATTGAAAACTAAATTTCTTTTTAATAATTAATGTTCGATTTACTCATATTTAAACGAATTTTGTAAAATAGATCAAAAATAACTTTTGTCAATTTAAAATATCTTACGATAATTATAAACAAATATATGGGCGATTCTTGTAAGAATTGTCAATTTTTATAAGAGAATTTTTTTATATTTAAGTACCTACAATAAAAATTACATATTTTTGCATATTTCTTGATCGACTAAGTCGCTTTAGGGGCCGTTCGTAAACTACGTCATACTTTAGACGGAGGGGAGGTGGAATTATTTTAGCGTGATGTTCTGTTGAAAAAATGTCGCTAAAGCATGTAAAATTTTTGACGTAAGGGGGGGGGGGTGAAAAAATAGTTCAAAATAGCGTGGCGTAGTTTACGAACGGCCCCTTAGTCGCTGTATCTATTTATGTTTTTTTAAATTAAGGTGAATTATTCAAAAAATATAACCAAAACTATTGAAATAAATTCATTTTTAAAAAAGTATACTACAAAATTCTTAAAAATAGTTTTTAAAAATTTTTGTGAATAATTTTTGGAAGATAATAGAATTTTTAATTAAATAATTTTTTAAAGAATTTTATTTAAAAATTTTGAAAATGATTGATTTCTTAAAAATTTCAATACTTCCACACAATAGAAAAAATAGGGTAAACCCTCAAAGCAGAATAAATAGAATAGTAACGTGAACGTATTCATGTGATAAAAAAGGAAGAAACTATCTTCCGTCTTTTTTTAAATCATGCTTTCCGTAGTTTTTTATTAGGCTCGTCCATTGCACACAGGTCAAATTTTCTCAAAAAAAATCAAAGTTGTTAAAAATTTTCAAAATTGTGGTTTTTACCGGGCATCAAACATTAAAGTACATTTATTTTTAAAAACGAATAACTTTTATCAATTTAGTTTGATTTTTGTTTATATTTTGGGTAATACCAAATTAATTTTCTCAAAATTTAAAGTGCAATATTAAAAAAAGAAAAATCCAAAATTTGCCCGGAAAAAAAGTCAAAAAAAATTTTGATTTCATTTTTCGGGCATTTTTGATTTTTTTTGTAACTGTGATATTTGGATTCCTTATCTTCTCCAGAATTTTTTGCAAAAAAAAATCTTGTTTTACTTAACTGTTTAGTTATTCCTTTCTATTATTTTGATTATTAAGTTGTTTATATAATTTTTAACAAAAACTTTTATAATTCTACGCTACTCGAATTTAATAACTATTTAAAACACTTATTTTTGTCATTAACATATGTATAAACGAAAATACTCTTTTGATAATCAACTTTAATTGTAAGCACTAGTGCCTGTTATGATCGTCTGATTGTAGGCTATAATATTTTGCAAATAAAAAAAAAAAAAAAAAAAAAAAAAAAAAATTAACAATTACTGTTGTTAATATTACATTTTAAATTGTTTAAAAAATCAATTATTATTACCCAAAATATAAACAAAATTTATAACTAAATGGATAAAAGTTATTCGTTTTTTAAAAAAATGACCTGTATTATTTACCACACTTTACAGAACTGCGTTCCGCTAGTCCAGAATGTTCTGTAAAGTTCGTTGGATTATTTATTTCCGTGTTTTATGCTTTGGCATATAAATGTAATTTCTCTAACAAATTTTTTTCCTGTCATTTTCTTGACTTTACTAACATGTGGTTATTCAATTCATAAAACAAAAAACTATTTCGAAGGGTTGTCAGGCATATTAAAAAGATCAAAATTTTTCATAATGACATTGATTTTAAGAGACTACTCTTTTAACAAGAAAAAAATTTTCAATTTTTTATAAAAGTTCAGTGATCTATAATGAGGCAACGATTTATTTTATTTTTGCTTCAAATTGACGTTATTTTAGAGCAAATGACTTTTAAGTAATATGTAATGTCTTAAATTTACGCTAACGTAAATTAGAGATGAATAAAAAAACTTTCTTGATATTTCGTTTTTAAAAACTTTGAGGATTTCAGTCTCATAGTGATCCAGAGTTGCCACAGATATTTAATTTTATTTTTCCCTGACTTTTCCCTGATTTTTAGACAAAATTTTCACTACTTCCCTGACCCTGAAGAATATACTGATTCGCTCTAAAAATTATTAGATACTCAAAGATCTTCATGATTTGTAATAATTTAAATTACGATAAAATTTTTCAAAAAAAAGTTAATTATTTACAAAAATCCTAATAAAATCCCTTGCAAGAATTCAATTATTTTTACAAGTAGTAAGATTTCACAAAAAAATTTAATTATTTTTAAAAAATGTAATAAAATTCGTTGCAATATTTCAATTATTTTCATAAATAATAAATCGATTATTCGGTAATTTCATTTTTAATTCAATTTTTATTAGAAACTTCTAGAAGAATTCAATTATTTGAATTAAAAAATAAATAATTTATTGAATAATTGAATGTTTGTTAAAATTGAATTCTCATAAAGAATTTTATCAATAAATTTTTAAATAATTGAATTCTTTCGACGAATTTTAATAAAATTTTTTTTGAAGAATTCGATTAAAATATGGTATCAAAAATAATTAAAATCCTGCGATGAGTTTAATTATTTATGAAAATAATTAAAATTTTTCTAAAATAATTTAATTTCGGCGAAGAATTTTCTTATTTATAAAGATAGTTGAAATTTTGATAAAAATTTTTTTTTAATTTTTGAACATAATTGAATTTCTGCGAAGAATTTTATTACTTTTGAAAATAATTTAATTTTTTCAACGAATTTTATTCAAGTTTATAAAAATAATTGAATGTCGGTGAAGAATTTTGTCATTTATAAAAATAATTGAATTTTTGAAAAGAACTTTATTAATTTTTTTTTTTAAATAATTGAATTCTTGCGACGAATTTTATAGAAATCTTTTTAAATAATTGATATTTTTCGAAAAATGTATATGAAATTTTGTATATTAAATAATTGAATTCCTGTCAAAATTTTATTACTTATGAAAAGAATTTAATTATTTCAAAGAAATTTATTAAAAATGGAATAATAGAATTCCTGTGAAATTTTGCCAAGAAGAATTTAGAATTTTTAAAAATAATTGAAATTCGATGAACAATTTTTTTATTTATAAAGATAATTGAAATTTTGACGAGAATTTTGTCTTTAAATTTTTTAATATAATTGAAGTAATGCTAAGAATTTTTGTAACTTTTGAAAATAATTGAATTTCTGGAATCATTTGTAACTTTTACAAAATTCAATTTTTTTAAATATTTTTAACAAAAATTCTTCTATCAGTCTAGTATTTATGAAAATTGTAAAAATTATTCATAAAATATTTTATAAGTCATGATTTTATGATAGTTCTTAAAAAATTAGGTTAATTAAAAATAAATTATTGTCAGAAATAGAAAAAATTGAAGGTTTTGTATTAAAATTCGTGATAATTTTGATAGTTTGCGAGGCAAACAAAAAAAACATCAAAATTCAGAGTTTTCTCATGAATTTTAAAAATTCAATTTTTTCCAGTACTTTTACTAAAAATCCCTGACTTTTCCCTGACCAATTTTACTTTCCTTGACTTTTCCCTGACTTGTGGCAACCCTATGATCTAACCTCTAAAGTTTCATCGACTTTAGTTTTTCTGCTCTTCAAATGCAAAGAAATAAAAAGGACATGATTATTAAGTAAAATGTAAAAATTTGAATCCGAGAAAAATAGTGAAGCAAATGAATTTGAATTTAAATCATTTAAATCTCTAACAAATTTAAATTAAGATTTATAGAAATATGTGACGCTCCACGAGAAAAGGGACCTTATGACAAGAGTAAATAAGGTCCCTTTTCTCGTGGAGCGTCACATATATAGGTAACTTAATTAAAATATTTCTAAAGTAAAGTTTGAATTGAAAAAATTAAGTTTCCAAAAATAGAAAAAAAATGATGAGAGTAAATAAAATAGGTAACAGTCTGTGATCCCTGTTCTAACTTTCACAAATTGTTTATTAATTTTGCTGAGATTTTTCTGTTAAAAACAAAAAGCAAATAAAAAGTATTTTGGAATTAGATATTAGTAGACATTTATTAATGAATTGCGTGACAATAGTAAAATGACTTGTGAAATAATGAAACTCACCCTGATTTCTCTGTGGATTCGGTGAAGTTTCTTGATTTGATTGATTACCAGCAGTTCGCGGTGTTTTTATTACAAGGTGTACAGTGAGACCATCCTTAATATTATGTGTAGCAAGAGTTTCATGATCCTTCATTATCTTTCCAGCAAAAATTAAACACAACTGATCGGGCTGAGCATCGAATTTCTTAGAAACTGCTTCTTTAAACTGTACATTTAATAAAAAAACGGGTAAAAAACAATAATAAGCAAATGCAAGTATTGTGCGAAATAATGTAATAATTAATATTTCCGTGAAGGGGAAAATAAAACTAATTTCAATTGACTCAACCTGTGAACGTGACTTACATCTTTAATTGACGCATCTTCCTCAATTTCTACGGTTTGTTTATCTTTCGGCGTTTTAATATTAACGTTGATTTTCTTCTTAGTGTCCTGACTTTCTGCCATCTTGAATTCCTAGATGACTGGCTACTTTGAATTTTCTCGGTAAGTACGCCTAAATAAAATGAATGCCTTCGAAAGCTATCAGTAACTTGCTATATGTCAGTAAAATTCACTTCAAAACAAAATGCCAACCTCACTTTCAAAATTCACTTCGACCCGTAATAGCACTCGAGATATGGAATTTCGCCAAATTTCTATCAATTTTTTTTCCCAAAAAAGCATAAACCATATAGAACGGATCCATGTACAAAAACTGCCGACGTGGTATTTTTTAGCAGTCAGGGTTTGGACACGGCACACGTGTCCCACCCAACATTCAACAATGGACGTAATGGTATGGTCACAACTCTACTGTTTGCGCAGACATTCATTCATTAAAGTAGGAAGAAGAATAGAGGCACATTCTGTCATTTTTTAAGCAGGCTTTTTTAACGAACGTTTAAACTTCGGTCCGGAAAGAATGGACAAGTGATAAACACATTTCATTGGTTCTGCCAGTTGAACTTTATCAATGCTTTTCAATCTTAATTTAAACAACCTATCTAATTTGTTATCTAATCTGTTACTCTTGGATAGAACATAAAATTACTGAAAATTTTTATCTTTTTTCGATAATCTAGAGGATATTATAGAAAAAATTAATCATCGAAAGTCAAACATTCCGGTGTCACTTGGAATTGAATGAAACTTGGCATATTTAAAGGTCGTTATAAAAGATGCTTATTTCCCTTTAAACTTGTTGCCATAATTCACAGGAAACAAAATGGCGGACACAATATGGCGGTAAAATAAAAAAAATTAGAATTTAATCAAATTTTCTTGAAAATTGATTTATTAAATTTCAAAATTTTGTCCACCATATAGGATCTAATATTTTGAATTTTGAAAAACTGACGTCAGATTTATAACACAGGACCACAAAATTTTTTCTAAAAGAAGTAATGACCGGACTATATTTTTTATATGATTTTTGGGTAGCTTAATTCGAATCTGAACTCAGTTTTGCGCCATCACGTCAAGTTTTTTTAAAATAGCAGATCCAATATGGCTGTCAAATTTTTTAAAAATATATCAGATTTACTTGAAATTTGTTACTCGGGGGTTCTTGGGGTCGCTGAATACGAATTTCACCTTAGTTTTTCAAAATGACGGATCCAATATGGCTGACGTATTTTTAAAAAATTTATCAGATTTATTCGAAACTTGTTACCTGGGGGTTTTTGGGGTCGCTGAATACGAATTTCACCTTAGTTTTAAAAAATCCAAAATTGCGGATCCAATATGGCTAACGAATTATTTAAAATTTTTGAAAACTAAGGTGAAATTCGTATTCAGCGACCCCAAAAACCCCCGAGTATAACGTTTCAGGTAAATCCAATAATTTTTTTAAAAATTGGTCAGCCATATTGGATCCGCCATTTTGAATTTTTGAAAATTAAGGTGAAATTTGCATTTAGAAACCCCAAAAACTCCCGAGTAACAAGTTTCAGGCGAATTGGGTGAATTTTAAAAAAATCGACGCCATATTGGATCCACCATCTTAAATTTGGACTATTTACGAGTTTCTTTGATTGTGTAACAGTATATAATATTTTTTCAGTGTTTTAAAGTTGTTCTTTAATAGAATCTTTTGCTTATTTTTATTTGAATCTTGTTTATACAGTCAGTTTTTTAGAATTTTATTAATTTGTGAAGAAACTTGACGTGATGGCGCAAAACTGAGTTCGGATTCGAATTCAGCGACCCAAAATACATATAAAAAACATGGTCCGGTCAATACTTCCTTTAAAAAAATTTTAGGGTAGCTGATTATAATCAGCGACCCCAAAAACCCTCAAGTAACAATTTTCAAGCAAATTTTATTAAATTTTTAAATTTTTAGTTCATCGCCACATTGGAACCACCATTTTGAATTCCATGATTTCCAGGTCAAATTTTTAGGAAGTTCCAGTGAAATTTTAAGTTTAATTTTCACGTCGTATAATATATATTATATATTAAAATTTCTAATTGAATTTCTATTGAAGAGAAAAGATGGAAAACAGGAAAAATTTTAAAAATTCCGGGCCTTTACCATGATTTCCAGAAGCCTTTTAAAAATTCCATACCATTTTCATGATTTCCAGATTCTACACGGAAAAAATTTTGGGTGACGAGCCGTTCCAAGTAGACCTTAAAACCATGCAAAATAGTTGCGCGCGCATCGTTTTCACGCTCATGTCGATGAAAAATATTGGGATCAGAAATCACGTAAAACTGACCCACTCCTTAACCTTTTTGTGGGAACCATCTTGGATTTTATCTTTTTCTTGAACGTATATCAGAAAGAGACGAAACGAAAGATGGCTACCACAACAAGGCTCTCACTAGATGGCGTATCGTAGTATTTCAGATCGCAATATGCCTTCTTTCCGGTTCGGACAACATTTTGAAAAGTGATGTGCCTTCTATAAGAATATTTTAAGTCTATGGCGTATGATGATTGAGATACGCCATAGACTTAAAACATTCTTATAGAAGACACACCACTTTTCAAAATGTTGTCCAAACCGGAAGGAAGGCATATTTGATATTGGGTGTACATATGTTAGGGTACGTTCACACGACTTTTGGAAAAACCATTCTTGTCTTTCTCTCTTCTATGGCAGAGGCTTAAGTTTGTCTCACTCTACATTTTCTTACTTTTTCCAAAAACTGAAAATATAGAGTGAGACAAACTTTTGCTTCTGTCATAGGAGAGAGAAAGACAAGAATGGTTTATCCAAAAGTCGTGTGAACGTACCCTTAGAAAGAGACGAAATAAAAAGACAACTACCAGAAGTGGGTCGACACCAGATGGCCTACACAGCTCTACGGTTCCCCTTCCCAATTTATTACTTACAAATATATAAAAATGTATTTCTTATAAATACCACAACAACTATTGATAAAATGCATTCAATTCACAGTAAAATTAAATATTTGTTAGGGTGCGTTCAGACCTTATCATGCAAAACTTATGCATGCAGGTTGCCATGGTAGCGTTCAAGAGTGAGAGAGATAGAATAATTTCCTATCTCTCTCACTCTTGAACGCTACCATGGCAACCTGCATGTATAAGTTTTGCATGGGATCGTGTGATTGTACCCTCAATTACGTTATACCAATAACAAACATATTTTATAAAAGAATATTCGTTGAGAAAATCGCACTTATCTAATTTGCCTTTCAAATACAAAGTTTTCTTATTTTAAAAAAATTATGGAGCGTTTACACCTTCTGTAAAAATTGTCCAGAAAGGAAAATTTGCATTGGAGTAAGAGAGTCAGATACACAGTCTGTCTCTCTTAATGCAATGAAAAATTTTCCGTTCTGGAAATTTTTACCGAAGGTGTAAATGCTCCCTAATGGAGAGTCCACAATATGTGCAAATATGTAGGTAGCAAGTCCAAGTGCAAGTGCGATTCCTATACATTTAGCATTGGTTCGCACTTGCACTTCTTGCCTTTTGCACCTATTGTGGACTCTCCATTAAGCTGCGGTTACACCTCTGCAGGCTGCCTGCCTGCGCACTGCTTAGGCCGCAGTCCCATGGCAGCGTTTTGCGTTGCGTTTTAATGAGAGAGAATGCAGCAAACGTATATTTGCGTCTTTTTCTCTCCCATTACAACGCAACGCAAAACGCTGTCATGGGACTCCACCCTTAGGCCTTAACCGCAGCCTTAAACCTCTTGAAAATCCCGCTTTGAAAACGTGACGTCAAGATTTGTATTTTTTCGGTAATAAAGTAGTTGCCTTCCGGCAGAGGTGTAAATGCACCCTTATGAAAGAGAAGGATGCCTGACCATTTGCAGGTTCTGTCTCGGGAAGTGTGCTGGGAGAATGAAGCATTTCTGTAGAGTTCAATGCTCAGTTAAGACTTTGAGAATTTCTCTTGGACACTGGGAAATGATTGGGTAAAACTACTTACCCTAAGGATGGGCATAGGGGGTCACGTTTATGTTTAAAGCTTAATTTATCTACTGTCAGTTTTGCTCATCTTACATTCTTACGAGTCCAATATTTATTAAAAAGCATTCTATACTAAACTGAAAATGTAAGAAATAATAATTAATGAAAATAAAGTTTCTGTTATTATGCAGATGTCAAAGTAGATTTCTCGGCAACTGTGTGTACTCGAGTTTCCACCAAGTGTGAAAAAGGTCGTGAATTTGATAGAATATCGATTAGTTGGCGAATTTGCTGCTGCTGTTGCTTCAGCTTTTTTTAATTATTCATTATATATAGTGAAATTGAAATGCAAAGTATTTCTCATCAACGGAATCACACATGTTTTGTCATTTATATTTTATGACGATTCAATGGCAAAAGCAAAAGCAACTCAAGTACGAAGAGGCTGAGATGCCAATTTCTAGAATTTTATAGCTGGTCAATTAACTTTTATTGGAGGTTGGTATTTCTTTCTCTATTTACTTTTCTCTTTAATTTTAACTAAATTTAACACAGCGCTTCATAATTATTCACTACTACTGTGCAATCTCCTTCTTTCTGAGTTTCGTTTATCTTTTATTGTCCGTAACCAAATTGTGCTTTCATCATTTTTTATTAGATTATTCTGCTCTTGGCTACGTTGGCTACGAAACAAATTCAATTTCTTATTATCTTTATTTCTTGTGCTTTTATTTTCATCAAGCAAGATAGTACTTTTGAATACTAATAAAATTCGAAAAGTAAAAAATCGCTTCTTTGTGATATGCTGTAGCTTTACATTTTTATGTATGTTTATTATCGCAGTGCACCTGAAATTTTTTCATTTCTCAGGGAAGTGAATGATAATGAGAAAACCTTTAATGTATCCGAATTATTTTCTATTTTAAGTTAATTTGCCTTTTTTTATTATTTTGCTCCATAATTATAATCACCTTTTAAAAATTGCAAGTTTTTTTAAATATGTATTTTTTATTCATCAAATTTATAATTTACAGTTGGATCACAAATAGTTATATTTTTTGAATACTTTTTAAAACATTTTTTTGTCTGGTAAATTTACTGGTCAAGAAATAAAAAGTTAATAAATTTTTTAGTTTTTGACTAATGGCCACAAACTTCAAATTATTTTTAAATAAATATCTATAATTCAGAAGCATTTTTTCAAAAGTTGATAAATCTGTACTTTGTTATTTTTAAAAAATTAAATTAATAACTTTTTCACATAATTGGTTAAGATAATTGTAAGGTTGAAAAATTATAACTAAATTATTTACTTTAGAATTTTTTTTACTTGAAATGTTTTGTTTCTAATTAAATATTATTTAATGAGAAGATTTAAAGGTTTTGTTTAACTGTCGGATATTATGACTTTTTCGACTTTTTTCGACTTTTTTCGACTTTTTTCAAAAAATTGCGACTTTTTCGACTTTTTTCCAAATAGTATGAAAAATAACTATAGACAAATTTTTCAACATTATATTTTTGAATAATTTTTTTACGATAATAAAATTTTAAAAATATACGTAGAGGAGAGTCTCCAGTTGTGAGACAGTCAATTTTTTTTAACATGCAATATTAAAAAGCCGATTGGTTTATATAAAAACATTTCTTTTTATATGAGCCAACTTTTTCGTGTGCGCCGAAGCGGATATATAAACTGTTTTTGTTAAATACCAACACTGTGTGTGATAATCGACTAAAAAGCGTTTTTTCAATAAATGCAAAGTACTTTTTTCCCATGTTAATTAATTGGAAAAGGTAAATGTAATGCATTTTCTTTTAGTGTTTTCCTTATATTTTGTGATGCAATATTGCATTGTTCCAATCTACGGTTGAAAATAATTTAATTTTCCTTTTTCAAAATAGCGCCAATTTCTGGGTGTGAGACACAGCATATCTCCAGTTGTGAGACGGTGTCAACACCCATCTGGGCAGCATAAAAAATACGACTTTTCAGGCATACTATTTAAATGTTGTTTTGATTTTTTTTTCTAGTATTTTTGGGCATGTCAAGTGGAAAAAAGTCAATTGATTCAGAAGAAATCAATTTTAATGCTCTTGTTGAAGCTATTTAATTGTGTTTATTTGATAGACATATTTTGGCGAATAAATATTATTATTTAGTATATAATAATATATATTATTAATATATTTAATTATTTCTACTAAACATAACGTTTCATATCAAACTTATTAAATTTTAGCAATTTTTAATGAGTGTCTCACAACTGGAGACATTTTTTTTTGTTGACAAAAGCGATGTGCTCGGAAAATGTATCGTAAAATTTTTTGAGTTCATCAAAACACTATACTTTCTTTTAATAAAAGTTGCGTATTTCTGTTACCTTTCGAACGGTGTATTTTATTTACAATTTCGTTTACCCGTTTACAATTTACGGGTCAAAAATAAAACCCGTCTCACAACTGGAGACTCTCCCCTATAATTAAAAAAATTTCGAAAAACTGAAATTTTATATTTAATTGAAAAATCTTTCAATATAAATTTAAAAATGAAAATTAATGAAAATTTGCTTCTTAAAATTATATTAAAATATATTAGAAAAAAGAAATTCTTCGAATTTTTCCATTCTAATTTAAATTTTTTTTAAATATTTCAATATTTTCACTTTAAAAAATTTAAATTCATACAAAAAATAACATTAAAATTTTTTATAATTATTTTTAACATTTTCAAGAACGCAATTAGGTATATTTAAAATTTGTGATTAAAATTCTTTGGAAAAATTGATTAGTTGTCTATAACTTACAGAAATTCTTATAAGAAATTAAATTATTTTCAAAAAATTATAGTACAATATTTTTAAAAAACTAATTCTTAGAAATATTTTATCTTAATTTTTAGCAACCAATTATCTTCGAAAAAATAAATTAAAATTCTTAAAAAGTTTAATTTTTAGACTTAATAAAATTTTGGAATAAACATGTTTATATTGTTTTATAATTAAAAAAATTGTTTAAAAATTTTATTATTTTTTTATATTTTTCGAAAATTTTTTTATTTTTAAAAGATTTTATCAAATTTTAATTATTTATAATTAAATTTAATTCTACAAAATAATTGAATTTTGGAAGGACTATTGTTGTAATTTTTAGAAAGTATTCTCAGAAGATTTTAAATTGAAATTATAAAAATTTTATTTCCTGTAGAAAAATAAATAAGAAGTATTTAAATATATATTTAATAAAATTATTCAAGTTTTGAATAATTGAATTTAAAAATCAGTGAAAGGTCTGGGAATTACAAAATAAAATTTTTGTGACAACACTGAATTAAATAAAATGACTTTTTCGACTTTTTTTTGGTATTTTTAATCGACTAAAGCGATTTTTTTGCGCCTTAAAGTCGATCCGAGGCCTGTATTACCACCAAAAAATGCGAGAAAAAATGGTTTCTAATAATATTTTTTCATAATCCTTACTAAAACCACCTTACATTAAAAATTCATTTACTGTTGAAGAATTGATTTTATATTTAAAAATTCCTCAAGGTTATATAGTGATGCCTTTTGATGTTTGTTCTTTGTTTACTAATGTTCCAATAGAATTTGTGAAGATATGTATTTTTGGAAGATCATAACTTCGATCGTATTGAAAGTAAACAGCTAATTTCACAACAAAATTGCTCAAATTTTATGCAAGTGTTATACGCTTTAATTTTTTTATATGGATTTTTCTGAAGTGCTACTTTTTGAAATTTGTTGCTCCATTAGATTAGTTTTTTTTATTCGTGAGATTTTTTATTAAAAATACACGCTAATATTATTCACATAATTATTGAGCTGAAGAACGTAACGTTAAAACATTAACGAATACAAAGTCGTGATTATCATTGTCTACTAAAATTTGTTTCAATTTTAATTATTATCATTTCAAGGAAAAGGCTTCGGAGATGAAAAATAAATTTTTTTCACAGTTATAACATTTTATAACATCGAAATATTCCATTAAACTTACTTGTATATTCAATTACATAGGCATGCATGGTTTTTTTATTTTTGATATCGGAGTTGTTTCTTATGTTCCAATAAAATGCTGCACAGCAGCCATTTTGTAATGAAATTTTTTTGAAAAAATATATTTTGCATATCAATACTCATGGAATAAAAGGTACTTTCAGATTTTTAATTGACCATTTCATTGAGCCAAAAAAAAAAATTCCTAAAATATGCCTAATTTTCGTGATGTCCCCCCTTAACATGTCTGCAACTACTACAAAAGCAAACTTTAAAAAGAATATGTATATTTTTCCTTTATTTTAGTCATTAATAAATAGAAAAATCATTATATAAACCCAGGCGCAAAAATGTTTCGTTTTTTTGGTTGAGCTGTGTAATCAAGTATCCATTCAAATAGTTGCAAAACATAAACTAAAATTACAACTGTTTTTATAAACTTTTAAAACAAAATAAAATAAAGCGAAATCAATTGGATAAACAGTTTTTGAGAAAAGTGTACCGAAAGTTGAGTCTTTTTGCATTGTTTTAAGGGGTTACGCCACCCTAAACGTATGTAAATTGGACGGTTTTTTTAAAGAATTTTTGTTTACGAAAATATTTAAGATAAGATATTTTTAATACATTTTTTTAAATTTTTAGAATTTTTTTTTACGAAAATATTTAAGATAAGACATTTTTGAATACATATTGTAAGCTATGTAAATACGAAATACTCTTTTAAAAAAATTAAAAATAGCGGAGGTATGCAGCAGTGCATTCCTTGATGGTGGGCATGATTGGCATTTCAATTTTTATCTGAATCAAGTAAAAAAAACATTTTTTCTAAAAAGTGATAAATTTTGTACACAGTGACGTAGCCGATTTGAAAAAATTTATTTTTTACGTAAATGGGTGCACTTTAAACTTAGATATTATTAGCCCAAAAAATAAAATCTAACTTTAAAGTGCTCCCATTTACGTAAAAATTTGCAGTTTTTTGTTTAAATAATTGTAACTTTTCTTCAATTTAAATGTTGAACTTTTTTGCAGATTCTGAAAAGGAGGATTAAATACGTAACAATAACCCTACACATATTTTCCATCAGTAATCAACTTATATAACGATGAACGTTAATTTAAATAAGAAAAACGGACATATGGGACTGAATAGCTTAATAGGTAATGTAATTCTATTCTCTTTATAATTTTGTTTCAAAAACAGTGCACAACGGAGTTGTTTTCCGTACCTAAGGTCATTTTCGGACATTTATGCATAAGTTTAAAATGTTCTATAAAGTAAAACATTTTAAGACACATTTAACACATCTTTTCTTCCACGAAAATAGAAACGTATATATAAAGCTTGAAAGTGGTGAAAATATTTCAGAAAATTTTGTTACTTTTCACATATTATCATATACTACAAAAATACCAAGTTTGAGAATTTTTAGTCAATTTTTATGAGATTGAAAAAATATTAAGTGATTTTTATTAAAAATTACATGTATAAAATTAAATGTATAAACTTGGACAAAATAAGAACCCCCCGTAATGAATATTCCCCAAATAACATTTGACCGAACTGCATTTGTCAAAAGTTACTTTTGCGAATTGTCATTTTTGCTAAAATTTCTACTACAATTCGCATAAGTAGCAATTCTTGAAAGTGACAATTCGGAAAAATGATATTTCGCATAAGCGACAGTTTGAAAAAGTAACAATGCGTCAAAATAACATTTTGTAAAAATGTCAATTCGCTAAACTGACAATTCTCTATAAGATCCCTCTGTTTACAGATAGGAATGCCATTTTAAATCTACAAACGAAGTCATCAATTTTCCCTTAAACGAAACTCACATGTTTTATGTTTTTGGGGTCACTGATAACAAAATGACCTCAGAAACTCGAAATTTAAAATGGCGGAACCAATATGGCTGACTGAAAGTGGCAAAACAGTTTGCTGCCGGCTCATAATTTCTTGACATTCCAATGTAATAAAATCATTAAAAAAATTCAGAAAATTTTTCACTGCTTGAAAGTTAAAATATTTTATTTAACAAACATAAAACATGTGAGTTTTGTTTAAAACGGAAACATTTTGACAATTAGAGTCGGCAATATTGGATCCACCATTTTGAATTTTAAGTTTCTGAGGTCATATTCGTTATCAACGATCCCAAAAACATAAAACATGTGTGGGTTGTTTAAATCTGAAGCATTTTGACATTTTATTTTAAAAAACATGTCGGATTTATATTTCTAGACTTTTTTTTTAAATTTAGGCATTCTATTGTAATCTTGTTTTTTCATTCCATCTCTTATGCATTTCTTTATACACTCTCTTAACCCCTCCCTACTCCTTTCGCATTCTTCGTCCTACCAAACCCTTCTGTCTCGATGCTGTTTGGTCTCATGTTGCTCATTGAAATTGTTACATCAGGATTTAGCCAGCCTACTTTTGAAAACAAATTATTTTCAGACAAGTCATACCGCATTCTTATTTCCTGGCAAATTGTAATTAAAAATTATCGACAACAAAATAAAAAATTGTCAACTTCTTCTTTTCTACTAATTGTATTGGACTTTTGCATCTTGCGTAACTTTAATGCCCAAATACATTTGATTTAATGGCAAACACAAGGAATTATTTGCAGGATCAACACAGTCAAGCTTTAGCCGATTTAATTTATTTCGATTCATATTGCCTAATAATAATTCCGTATAAAGGGATTTCAGTTTTTCATCAACATGTGTGAGGGCAGCATTATCACTTTGAAAATATTCATTAACAGGAACTAATTTTTCTTCAAATTACTTAGCTGTAAAAAAAGCTCAAATCAAGTATCAAAAAATGTGAAATATCTATCTTGTCTGTGAAAGAGCTAACATTTTATGTGGCCCTACTTCAAAGAAATGTTGAAACTCCACGAATTGAGCTTGTCTCACAACTATATTTAAAAAACGAATAAATAATTCGTATACCAAATCTTCACAACGTCTAGGTAAACATTCGCAAGCCTTACTTGCACTTAAATCTAAAGAATGGCATATACATTTTGACAATCGAATCCAGGCAATAAATATTGCATTCTTTTAGCAACACCATTATCTATGCCAAACATAGTGTTACAGTCACCACTACAAAATCCGATAATTTGATCAACTAGCACATTATCTTCTTCAAAATTTTGAATTAGACATTCGAAAAAAATTCTAAAAGTAGCACCTTCTTCTGCTGCGTCAGGATCATTACCATTGAACACATTTACCGGTTTCTAAAATTGGCTCTGAATAGATTTTAATTCTTCATCGAAGAAACGAACAAAAACAGACAAATTTTTTACGTTTCCAACTTTTTTTGATTCGTCAATTATCACACTGAATTTGACATTTTTAGAATACCACTCAAATCCGAAATACATACAAGATCTGCTAACGACGTTCTTAATTATTCCACTAGCTTTTGCTTTCCCTAGTGTGATCGATTTTCATATTTCTGAATCTTGGAAAGCTGATTTTAAGATTTTCGGGAGATGGTCACAAGATCTAAATGATGAATTATGCTCTACGATATAAGAACTGTAATATTTTATTTTATTTTTCATACAGAAAATATATATTTAAAAGGTGAAGTATCTTTGAGACCATCCAATTTCGAAATAAATAAAATATAATTTACGGGCTAAAGAGATATGAGGCAGAAAACAGTAATGATTTACAGAAAAATTTAATTTATTAATCAACCCCCGAAGATCTTTTAATACATCCAACATTATTCTATTAAATTCTTCCACTCTAATTGAAAAGAAACAATAACCGTAATATGGGGTGTGAAGGGATCGAAAATAAGTTTGAGGCAACATTTATATATGTTACAGGACATAAATCGTTTAATGAAAAGCGTTTTAATTCTAATGGCGGTCCTCACTTTAAGAATCTGTATTGATAAGTTTGATCACTTTTAACAAGTATTTTTACTAAAAACCGCATAAACAAATAAATCCCTTTTAACACCCCACTAGTTTTCAAAATAGTAGGTTAGACAATGAAAATCAAGATATCTCGAAAACTAAAGCAAATAAAAGAATTTTGAAGTACACGATTTTGTCATAACATCGACATAGCTTCACATAATATTAAAAAACGTTAACCAACCTTGGGAACACAATGTTTTTCAATTTTAAAATTCTACCCAAGAAAACGTGTTCTTTACTGAAATCAAATGACAAATTTGTGTTAAAAAATTATTTTAAACTCAAAAAAGAAGTTGAATCCCTTAACACCTCATATTACGGAATTGACGTTGATGCGGATTATTGATCCAAGATCATAAATTCGCATCAATGAACAATTAAAATAGCGAAGATTAGACTATTTTCCTTCTTCAATTACACGGACTCTCATTATCTAAACAAGTCCCATGCGTTGAATGTTTCCTAGATGTTCGAATCAACTTATTTCTTTTTGGCAGTTTGAAAAACACCTATGGTTTAAGTACAGACTAAGACAATTTACCTAGATCCGCAAGGGTCTTGGTGGCATGTGGACTAACTAGAAAATTCTATTAGTAAGAAAAGGATGAAGATACGTCTATTCTTTTCTAACTAATGGGATTTTCTAGTCAGTCCACATGCCACCAGAACCCCTGCCGGATCTAGGTAAATTATTTTGGGTACAGTGTAGAAACTACGTATCTTTAAAAATGTTTTGGTACCAACGAAAGTACTGCACAAAACCTATATCTATTTATTTGTTTATACACCCGTATAAAGCCTACAATCTTGGCTATACAAGTGTTTTTACAACCGTAGAATTTTCTCTTTATAAACATTCTTATTTCACTTTATTTATTTATTTATTTACATACGGGTCAAGCACTATAATTAAAATCTAAATTACAATCCGCAACTAAATTACACAAATTTGGCATTATAAGAGTTGGGCGTGCGTTATAAATTTGAATACAGTTGATTTTGTCGTAATTGTGAGGTAAATATCAAAAGATTGTTTTATTTTTTGCCTCTCTATGAAGTCTGTTTAGTATTGAAAAATTGCCAAAGTTAGTTCTATAAAAAGTTACAAGAAACGAATGATTATTTCTAGTGGATCTAGGTGGAACACGCAAACTAATGAGAGTTGACAAAGAAGGACAATAGATAAAGCCATTCAGTAATTTATAGAAGAAAGCATATCAATGTATAAGAACCTAGATGTAAGCAATGGGATATGTAGAGTGGTTCGTAAGTTACTGTAATGATGGGTGTTCCAGTCAAATGATAAATTTAGTTGCCGAACATCAAATCTTAGAAATTTGTTCTGAACACGCTCTATTTTAATTATATTAAAAGTATAGAGTGGTACCCAGACTACAGAGGCATATTCCAAAATGGATCTAGCTAGATATAATTAATTTGACTAAATCACATTTTATTATTCAAAATCTTTTGCGCATATTACAAAAATAAATAGAGAAAATAAAAGAGGTAGAGTCAGAAATGTATTACCTAACTGCTCTTACCCTACCCTCTTCTACTTGAAATGACAATCAAACAATACAAAAATATTAATAATTATATTTATATTCTAAAAATAAAGTGCTTATTTGATTTCTTATTTTTACTTACAAGTTGTAATAAATTGTTTTTTGTTTCTTTTAGGCAGATACTTAAGCATGGAATAACTGTCTAAACTCGAAGAAAATACAGTTGCAATAAATAGAATTACAATGGATTACGGGAGCAGCATGGGGCCTGTAGCATGTCCAGTTTGTACTCTTTATCTACGAGAAGGAATCAGTTTACAAAAACATTTGGATACACATCCGAAAGAACAAGTAATTGAGGCTCTTATAAAAGCCAGTGGTGCATCCGTCCCAAATCAGATACAGGAGCCCCAAAGTCAGATATCACCATTGCCAAGTCAGATATCACCATTACCGAGTCAGATATCACCATTACCGAGTCAGATATCACCAATACCAAGTCAAATTACTTCTCCGTCACCAGTGAATTCCGCCTCTCATGTTTCGCCTCAGTCTCCTTATCCAGTAGGTCCAGTTTTTGAATGCCCATCAACTCTAAATGCAGTTATCTCGCCACCACAATTCGCTTCATTCAGTTATCAACAGTTCGTCAATAATGGAACTGTCATGATACCTCAGTACGCGATGGCACCACAGAATAATCATATGATGCAAATGCTCTATTCTCCATATGGCATGTATCATCAGCAACCAATCTCAACCATGCAAATGATTTCACCTCTTGCTCACACAACGCCCCCTGCAACTGACAGCACAACAAATTCCACCATCAGATACAAGTCTCCGAATGCTTTAGCAGGAGGTGATTCTGTCATCAAATTGACTTCACCTGAAAAATCGTACAATTGTCCTGAACCTAGACCTGTTATATCGGAAATTTTAGAGGATACTGAAGCCTTGCTGCCTAATACAGACATTGATTTATCATCCCGTTCACCTGTTAATAAAGAACGGCCGGCCAAATGTGATAGAGTAACCAACGATCAAGTCAGAGTTGAGTATCGGGAACAACAAACACAAGCTTCTAATGAAGATGATCGCAGTGAAGAATTACCAACAGAACAACAAAATTACCCGGAAACTGCAAATCTTGAAGCAGAAAATAATGAGAATAGAATATTTCCGAATTTAGAACAAAAAGAAGCAGTGACATCTGAATTAATAATCGAAGATAGTGATATGGTTGTCGATAAAACATCTGATGATGCTGATGTTGAATTACCTGCTGATCCGATGGATAAAGAGGAGACTGAAAAGGAGACCGAAAGTGAGAAAACAGACGAACAAGAACTGGAGAAGCAGACAGCGTGGAATAGTTTTAAGGAATCTTGTGAAGATGAAAATGACCAAAGTCGGAAATCACCTGAGGTGGAACAATTAGAACATCTTTTGATAACAATCATAGAATCAGACTATGATGCCAGTACTGCACGTAATACCGATGTGCAAAAAGTTCTAATTTCCACTGATACTTTAGAAAGAAGTGAAAATACAGCCGACAGTGATAGCACCGATACTTCTGATTTAAACAAATCTTCCACAACTGACAGTAATTTATCAATTAATTTACTCGAGAGTAAAACCTATCACTATAAGCACAGTTTGTCAGCGCCTTCATCGCCAATTTTCTTCAAGAAATCTCATAGAACTCATTCGCGCCTTTCATTAAGAGATGACTTCCGATCAAATGAAAACATCTCTGCGTATCCTTTGGGATTCGAAGCAACGGCTTTAGAAAATTTTGTCAATAGAAAAAATGAAGAGGATCCCGATGCCGATATGGAGGAAGTTGCTTCCACTGTGCTATTCAAAGAATATCACGAAATTGAAGATGAACCTATGAGATCATACACACCATCATCAATTGGTAGCAGCAATTCTGTCCTGCGAGTGCGAACAGATCTCAATAAATCTGGACCTCTTTTGTCGAATCATCTACTCCATCAAACCATCAATGTGGATGAAGTGATATACGAGAAAATTAATTTCCCACAAATCGAATCATCTCCCGAGGAACATTTGCCCAGTACGAATATTCAAGAGAACATAAGCAATAAAGAATCAGAATCAGAGAAGTTGAAAATAAAGGATGAGAAACGAATGACATCAAAAGAAAGTGCCACAGTTCATAATTCTCATAATCAATTGACTGATAATATAACGGAGAATACATCTCGTCACATAGTATCAAAAAATTTAGATTTCGATGAATCTAATGGAAATTCAAATTCAAAACCCGCTGAATCCAACAAAATGGTCTCTCAAAAGCCAGCACCGGAACTTTTTAATATAAATGAAGATGCTCACAGTGGTCCAATGAATGTTTTTGAATTTGATGGTTTGCAAATATTGGTACCAAGTACTTTTATAAGTGAACCCTCCGATAAAGCAATCAGCGGTACGAGTCAACAATCAATGTCCAGCAGCGAAGGAGGAACTTGCATAGATGAAGAAATTAAAAGTATCAATATGCGAGCAGATGAAAGTATGCCACCAAGAGGGGAATTGTCGGAGCAAGAAAGCAATGAATGTACTGATCAGTCTACTTGGCAGGTTAGTTCAAGTTTTTTGTAAATATTTTTATTATTAATCAATTTTGCATCAAATAATAACCGGTTTATTTCTTCATAAGCGACAGAAATAAATATTCCAACAAAAAAATTACATTTTTGAATTCTAGAGACAAACCTTTATTAAATTTGTAAGAGAAGGTCGAGACCGATGTTTAATTTTCAATTTGCAAAAATTTAAGCAGAAAAATTTGTTCTAACACGTACTGAATGTATATCATTTCTTACCTCTGTAGCCGGAGAAAAGTATGGCTTTCTCTACTAGTAGGAGGGAAAGCCCAGTAACGTCACTGAGAAAGTTAATTTCTCTTTCGACGAAGTTAACCCATTAAGTCCCATGAAGTAACAATTGGATTCATAAGCAACTTGAAAAAAAAGATATACCTGTTTTTTTGTTTTTAATTTTCAATAATTGTTTAACAATAATTGTTTAAACAGATTAATAAAAATTTTTAAATTTTTTGAAAACTTAACGCCAATCAATTCTATGTGAAAAATTAAGAAAGTTTTGTATGGGTCATATTTTTTTCCAAGACGTATTTTGTTTATAGAATTGTTATAAACAAATTATATAATAAATTACAAAGCCACACACAAAAAAAAAAAGTTCTGATCTGGGGGTCTCACTATGTAGACTTTATGTTTTTTGGGTCGCTGAATCTGAATCCGAGGTCCATTTAACCCCATCAGATCAGGATTTTGACATAACCTCAAAAAACCAATATGGCGGACACATTTTTGAAAAGTTCATCGGATTCGCTTGAAATTCATTACTCGGGGGTTTTTGGGGTCGCTGATTACGAATTTGAAGTCAGATTTCAAAAATTCAAAATGGCGGATCCAATATGGCGGACACGTTTTTGAAAAATTCATCGGATTCGCTTGAAATTCGTTACTCTGGGGTTTTTGGGGTCGCTGATTACGAATCTGATGTCGGTTTTTCAAAATTCAAAATGGCGGATCCAATATGTCTGTGTCAGCCATATTGGATCCGCCTTTTTGAATTTTCAAAAATGGACTTCATATTCGTAATGAGTGACCTCGAAAACCCCCAAGTAACAAGTTTCAAGCGAATCCGATGAATTAAAAGAAATGCGTCCGCCATTTTGGATCCGCCATTTTGAATTTCGAAAATCTGACTTTAGATTCGCTATCAGTGACCCCGAAAACCCAAGTGTACCCAATCTCACAAATTTTGGTCGCCAAAAAATTTCTTAACATTTTGGACCCACTTTATAGATTTTTCTCTTCATAGCGAAGGGGTTAAACAATTATTGTTAAAGAATTGGAAATTAAAAACAAAAAAACAGGTATATTTTTTTCAATTTGTCTATGAATCCAATTGTTAATTTTACTTAAAATCCATTTGTTCAAGCTTGGGATGAAACATCCTTTATCCATTGTAATTTGTTTATAACAATTTTATAAGCAAAATATGACCCATACAAAACTTTCTTAATTTTTCAGATAGAATTGATTAGCCTTAATACTTATCATAAATTTCCTACATTGTCCTTTACTTGAATAGGGAGTTTGCATCAAAAAAATTTTATGTTTTTTTTAAGAAATAGTAAATATAGATATATTTAAAAATATATTAGCGTTCAAAGTTTTCAATTTTTTTATCGATTTAAATTAAAAAAATTTTTGATGAAAACTCCCTATTGAACATTTTAATATAATTTTCATTGAAAAGATTAAAATGTATGAATTTCTTGTTCTTTTGAAGCAGAGATAATTATATTTGACGAGATGAGAAATCTAAGTTAATGAATGCTGGAATAAATTGAATTGTGTTTAATGGAATTTGAATTCTTTTTGTTAAACAGATTTATATTGGTCAAGAAGCTTCACGTATGTCAACATCATATGATCTCATGGCGCGGGAAACTTGGGAAGAATCAGAAGGTTCAGACAATGAAATTGGAGGATCTCTTCTGGATTCTAGATCACTAGCTACGCATTTTACATCGAGCTTGTTTTTAGATCGTGATCGGAAAACGCCCACACGGCGAATTTTCAAGTGTACACATTGCACAGAGGTTTTTGAATGCCCCAAGGAACGCAGGGTTCATATTACAACAGTCCACAAAAATGCCGGTGCCAGTAACAGTAGGGAACCCATTCAACAAGCCGAAATGAAGGACATTAAATTGCTGGATGGACGCATGAATATGTTTGACGACATTTTCGTAGCTGGATTACATGTACCACAAACATATCATCAACCTTTGTTGCATCAACTCCAACCACCGCAACAATTGGACGAGGGACGAGTTGAAACTGACATAAAAGTAGATAATTTGAGAGTTTCAAGCACAATTGAAATTTCATGCAATATTTGTAACCAAAGTTTCTCCGGTGAAAAGTCATTGCAAATTCATCAAAGAAGAATGCATATTAAAGAGGCCGTGAAGCGCGTTCGGGAAAATGCCAAGTGTCAAATTTGTAATCAAGAATTTCCTTCGGTTATTTTGTTCAATGCTCATTTGAAGATTCATCCCCTAGAATGCGGCCAGTGTGGTAAATATTTTTATAGGAAACAAAACTTCAAGTTGCATGTGAAGCGACATCTTGGAATAAAACCATTTCCTTGTACAGTTTGTGACAAGGCTTTTCTCACGAAACAAAAGTTGGAAGAACACACCAACGGCCATACTGGCAACGCTCCTGTCAAATGCAATCTATGTAACGAAACATTTCGACGCTATTCAAATTTAACACAACACAAGAACAGACATCATTTGCACGTGAAGAAAAAGTTGAAGGACTACATTTGCCATTGCGGGGAGATATTTCACACGAAGAAGAAACTGGCATGGCACAAGGAGACTCACGATGAAAAACCAAAAGCATGTACATACTGTAACGAGAGATTCATTCATATGGCCAGTCTAACTCGCCATATGCGTCGCGCTCACAACCGAAGGTTCGTTCCTGATGCTCAAAGAGAAAGTGAAAATGTAGAATGTCCGATATGTAAATGCATTTACTTACGATCATCATTAGCTGTACATATGAGAGTGCACAATGGAGAGCGACCTTACGAGTGTCAAGTTTGTTCTAAAGCATTTAGTACGAAGTGGAATTTGCAGCTGCACAAGTGGACGCATGCGGCAAGAAGTACTAAACCATTCAAGTGCAATCAATGCAATGCTGCTTTTTATCGACACAGTGATTACACAGCACACATGAATTCTCACAGGAATGTTCGTCCATATACGTGCAATTACTGTGGGGCTCAGTTTATTAGAAAATACAATTGCCTTAGGCATGTTAAAGAACACGAAGAAAATAAAGCTTATACATGTGATGTTTGTAATAAAACTTTTCATAGATCGTATTACCTCAAAGAACATTTACGTGTGCATTCTGGTGCAAGACCATATTCCTGTCATATTTGTGGTAAATCAAGTAGCACTAAATCCAATCACAATAAGCATGTGAGAATTCATCATGCACGTGAACCTGTAAATACCGAAAATTAATCTGCTTCGTGTGTATGTTCATTTTAATTTTTTAAGCGGCTTTAAATCAGTGTATGCCTCTTAAAACTTTTAGTAAAATAAATTGACTTATTGTCAAGTGTGCCTGTGCGGCTAAAATTAAATGTAATTTTATTATTAAATTCATACAAACTTTTTTCCTTACATTACTTACCTTACTTCCCTATTATATTAAATGAAATACCGATTTCATAAAATCAGTTATTGCGTTCATTATTAACAAGAGAACGAAAAGGAATTTGTTTAAACCATCCCACTCCTTCAGTACAGAAATCTCAATATCTCTAACAAAAATCAATATTTAAAATTGAATCATTGATAGTGAATCTCCGAAGATGCCTCAAGAAATTATAGGTAACAACGCAGCGTGAAGATTTTTTATTTTTCAATTTTTTGTAGTACACTTGAAAGCCAACAAATCGATGGTAGTTGACATGGAATACTTACTTGGACACCACATCTTGATTCAAACGATGACGAGAAGACCCCCATGATCAGCAACAGGGGATACGTTGTAATTAACTATAATAATCGTCGTATTTTGTCCGTTCTTTCCACACTTGAAGTTAGACTTTTGTGCATGCTTTTGTTTTCTTGATATGTTTTGATATAATATATTATGCACTTCTTTATTTTTTTTACCATTTTTTAATTAATTATTATTATCTTTATTTTTCAAATAATTCAATAATATTTTCATTAATCTAAAATCTATTAAAGACGGCAACGACAGATACCTTCATTTTTACATGTAAAAAAACCTCTATAAAATAATCTGCAAGTCACAAATCTTAATGGATTTTCAAATTTTTTTTTATAACAGTCAGCAATGAACTTTGAAGACATATCTCGAGGCCGATTATAAAATTTTTGTTAATTGTTAATTGTTTAACTGGCCTCGTAAACCAAGAACGAAGTAAAAATTAATTTGAGTAATTCAGCGTTTTACAACCCTAAACATCGTAATGAATAAAAAGTTAGTTAAAATTGAAACACATTTCACAGATTAACTAAAAATACTAAAAATAAACGAAGACAATTTTAGAATCATCAATTTTTATGTATTTAAATTTTAACTCACAATATCGCAACAAGTGATACCGTTAATAAGATTAAGACTTTAATTTTCAAAAAAGTGAATTAGATGTAACTACACTTAGTGAAACTATACTGCAAATCCAAAAACAGCGCTAAAACTCTATCTCGCTGCTCGGAAAAAAATGAATATGCGAATTCATACTATCTTGATTGATGAACAGCAAGATACTTCATCTGTTGTGAGTATGCAGATATTAGGTTCAGTTCATTTTTTTTAAATATCCATTTGTCTAAAATTGAGTAAACATTTGTTTAGGGTCATGATGTGGAAAACAATATAACATAATTTAACTGTCTACTTTGTCTTCGTCAGCAGATTAAAAAAACAAGACAACAATATTATTAAATAAATATTTTAATAATAAACTCTTAATTGTTTAGTAAAACAAACTTCTTGTGCACTTGTCACATTAAATTTATAAACCTTAAATTCATTGGTAAGCTGTTAATAAGTTGGCCCCTCGTTCCAATGGATGTACACATATTTTAGGGGTCAACAAACAGTTTTCATTTTTTTCAACTATCGTGCACCGACTCAATTAAGCTGTCAAAAATATATGTTAAATAAGAAGACATAAGCTTGCTTTTCTGAAATTTTGAAGCTCGCACATCCAAATAAAAACGGTTAAATAAACTTTTTAAATTTCAAAGTTAGTTTTTTCATCGATTTTTCAACAAAAAAATTTAAATAATTTTCTGTGTTTAAAAGAAAAAAATTTGTCCATTAAAATTGGTTTAGCCATCTTTGAAAAAAAATAATTTTTACTTTTTTCGAAAATCACTCATTACTTTTAAGATACAAAGTTTTATAACGTCAGTTCAACACACTAATTTTCATAACTAAGGATTTGGCTATACTTTTCTAAATTTATTAATTTTATACTGATAAACAACTCCACTAAATATTTTTGTTTAATTTTGAAAATTACCAAAAATAAGGCATTTTCAAAATTTTGGTCTTTTTTTATAGTCCTATAACTTTGGTTCTAATTAACCGATTTTGAATTTTGAAAAAAGGATTTCTTTGGTTTTAAGTTAAAATTAATATAAAAAAATTCAAAAAATTTTTTTTTTAAATTTTGAAAAATTGAAAATCCGTTTTTGAAAAAACATCATCTTCGATTTTTTTCAAAATTTTACTAAATGTTAGGGCAAATGTGCTTTACATGTCCTGTAAGTTTTATCTTGGGATCTCAAAGGGATTCGGAGTAAAAAAATAAAACGTAACCACAAATTACGAACATATGGGGCAAAATTGCTCAACTGCCCAGGTAAAAAGATGAATTTTCTCTAAACTTTGCTAAAATGTTACTATTATTAGTAGAAGTGTAAATATTAATTTTTTTTTAATTTGATAAAATATTTTTTGACTTATGGAGTTTCAAAATTAATCAAATTTAAAGTATGAATAGTAATTTTTAAAGGGGTTTTCACGAACTATAAACTGGTGATGAAAAAAAAAATGTTTTCTTTGAATTTGACCTTTAAATTCAAGGTAATGTAAAAATCAAAGTGGGACTATGGAACTTTTTGAAGAAAATAATAATTTACCATTATTTTATATAGAAAATGATGATTTATATTTATTTTCTTCAAAAATATTTATAGCATTATCGCCGTACACGTGGTTACGTTTTATTTTTTTTACTTCGAATCCCTTTGAGATTCCAAGATTAAACTTACAGGACATGTAAAGCACATTTGCCCCAACATTTAGTAAAATTTTAAACAAAATCGAAAATGATGTTTTTTCAAAAACGGATTTTTAATTTTTTAAAATTTCAAAAAAAAAAATTTTTTTTGAATTTTTTTTATATTATTTTTAACTTAAAATATACTTAAAACCAAAGAAATCCTTTTTTCAAAATCCAAAATCGGTTAATTAGAACCAAAGTTAAAAAAAGACCAAAATTTTGAAAATGCCATATTTTTGGTAATTTTAAGAATTTTTTTAAATATTTGGTGGAGTTGTTTATCACTATAAAAGTAATAAATTTACAAAAGTACATCCAATTCCCAACAAGTCATGAAAATTAGTGTATTGTAGAGCTGTGCAAAATAATTCGAACCGAACTGTTCGAATTTTTTCGCCTATTTCGAATGTCGAATATTCGACATTCGACATTTCGGCGCCCCAAAACCGAAGTAAACTCGGTTCGGTTCGAATTTTGCACAGCTCTAGTGTATTAACCTGACGTGGAATCCACCTAATAGAATATGATTATTTATATAAATATGGCAAATTTTCTCAAGTGTACCAATATCAAAATTGCAAGTTGTTGTATCGGGCTATAATATTTTCACAGTATTTCACAGAATAAAAATTGAAATATTTTACAATAAAATAAATTTAACGCAATTCTGAAGTTACTGCTGTAAAGCATTACAAAATCCGCATCCAACGAGCCCCATAAGAAGTATTTTGGATAATTTGACGTTTTATAAATAAATATTTGTAAAAATTAATTAACAAATGAATATCATTTATAAAAATAAAGATAAAGTGTTAGTTTTTTTAAACTAGTGTTTATACAATTCTACTTAAAAAAAAATGAATTCCAGTTATTTACAACGATTGTTTGAATAAAATATTCAACATCTTTATGTGGGTGTCGCGCTGCATAACCAACTTCCCGGTTTAATATTTTTTGACACTTTCTAAAGAATATTTTTATAATTTCTATATTTTTGAAGTAAGAGATGATTACATACTTGCAAAGTTTAGTGAAAATTGTGTAAAGATTTAAATGTCCCACTTAAATAAATGTTTAGCGTGAAACTTTTATGAAAATTTAAATAAAATTTCACGCTAAATTTTTGTTTATAAACAGAGTAGTCGAAAATGTAATTTAAATGTTCAGAAAAGTTTTATGATTAACATTTATTGAAGTGGGACATTTAATAAATCTTAAAGTTTGCAAGTTAATCTTTAATAGATTTTTTGGAAAGTTTCGGTGCTGTGTGGGAAACATATTAAAAATAATTTGTGTAGAGTTGAAATGTATATGGGCAATTCCAGGTCAGATTTCAGTTCACATTTTAAATTTGGCCAAAACAATTTTTTTTTCATTCTTTAGTGAAAAAAAATGGATACGTATTTTTTCATTTTTTTTTGTGGCCAAATTTCCGAGTTACGAATTTTTGAAAATTTGACTTTTGGAAAGTAGACATTTTTTAAATGGCCTACAACTTGAAAATTATTGGATTTACAAAAATTTCGTTAAAATAAATAAAGTTCAGTTTTTGTTCAACTTTTAAATGCTGTTTTTTTTTAATTTTTCTTAAAAAAATAAAAAAATTTTATAAACAGATTAATTTTTTTTTAATTTTGACATTTAAAAAAAATTTTTTTTTTAAGGAAAACATAGCTGTCAATGATAAGAATAGTTTGCAAAATGTTTCAGAGTGGTCTTCTTGAATTTGATGGTTAAAATAAATTTTTAATTTTGGCGTGCAATTTTTACGCGCGCTGCACTGTGCAAGTTTTTGAAATTTTTTGAAAAAATTAAAATTTTTCAAAATCCATACGATTGATTATTTATTATCGTAAGAAAAACATACAAATAATTTGTCAACGAAAAATTATAAAGAATGTGGAATTGGTTGAATTTTTTAAAAACTACTAGTAAAATTTGAACCATTCAAAAATGACCATTTTTAGGAGTATCAATTTTACATTTTTTCAGTTACCTGAAATCATATTACACACATATAGAAAATTAATAAAAGTAATTTTAAACTGATTTACAATTTTTATTTATTTTTTAAAAAATTTGATTTTTCAAAAAAATTAAAATTTTTGAAAAATACAAAATTTTTGAAAATCCATATGATTGATTGTTCAGAATTATAAAATAAGTATAATATATCAAAATCGGCAATGACAATTAATAAAAATTACAAGAGAAGTTCAAATTTTTATTTTTTGAAAATTTTGATATTTATTTTAAAAAGTTTTAACTACATAATTAAATTTTTTTAATTTTTCGAAGCATATTATAATTTAAAATACGAAAACTTGCTTGAAAAATTAATATTAATCACCTATAAACAACAAAAATTTAGATGACTTGAAATTTCACCCCTTAAGTTCCTCCCCTGAAGTTAGTAAAACGTGCACGCCAAAATAAAAAATTTATTTTAACCATCAAATTCAAGAAGACCACTCTGAAACATTTTGCAAACTATTCTTATCATTGTCAGCTATGTTTTTCTTTAAAAAAAATTTTTTTTTAAAATGTCCTAATTTAAAAAAAATTAATTTGTTTATAACAATTTTTTATTTTTTTAAGAAAAATTTACAAAAAAAATTTTTTTTAACAGCATTTAAAAGTTGAACAAAAACTGAACTTTTTTGTCCTAACGAAATTTTTGTAAATCCAATAATATTCAAGTTGTAGGCCATTTAAAAAATGTCTACTTTTCAAAAGTGAAATTTTCAAAAATTCGTAACTCGGAAATTTGGCCACCAAAAAAAAAAAAATAAAAAAATACGTTGGTATCCATTTTTTTTCACTAAAGAATGAAAAAAAATTGTTTTGGCCAAATTTAAAATGTGAACTGAAATCTGACGTGGAATTGCCCATATAGTTCAATAATAAATTTAGAAAACATCGTATATATGGTTCAACTGTATACAATCTAAACGTATACAGTTCATCAATGTACAGTTCAAATGGGTGCACATATGAGGCCATTAAATTAAATTAAATAATAATAGAAAACATTCTTATTGTGTAATAAAAAAATATTGTTATTTACATTTCTTTATTTTTAATTAAATTTTTTTAGATACAAAATATTGAATTGTTAATGTGGCTATTAATTTTTTTAACCTGTGATTCTACAATTTAAAAAATGAAAGTCTTTTGTTCTGAAAGAATATTTTCTACTTGTCTTGCACTGCAAGTTTCGCAAGTTTTTGTTTGAAGTTTCCTTGAAACTTATACACTTTCCTTAGTGTCTAAGTGTCTTCTAACCAAGCTTTAAGCTTAGTTCGAAATTATAAGAATTACTCGATTTTTATTTAAACTTATCTTTCTTCAAGTAAATTATGATTCGAAAAGAGTGAAATTTATTTGTTAACAAAGCAAAAAATATTGTTATACTTTATTTTAAGCATACCTATTCAAAATTCAAAATAAGTTTTATATTTCATGTTAATTTCTCGTGTAAATTTTAACAACAATTTATTTTTATGTTCAAATTTTGTAAAAATTTGATTTTTGTTGCTTTCCTGACATTTCTAATTCTTTTAAAGAAGTGAAAAAAAGAACTGTTCTCTGTAAAAGCTGTAAGCCTACCTAATTTCTTTAAAATTCATGAAACTGTTCTCTAGTTATGTACGTTACACATACAATCGCACACATTTATCCCACTTTGTGATCTAAAGCACATGTGATATATATCTATACGTATGGAGATGAAGTATGTAAATCGTTTTGAAAAGTTTCTAATTTTAATGAAACAATAAAATTTTCTTTTAAACAAGCAAAAGTAAATTTAACTCGTTTCAAATTATGTGCTTATTTTTTAGAAACTAACAATATTAAACAAAATAGAGATTTGACAAAATTGAAAAAAATTAATTACTTCAAAAATATATTATTCTGCTTTATTTGAACAAAAATTAAAAGTTCTGATTATTTTTACTATATTTTTAATTTTATAATCATATGATGATAGTAATTGCAGTAAAACCAAAATTGAAAATTGAGAATGCATATTAATTTTGATTATAATAATAAATAAGTAAATATATTGTAAGCAACACTAATTCATGACGTTAAATTCTGTGGGTTGTTTCACATTTTTCCCCTTGCCTCTTCCAAGATAAATATCCTACTACTGTCTCTCGTACTTCTTATATTTTCTTTTCTTCATGCTTTTCTCAGACATCAATTTCTCTCCCCTCTTTCATTCTTTCCACGTTTCTCCATCTCCTCATTCTATTACTCATCAAAAGCTTAGTTACTGTGAAAACTTTAAAATTCTTTCACTAAAGAATTCATCTCTTTATAATTGTTAATTTTGATAATTAATTCTTAATAATCTTGATGGCCAAGATAAAATAGAAAAATGTTTGACTTTTTCTTTAGTGAAATATCAGTAAACAGTAGTAAAAAATGTGGATATTAATAACAGTGCTTCTTACATCGCATTTATATTTCTCGTTTTGTTTATTGCCAAGCACAAAAGAAGGTATTTTGCACTCTTTATAAATACATAATTTAAATATATAAAAGAAGTTTTGTATTTTTGGCGCGCTATAAATTGTACACAAAAAGACTTGTGAGAAGAAAAGGGAAATTGTACGAAACAGAATATATACATAAATTAACAAACATATTAAACTTTATAAAAATATGAAATATTAAATTATGTACGCAATAAATTATTAAAAATTATAAAATAGTAGGGGAATGTAGTCAAGGTTGGCCTACTGTCTAGGTAGGCCACTCGCGTTTTTTTTTCAAGTTCACTAGCGCCACCTACGCGCATTTTTGTCGAAGCTTGTCTTAGTGAAACCTAACTTTTTGTTCAATTACATTTTCGGAAAATCGAAAATTGTGTTTTCTGTGACGTCGGTACAAAAAAAGCTCAAAAAAAGTTTTGTGCATAATGTGAAAAACCATTAATAAAAGATAAAAAACAAATTGAATCGTCAAGGCAAGTATGCAGAAAATTTGTGGGACTCATGGTTGAAAGGAAAACAAAGTAAAAAATCGAATCCCGAAACGTATTTCTTTATGGTTACAACAATTCGGTAATGTTACTTACTGTCAAGGTCGGCCACTATGTGTTTAAAATGCGCAAAGTTGAGGACGAGCTACTTCATTTGCAAAAACTGCAATTCTGTATAACTCATAATATAATTGATCATCTTATTAATATTTTTATTTAATTTTATTAATATTTTAGTTCAAAACTTTTTTTTATTTATATTTATTTTTTTATATTGTTTATTGTTATTATTTTGTTATTTCATTAAGTTACAAACTGTAAACAATAAAGAATCAATTTTCCGTAACTCCAAACATGTTATTTTATTTTTTAACGATTAATGCCCTTTGAATTTTAAACATGGCCGACCTTGACTGTAATGGCCAACCTGGACTACAAATTTTTTTTTTTTTAAATCTTTATAACTTTTTCATTTTTAAACCTGTCAATTTACTTTGTACAGAAAAAATGTTCCTATTAAACAGGACTTTCCAACCATATACTTCAATTGTCCAAATTCATTTTTAAAAAAAAGTTATAAACAAAAGTCAAAAAGGTGGCCGACCTAGACTATGTTCCCCTAAAATTAGAACGATTTAAATACTATATATATTTAAATTCTACAACGTTAAAAACTTGCACGAACAGCGTACACTTTTAAATTAAGAATTATTAAACTCACACAAATAACTTTTTAAATTGAACGAAATTAAATTTTACTCCGTTGAACCCCACATACATTTATTTCTTCAATTTTTAAAATCTTTCGTTTAGTTACATTGTACACTGTATAAAACTCTGTACACTCATATTTAATAATAGAATGAATAATTCGTTAAACCTGGAACAGTTAAATTGTACAACGTTGAGTATTACATACATTTATTTAATAATTAGAAAATTAATTTTTTTTTAAATCCTATATCTACAATTTAATTGAACACCGTTAAACGTACCTACATAAATCTATTTTTAAAATATGAAAACTATCTATTATTATATAAAACTCTACACAGTTAAATTCTATAATGTAGAATTTTTCACATCTTATTAGCTCTGTCGAGTTCTGCAATGTAATATAATAACAAAAATAATTTCGTTGAATTCCAAACCTTTAAATTCATCTATAAGCATTCGTTTTTTGTTTAAAATTAGTTTAAATAATAACAGGGTTGACACAAAAATTTAACTAATTGTTTTTCCCTGATTTCCAGACAAAATTTTAACTTTTTCCCTGACCCTAAAGAATATTCCAATTCACTCTCAAAATGATTAGATACTGAGAAAAATATTCTATTACATTTATTTAAGAATTTTTTTAATTGTAAAATTGAGGGTCCCTATCAAAGAATCGGTTATAAGTTTTTTAAGCTCGAAATCATTGCCCTGTAAATAAAAAATTAAACTGTTTTTAATCCCAATTTTTTGAGAAACATTTGAGTATTCTTCATACCAATACAAAATGTTTTCAAGAAATTAAAATTTTAAATCCTTTTTTTATTTAGAGGTCGAGAATTTTGAGTCTTAAAAACTTATAACCGGTTCTTTGATAGGGACCCTCAATTATTCAAAAACATCAATAATATTTTATTTAAAATAAATATTCAATCATTATTCTTTTTTCCATTAGAATTAAGATGATCGAAAATTTTAAATTCAAATTTATCTTGAACAACTCATAAGAATATTATAAAACAAAAAGAAATCGTTTTCTTTGTTTTATAATAATTAAAGATGACCTAGTGACAAAATCATTATTTTATATTATAAAAATATTGTTACTCCAACTTCTTCAAAATTATTTTCATCATTTCAGTTCAATTACAATTTTTAACTAAAATTCTTCTTTAAATAAATTATTTTTAATAGTTTTTGAAAAAGTTCTTTAAGAATTTTCAAATCCATCTGTTCGCAATTCAATTTTACGAAATTTCGATTATTTGAAAATTCTTCAGTTAAATATATTATTAGAAAATAGAAACTTAAAATAAACTTAAATAAACTTAAAATAAAAACTTTCAAAAAAAAAAATTCAATTAAAATTTTTGAAAAAAATTAATTCTTTAGAATTGCTAGTTAAAAGTAGAAAAAATTCAAATTATCAAATATTTTAGTTTGAAATCTCTTCAAAATGAAATTATTTCTAAAAATGCATGCTATTATGCTTTTAATATTCAATTATTATATAAAATTTTAACTAATTAATTTTTACAAAAATAAATAATTTATTGAATAATTAAATATTTCTTAAAATTGAATTTTTATAAAAAATATTAACAACTAATTTTTAAATAATTCAATTCTTTTCTCGAATTTTAATAAAGTTTTGAAGAATAAGTGCAATTTTCTATCATTTTATTTAAAATTGTAGAAAAAATAATTGAAATTATCTGCTATAAGGTTTATTATATTTATGAAAATAATTTAATTCTTGCAACGAATTTTTATTAAAATATTTTTAAAGAATTAAATTCCTGTGAAGATTTTTATATGGTGAAAATAATTAAATTCCGGAGAAAAATATTATTATTTATGAAAATAATTGATTTTCTATGAAGAATTTTATTCAAATTTTTTAAAATAATTTAACTTCTCAGAATTTCTTTAAACTTTTTGAAAATAATTTAATTTCTTCGAGAAATTTCATTAAAAACTTGAAATCCTATTTAAAAAATTTGTTATTTGTGAAACTAATTGAATTCTTAAAAAGAATTGTATTGAAAATAATTGAATTGTATCGAAAAATTTTATTAAATAAATCTTGTAAGGAATGTTGTCAACATTTTTTTGAATAATAGAATCTTTTATAGAATTTAATTCAAATTTTTTAAAAGAATAGAATTTTTCAGAACTGTTTTCTTAAATTCTCTTAATATAATTGAATTCTTTCCAGAAACTTGATTAAAAAATAAAAAATAATTGAATTCCTGTGAAATTTTTATAAAAATTTTGTTTAAATATTTGAATTCATTTGTAAAATTTAATTAAAATAGTAGATATTAAAAATAATTGAAATGAGAAAAATGTTTGCTACTAATTGAAATTTGTCCAAGAATTTTATGAAATTTTTTAAAAATAATTTAATATTTGAGAAGAATTTCGCTATCTATTTATAAAGATAAATAATTCTTGACGAGAATTGTTAAAAACTTTTGAAAATAATTTAATTTCTGGAAAGTGTTTTATTACTTTTCAAAAGAATTGAATTCTTATGATGAATTTTGCTATTTATCAAAATAATAGAGTTTTGGAAAAGAATTTTATTAAAATTCCTTAAAATAATTGATTTTATGAGGAGAATTTTGTTGTTTATCGAGATAATTGAATTCTTTTGAAGAATTACTTAAAATTTTTTTTTTTAAATAATTGACTTTCTGCGACGAATTAAAAGTTATTTATGAAAATATTTGAATTATTGCAGCGAATTTTATTATTTTATTGAATAATTGAATTCTTTCGTTAAGTTTTAATAAAATTTTTAAGAATAATTGCATTTTTCGAGGAATTTATTTAAAATTATTGTATTAAAAATATTTGAAATGCTGCGATGAAATAATTAAATGTTTTCGTAGAATTGAATCAACAATTTTTTTCAATAATTAAATTTTTTGATAAATTTTATGAAAATAGTAAATATTGAAAATCATTTAATTAAAAAAAATTTTTGAAAATAATTGAAATTTTGCAAAGAATTTTATTTAAACTTTTAAAAATAATTGAATTTTTTGCGAAAAATTTTGATATTTATAAACATAATTGAATTCTTGACGAGATATTAGTTAAAATTTTTTAAATTAATTGAGTTTCTTGAAAAAATTTTATAACTTTTGAAAAGAATTGAATTTTTGTGATGAATATCATTATTTATGAAAATAATTGAATTTTGACAAGAATTTTTTTTAAATTCTTAAAAATAATAATTGAATTTTTTGAAGAATTTTGTTATTTATATCAATGGATATTCTAAATTAGAAAAAAATGCATGTTTCTAGATACAATATCTTGTGCCAATTTAATATGTATATATGTATTTAGTTTTTGTAAAAAATTCGTATATTGATGATTCTCTAAGAAGTGGTAAGTTTTGCCTACGATAACTTTTAAAAAAAGATTTTCATTTAATACTTTTTATGCAGATCTCTTTAATAAATCTTGAAAATAATTATTTTGTTCATATTTGAATTTAAATTTTTCTGTTTTATATTAACAATTTAAAAATTTGTAGTTTAGAGGCTAAATAATAAGTTTATGAAAAGTCGAGTCTTGTGTATCCCTTCTAGAAGAAATCGATTGACCACGATTCAAAACGATTAAAAGTTATCAACTATCCAACGTTTACAATTGAGGGCGTGGATCGGATAACTGCCTGTAGCGCATGGCTGAAAGGGACTATACCAGTCAGACAACAGTGAGCGCCTCCAGGCCTCTCACTGATGTCTGACTGGTATAGTCCCTTTCGGCGATGCGCTACAGGCTGTTATCCGATCCACGCCCTCAATTGTTGCCAATTGGGATATATAGTTTAACACGATTCAGAACGATTCGGAGTTAACCAGAATTTATTATCAAGATTTTTTTATTAATTTTTACAGAAACTGATTGTTGTGATCAAGTTAGTAACCGAGAATGTATGGAAACTTGCCGCAGAGTCCTTCGTTCAACAAAATCTGAAACAGAAATTCTAGATGCTTTAGAAAGTAAATGCGGTCCTGTGAAACCTCATTCGCCTATGTGGAGCTGCCTGTTAAAATTAGTACCTTCTAAACTAAACAAGTTACCATTAGATGGAGGTAAACTTTCCTGTTGTGCAAAAGCAAGCACTACTCATTGTGAAAATCTATGCCGAAGGACTTACTACACCGACTGGCAATTATCTTGGACACAATTTGAAAATGAATGTCTATTATCTAAGGAAGAAAATGAATTGAAAATTTGCATTGAAGATGCAGAAAATACTTGTAAATACGGATGCACAGGCCTTTCCTTTTGCTCACATTTCAACAATAATATTTATACGCCCTTCAGGTATTATTTTCACCTCTCAAGCAAATTTATGTCCAGATAGCACAAAATACTCGCATTGTGAGGTTCGGCCATTTTCAATTTTTGAACACTAACATCGAATTCGTAATCAGGAGGCGCATGATTATTCCCCAAATGTCATTTAACCGAACTGTCATTTTACCGAATTGCATTTATTCGAACTGTCACTTTTGCGAAAAGTCAGTTTTTCGAATTGTCATTTTCACGAATTGTCACTTTTGCGAAAAGTAATTTTTGCGAAATATCATTTTTACAAATCAACATTTTTACGAATTGTCACTTTTGCGAAAAGTCATTTTTTCGAATTGTCATTTTTACGAAATGTCACTGTTGCGAATTGTCATTTTTGCGAAAATTGCTATAGTAAATTTGTATGCATATACAGATTTACTATAGCAATTTTTGCAAAAATGACAATTGGCTACAGTGACATTTCGTAAAAATGACAATTCAAAAAAATGACTTTTCGCAAAAGTGACAATTCGTAAAAATGTCGATTTGTAAAAATGACATTTCATAAAAATGACAATTCGTAAAAATGGCGATTAGCAAAAATGACATTTCGGAACAATAATGATTCGTAAAAATGACAATTCGTAAAAATGATATTTCGCAAAAATGATTTTTCGCAAAAGTGGCAATTCGTAAAAATAACAGTTCGGATAAATGCAATTCGTAATTTACTTTGTTCAAAGTTAACTGAATCTTAAAAAATTAAGATAAAAAAATTACAAGAAAAAGTTTTTTTTTTAATATTGTAATGGAATTTTTTGAAAAGAGTTGGAATTTCTTAAAAGAATTTTTGTATAATTTAAAAAAAAATAATTTTTTCATGAATTTTGATTAAAAATTTTGAACATGATTAAAATAATTGAGGGCTCGGATCGAAGAACCGTCGCTTCGCAATGTTCTGTGCGTTTACAAGCGTCGGTTCTTCGATCCGAGCCCTCAATTGTAAAAAATTTTAATGTAATTATTTTTTGTATGTATTTGAATTTTTGGAAATTTGTATTTGAAAATGTTATGTTGAAAATAATTGAATTTTAAAAAATTAGAATACAAAAATATTTTATAAAACACTTTGAAAAAATCAATTATTTTCAATTAAATTTTACAAAATTTCAATTATTGAAACTGTTTTTTATTGTAAATTTTGAACATTTATTTAGTATTTATAAAAATAGTTGAATTGTTTTGAAGAAATTATTAAAATTTTAGGAAATAATTGAATTTTATAAAAATATTTGAATTCTTCCGAGTAATTCAATTAAAGATTTTTTGAAAATAAGTGAATTTCTGCAAAGAATTTTACTATTTATAAAAGTAATTGAATTATTTTCAATTAAATTTTACAAAATTTCAATTATTGAAACTCTTTTTAATTGTAAATTATTTCGAAAATTTAATTAGAAAAATTATTAAAAAATAATTTTTTAAGATTTATCTATAGTTATTTTTTACACTATATATATAAAAATCGAATTTAATAGGTTGCATTTTATACTAAAAATTATTGCAATATTTGAAAGAAAAGTCGAAAAAGTCGTAATTTTTAAAAATAAGTCGAATAATGTCGCTTTTTTTGAAAATGATATAGAAAAAAGTCGAGAAAGTTATAATATCCGAGGCCTGGATAAAGAAAAATTATTTTTTAATATTTATTCTTACAACGCAATATTAATTGTTAATATGTTCTTTAGATCATGTTCAGTTGAAGCAGATGAAGCAGCCAAGCGTGAATATAACAGCTGGATTAATAATGAAGCAGTCCAAAACTTTAAAGTATTTCTTAAAACATCACTATTGTGTTCAAAAAAAAAATTACAAATCCTTGCGTGTATTTTACATTTGCGACCTTGCGAACTCAGTACACATGAAACTAGTCTTTGTTACAGTGATTGCTTAGAAATTATGACAACATGTGTAGACTGGTCTACTGTAACAGAATTCGAATCATCGGAATCATTATGTTCCAAATTTTTACCAGCGACAACAAATTCTTGTATTTCAATGAAATATTTTATGAAAGATGTAGTTAATTTTAACCAAACAATGTTTCCTTCTACAGAGATTTATCAACCGTGCAAAAACAATACCTGTGCGAGTAATCAATTATGTCTGTCCGCTTGGAACATTTCAACATTCAGTTGTCAACCTGCTTGCAATCTAGGCGAAATGTCTAAGCAACTTGTCGCCGTTGGATCATGGATTCAGATTCCTCGATTTGAAAGACAGGGTTGTTATAAAATATGCCAATGTACTTTAAACGGAGTTGAAAAATGTAAAATTTTAAACTGCTTTTCATTTAAATCCTGTTGGGTGCAAGATCGCTTTATTTCGCACAATACTGAATTTTTCTTGGAGTGTAATAGATGTCGTTGTTTTATGGGTGAATTGACATGCTTTCGAAATAATTGTGGAGAAAATCGTTCACCAACATTACCTTGTGATTGTCCTACTCATTATGTCCCTACTTGTAGTAGGCTGGGAATCACATATGCATCATCATGTTTAGCCAAGTGTGCTGGATTTATAGGTGACGAGATAGAATTTGGCAGCTGTTCATCTAAAAACCATTGCATATCAAATCCTTGCAATGACAATGAGATATGCATTGCGAAAAGTAGAGTATGCTTATCTTCGATATATAAGCCTTGTCGCCAATACGAATGTATTTCATCCAACTGCACTGCAACTGCAAGTAATGAAACCTGGGAGCCTGTTTGTGACAAAAACAACAACGAACACAAGTCACTTTGCAGTATGATAAAAGCTGGAAAAACATTAGGATATAGAGGGCCTTGTTTAAAAAATTGTAAACTTTATGAATCTGTTTGTGGAGTCAACGGTGAAACTTATCCAAACGAATGTGCAGCTGTATCCGATAAGACTGTCGTTGATTATTCTGGACCCTGTATTACAGTGGGATTAATTAATGACAAAGTTAAACCTCGATGTACAGACGTAGTTTCATGTCCTGAACTGGTTAACTCACATTGTGTAGGAGTAACTCCTCCGGGTGCATGCTGTCCAATTTGTGGAGGAGCCGCTAGGATTTATTACTCAAGAAAACAGGTAAATTTTTATTTAGATTTTATTTATTTTTAGTAGTTATAATTTTTACGGATGTTTAACTTTCTTTCTCTTTGTTACTTGTCTGATAAGCTATGAAATTACCACAACCTTCAATTTTTTCTACTTTTGACAATAATTTCTTTTTAAATAACTTAATTCTTGAAAAACTAAATCATAAAATTATTAGTTAGAAAATATTTAATGAATAACTTTACTTAAATATTTCAAAAGGTTTCAATTTGAAATTTTAGAATATTTCAATTTTGAATGAATTTAATTAGAAATTTTAAAGATCTTAGGTTTTTAAAAAATTTTAATAATTCAAATTCTTCTGAAATTTATTAAAGTTTTTAGTATATATATTTAATTAATTATTAAAAATAGTGGATTTATAGACGAATTTTACTCAAAAATTTAAAAAAAAAATTGAATCTTGGAAAAATGATAAATTATTGTATAAATTCAATTATTTTCAAAATAGTAATCAAATTCTTTTCCAAAATTCAATTATTTTTAAAATTTTTAATAAAATTCTAGGCAAAATTCAATTTTTTAAAAATATTTACCTAATAACATTTTAGGTAAAATTTCAATTATTCTCAAAAATTTTCCTCAATTTCATATAAATTCTATTATTTACCATTTTTTTTATAAATTTCTTTGCAATAATTTAATTATTTTCAATAAATAATAAAAATTTTTACAGGTATTATATTGAATTATTTTCATAAATAAAACTCATCGCAGAATTTCAATTATTTTTAATACAATTTTAATCGACTTTCTCGACAAAATGTAAATTGTTCTTAACAATTTTATTAAAAATCGTCAAAAGAAATCAATTATTTAAAAATGTTTTAATAACATTCTTTTATTCTTTATGAGAATTCAATTTTAAGAAATATTTAATTATTCAATAAATTATTTATTTTTGCATTTAAATAATTGAATTCTCGTAGAATTTTCTAATAAAAATTGATTTAAAATTTTAGATTTGAATATTCATAATTTAAATTATTCAAATAATATGTGAATATTAAAAGCATTATAGCATGAATTTTAAGAAATAATTGAATTTTGAAAAGGTTTCAAATTAAATTCTTTGAAAATCTTAATTTTTCATACTTATAACCAACAATTATGTAGAATTAATTATTTTAAAAAAGTTCAATTGAATTTTTTCTAAAATTATTTGAAGTATTTATTTTTTTGATATGTATTCAATTGAAGAATTTCTGAGTAATTGAAATTTCATAAAATTGAATTGTAAACAAATGGATTTGAAAATTCTCAAAGAATTTTTTCAAAAATTATTAAAAATAATTGATTTAAAGAAGAATTTTTTTTAAAAATTCTAGAAATTAATAATTGAATTAAAATGATGAAAATAATTTTAAAAAATTACAGGAAAAATATTCCTATTATATATAATAATGATCTTATCATTCGGTTATCTTTAATTTTTTATAATAAATATACTTATTAGTTGTTAAATTTTAAAAAGGTTTGAATTTGAAATTTTTGAAAATCTTGATTCCTGTGGAAAAATAATAATGATTAATTATTTATTTAAAAAAAAGTTATTTTTTATTTTTTAATTAAATTTCTGGAAAGAATTCAATTATAATCAGAGAATTTAAGAAAATAGTTCTGAAAAATTCTATTCTTTTAAAAAATTTGAATAAAATTCTTTAAAAGATTCTATTATTTAAAAAATGTTGGCAACATTCCTTACAAGATTTAGTTAATAAAATTGCAATTTTAATTAAATTTTTCGATACAATTAAATTATTTTCAATATAATTCTTCTTAAGAATTTAATTAGTTTCACAAATAACAAATTTTTTATATCGGATTTCAAGTTTTTAATAAAATTTCTCGAAGAAATTGAATTGTTTTCAAAATGTTTTAAAAAATTCTGAGAAGTTAAATTATTTTAAAAAATTTGAATAAAATTTATTTTGAAGAGATTTCAAACTAAAATATTTGACAATTTAAATTTTGCAATTAAAGAAATTCGTAAATAAATGTAAGAGAACATTTTTTTGAGTACCTATCTAATAATTTTTAGAGTGAATCAGAATATTCTTCAGGGTCAGGGAAAAAGTGAAAATTTTGTCTGAAAATCAGGGAAAAACAAAATTAAACTTTTGTGGCAACCCTGATGAATTTCATACTGATTACATATAAAATAAATTATAATTGAGTTCTTAAAGAAGAAGTATTATGTAGGTGAAAATTTGAGTTTTTAATTTTTTGACTTTTTGTTTATTAGTTAGACAGAATATTATATATGATGGACAACGAAAAGGACAAGGATGCAGTTACCTTACAAGCACTACTAAATTCTTTGGAAAGGCACATTTCAATCCAAATGTGCTCACTTCGAGGAATGGTTACAATAGATGGAGATATTGTTATTGTAATTGTACCAGTTAGTAAAACTCCTTCAGCTGTTGAATTACGAGCGTGTGTTTTAGAAACTGAAAGACTGGTGATATTAATACAACATAAGAGCCCTTCAATTATAATTGAAGTACCCTTAAGTGCAATTACTGGCGCCGAAGTTATTCATAGACAAGTGTCAAACGTTTCCTGCATTATAGAATTCAACACATTTATACTTATTTTATTAGTTTTTCAATTAATAAAAGGAATAATTAATTGAGCACAAAATGTGCATTGAAATAAGGTTTCATATTTCATTGAAAGGGTTACATTCTGATCAAAACGACCAGAAAACGTATGTTTTTTAATATTTTTTTTCATAAAATAAATAATGTTTTTGATTTCAACACTTTCATATCTTAAAGTACATACTATTGAATGAGTAACTTTTAAAATTTTTTATAAAAAATATTAAAAAATCGGGTTCGTACCAAGAGATTCTTTTTTGAGGCACTTCCAAAAACGGACATTTGCGGTGGGCACGATCTGACTGCTTCATCGAAAATTAAAGATATTGTGAGCACCGCGGAAGTTCGATTTTTGGAAGAGGCCTCAAAAATTCTCTTGGCACGGGCCTGATTGTTAATATTTTTATCAAACATTTTACAAGTTACTCATTTAATAGTGTACTCTAAGATATGAAAGTGTGTTCAAATAAAAAACTATATTTATTTTATAAAAAAAATTATTAAAAAAACATACGTTTTCTGGTCGTTCTTATCAAAATGTAACCCCTAAAGTACGTTTGCCAAATATTAGGATATTAATTAAAGATGAGACTTGAAGGAAGACAGGCATATAAGTTTTAAGTTTTGCCTGTATTTTTTAAAAAATATACCAAAGTTTAAAAAAATGTCAAAAAAATTTCATTTTTTTTCAAATTTGTTAATTGATAAAATCTTTTTGTAATTTATTAAAATTTTCAGTTGTGTATCATTCATCGTAGAATATTATAAGCTTTCGAATGGTATATTTGTTAATTTTCTGACGATTGTTTTTACAGAAAAATTGTGATTTAAAGATTGGTAAGGGAGTGTGTACAGTTGCGAGACACCTCCAGTTGTGAGACAGTCGATTTTTTTAACACGCAATATTAAAAAGCCGATTGCGTTTATAAAAAAACATTTTTTTTTATTTATTTGATAGTCATATTTTGGCGAATAAATATTATTATTAGTATATATAATAATATATATTATTAATATATTTAATTATTTCTATACTAAACATAACGTTTTATGTCAAACTTTTTAAATTTTAACAATTTTTTATAAGTGTCTCACAACTGGACACATTTTTTTTGTTGACAAAAGCGATTTTTGAGTCCATCTGAACACTATACTTTCTTAGAATAAAAGTTGCGTATTTAAGTTACTTTTCGAACGGTATATTTTATTTACAATTTCGTTTACCCATTTACAATTTATGGGTCAAAAACAAAACCCGTCTCACACCTAGACACAACTTTAAGACATAAACAAAAGTAAAAATTGATGAAAACGAAAAAAGTGCCAAAAATATTATACATGAAAAACAAAATATTTTGTGTAGAAAGGTCAGTGTTTTGTCATAATAAGTGAGTTATGGAGAAATTTAATTTGTAATAGACGTCATGAAATTGTAACTTGAAACAATTTATAACCATTGAAAGACGCGTTGATTTGTTATGTTAAGTGCAATAAAATTTTATATTTTCCTTTGTATTCCTGTTTAATTTAATTAATTATTAAGATGCGATACAAAAGCCATTTTTCTTAAAGGATATTAAGGTAATAAACTCCGAAGTCTGATATTTTTTTCAATTCTAGGTATTGTAATGATTTATCCTTATAAAGTTAATAATTTCGTTTTATGAAATTGCGTTTACTCTACTTAATAGTAAATAATAATCGTGTGTAAATTTTGTAATTAGAAAAACGCTTAGGACTTATTATTCAAATCTATTAATAATTTAAAAGTATTTATTTTATTTGTATGATTTCAATAAATTGAACAAATGTGTATTATATGAATATATAACTTTTTGTGACAATTATTTTAGGTGTGTGCAATTATTTTACACTTCTGAATGTATTTTCTCTGATTTTTCAGCGGCATTGCTGCAGACGTAAATGCCTGATTTCTAGAGAAATCTAAACCACTACTGGTGTCCAAAAAAATTAAAATTTTTTTGTTTAACAACATTCACGTGATCCTTGAGATTGGAAACATATCATAAAAAAATAAACAGATACAGCTGGGGAAAGTGAAATGAAAGAGAAAAAATTTCTTAAAATCAGCTCATTCAACTTTAATAAAAAAATATGCTGTAATCTATAAATATTCATATTATTATCCCTTCCCCTCCCTCTTTCATGTTTGTTTTATTTTTTATTGTCAATATACCCTCAAAGTGACTATCACTAGTTACATGTATTTTTATCTATTATTGTAGGTTACACAATTTTGTAAAAAAATTAAAAATCTCACGTGAGTAATACATGGAGCCTGAACAAAATAAATAAATTAAGTAATTAACAATAGATACATTTGTATTTATAATTAGCGCAAGTCAATTATTACCATATTTGGCCATGTACTAAAAAATGTCTACGATATTTTAATACTTTGTGACATTTATTCTTATAGTCATTTTGTAAAGATTATTTCAACTGAATATATCTAAAACTAAAGTTGCATGTGTTCGTAGTAGTAAAAGATATATGAATACCTCCACGGAATAACAATTTCATCGTTATTCCTGCAAATAGTATAACAAAAAATTAATAAATTTTATACTTTGTATTCAATTTCACTATTTCATTCGTTTCAGGCATATTTTTCAATAATACGTACACGTATTTTCACTATAATTGCATTTATGTTAAAATGTATTATTCCCTGGAGGTCTTCATATATCGGTGGATAAAATCGGATGAGATATTGGGTAAAGAATTACTAAGGTACAGAATATAAGTTAAAAAAAGATATTATACAAATTTTAATGTCAACTAACATCCAATAACAAAATAATTGTTTACCTTATGTCTCAATCACTTTTCATCTTCTAATATAAAAAAAATAAATACGTTAAACGAAATTAATTAGTTAAGTTAAAATAACATGTATATTACATTCAGGGTCTGCGATTTACATATGTATTAAAAATATACTTATTTATGAAATTTATAACTAATCCTCTCTGGAAGTTAACAACTGGTATCAATATATTGATAAATTAGAGGCGCATGATTATTCCCCAAATGTCATTTGACCGAACTGTCATTTTACCGAATTGCATTTATCCGAACTGTTATTTTAACAAAATGTCACTTTTGCGAATCGCCATTTTTACGAATTGCCACTTTTGCGAAAAGTCATTTTTGCGAATTGTCATTTTTGTGAATTACCATTTATGCGAACTGCCATTTTTTCGAATTGTCATTTCGGAACAATAACCATTCGTAAAAATGACAATTCGTAAAAATGATATTTCACAAAAATGACTTTTCGCAAAAGTGTCAATTCGTAAAAATGTCGATTCGCAAAAGTGACATTTCGTTAAAATAACAGTTCGAATAAATGCAATTCGGTAAAATGACAGTTCGGTCAAATGAAATTTGGGGAATAATCATGCGCCTCATAAATTACAGTGTAAAATGCATTTTTATTGTCTTCAGTTAAGGCAACATTATTCAGTTCTTATTTTTAATGTGTACTCGACACATAATTTTTCAAACAATGGCAAGATTAATAAAATCTTTTATATTAACAACTTCTCTAACCATAATATAAAATGTAAATACATTATTGTCATTCTATAAAACTAACAATATTAATATTAATAAATATTAAGAATAGGTAAAAATTATTCTAGTTTATAAAGTTTTAATTGTTATTCTTAGTACAATAGAAATAGTGCAGTCTTGGCAAGTGTCAAAAGAAATGATCATTATGTTTAATCTATTAAAAGTTAAAGCGCTCTATGTAAGAAAAAAGCGTATTCTTTACCTATGTTTTGATGCACACTATATGCATACAGTATTAGATTCATGTCCTGTTACTACACTAATAGAAAAAGTTATTCCTAATTCGGTTTTTAAATGCAGTTTGGTCTAGAAAATTGTTCTTTAGAAAGGTTATTTTTCTTACTTTTTTTTTATAGAATGTTAAAATTCAATGCACTTAAATAATGCTAAACATTATATGTATAATACTTCAATTTACATATAATATTAAAATAAGTTAGAAAATTATTTTATTAAAATTTGCTTAGGCAATAAGAATTTATTGTTCAATAAACAAAACATGTTAGAAATATTATAGATTTTCATTTAAAAAAAATTATTTTTTTATAAGCTAAAACATCAAAAATTACTAGAGATTTTTATTACAAATACATTAGTAAGAATAGTACACCCAGAAAAAAGATTTGTTTGTAACAAAGAAATCGTTTTTTAAAATCATTTTTTAAATTCAAGATAAAATTTGTTTGAATTGAAAAAGATTTTCATTGCTTTAACAAATAAATAATTCTTAAATATTTTGAATTAAAGAAAGTTTTTCTTTAATTGATATTTTTAATTCTAAGAAAAATTTCTTTAAAACAAAGAAGAAGCTGACAAAATTCAATGAAATTATTTTTTTGATGTTTTTTTTAATCAAAAAAAATTTTTCATTAAATCAAAGAAACATTTCCTTCTGTGCATTTTTTTATCAACTATCTTCCAAGATCCTTCTAATTCAATTCCCCATTCGTGTAAGATTTTTTAATTTTAATTCTAAGTGTTCTGTGTAAAATATTAATAATAATAATTATAATTAGTTAAAAATATTAAAAAAGTAACGAGAAAAATATTTTTTTAATTTGCTTATTAAAATAAAAATTTATTTCTTTGCAACAAAGCAACCTTTTTCTGAGTGTATGAAATTGTTATTATAATTCTAGAATGTTTATTTGACATTAAAAATTAATTATTTAAATCAATCAGTAACAAATGTTATTGAATAATTGATTATATGCAGCTATTTAATGTTTTATAAAAATTAAAAACTTTCTTTATAATTTAGTAAAAATTACTTTTTTTGTATAAAAATAAGTTTTTCATATCAAAATTCTAGAAAAAAATACTTTAATTACCTACAAATTTTAATTTTCGATTGCAAATGTCTTGCAAAATAACATTTTTTTTTGCACAATTTTTTTAGTGCAGTAAACGTCCTATTTACTAAAAAAAATTTTGAGAACTGAAAATGAATCCAAAAATAAGGATTGTACTATCGGCCTCTATTTTTGATAAAAATAAAGAAAACTCTAATCAAATTTTCGACAAGAAAAATTTAAATGGAATATTATGAATCCTGAACTGCAATTTATTGCATTTCTAACCTAATAATTTAAATTCAGAACATTTCATCTTCAATTTACGGTTATTTAAAAATTTATTTTAATTTAAGATCATCATGTAAAAATAGTTTAAGATATAATTCAGTATTTTGAGATAACTGTTTATTTGAAATATCATTAATTATTTTATGTTTTTGGGGTCGCTGAATCCAAATTTTTGGTAGAAATTTAAAAATTCAATATGGCGACTTCAAAATGTTGATCGAATAATTTCAAAGTTTACGGATTTTAAATTTTTTCATTCGCCATTTTTGAGCCGACATTTTGAATTTTTAAATTTTGACTACAAATTTGGATTTAGAGACCTTAAAACCCCCCAAATGAGCATTTTGCTAAAGAAAATAAGTGGAACACCATTAAAGAATATTAATATTTTTGAATTTCAGTTCGTAGGTCAGAAATGCACTAAATTATAATTTTGTGTTAGAATAAAACCCTAGGATAAAACTTTTTTCCTCAAAAGATTGATTCTCTTATTTAGGGACCATTCAAGTATTACGTAAGCATTTAAGGGGGAGGGGGGGGGTCTAGCTATTGATTACTTCCATTAGAAAAAATGGCGCTAATGCATACAAAAAATCTTACGATGGGGAACGGGGGGGGGGATCTAAAAACCTGAAAAATATGCTTACGTAATACTTGAATAGCCCCTTAAGGGTTCATTTAATTAAATAACTAACATTTTAATATGCCTAATAATTTCCCACGTTAGTGTACATATCTTCCAAATGTTAAAAAGCAAATATTTGATAGATTACTTGAATTCCATATAAGAACATTATAAGAATTTTTTATTTTAGATTTTAAAAAATTTGGTTTTGCAATAGCATATTTTTGAGCACTTAGAATAAAAGTGAATGGATGAAGTAATTTGGTTTTTTTACTGTAAAAAATTAGTATTTTACTAAAAGTGGAAAAAAGGTATTGAATATTAAATTCCTTAATTCAAAGGCACGTTGTCAATTGTATAGACAAGTTTCTTGTGTCAATTTAATAATAAATTAACATTACCATACAAATCATTGCTCTGTAATTTGAATTCGATAAATATTTAATAACAAGATTTAAATAACATTCTCTTTGTCTATTCTTATTGCATCCATTCTTACCTATCCGCGCTGTAAAAAGTTGTTATATAAAATAGTCTTTCTTATACGAGCGTAGAAAGCTCATGTGGACTGTTTGTATTAGCTGCACTACTAAGATCTAAAGTGGCGTTAGGAATGCCAGGACTGACACTACCAGTTAATTCTCGTGGAAAGTTTTGTGGTGATCTAATGTGTTTGTTAACAGGACTAGTTGGAGAATGATTACTCGGGGAAGCAGGAGGAGTTGTTGGAATACTTCGATGAGAAGAGATGTTGAGATTATTGTAAGTCGTCGTCATACCACTTGGTGACGACATGGACGTATGCCGAAGATGAGAAGGTTGCTGTAGACAATGAGAACCTCGAGAATTAGAGACAACTGAATGTACAGTGTTCAGGTTTTCAATTTTTGAAGGACAAGATGGATGTATTGTATGAATGGAGCGATGTTGTTGCTGGAGCTGTTGTTGCTGTAAATTTTGTTGGTGACGTTGTAATTGGGCTGCCGCTTCGCATTGTTCACGAGCCAAGTTCTTCATAGCGCTCGTCTTCTCCTGAAAATAAGAATTACGAGTGATAAATGAAAAGAGAATTATTTTCATAAAACTTTAAGAAGAAAATTGTAATTATTAAAATTATGTTCAATCAAAGATCTATGGAAATTCCTAATATTTAAATATTTATTTTTTTTCTCCAAAAAAAAAGAAATCCCGCATTCAGAGTGTTTTTGATCATTACATAGTCGCCTACCTTAAAACGATGCGGTTCTTTTCTTTTTGACTCATACACTGTTTTATTATATTCTTGTCTAGCTCTCATTTGTTCAATAGCATTTTCTCTTTCTTCCAACAATTTACTTTTCGATAACGAACTTACATAATCACGTATTTCGTCGTCGCTATATCCTTTTTGATCAATTGTATTCGATGTCAATTGTATTTTAATTTTACAATTAAAAAGGCTCAACGACAGTTTTATTATTTAAATAATCGTCTAACCAATCAGAAACGATTATCCAAAGATTCAGAAATAACTGTCAGAGAATAGTTTAATGTTACATTCTGACCTTCCAAAACAATTCTCATTCATGGCATTTAAGTATTTCACCCCAGTAACAAAACGTATGTCATTGTGGAGTCTGGTACTACCGCGAACCAAACCTTAAAATTGTGACCAAAAATTGGTTGTTGGCCAAAATTTAAACGTTCGACATTATCTAGGAAATTATATTTACAAAACAATTCATCATACATACTTTCTTTCATTAAACTTATACCGCTACCAGAATTGACAATAATGTTTCTAAATACCTATTATTTGATTCGACGTCACTAACCTGTATATAATGGGCACTGTCATAGGCTTTAAGAAATTGACTACTCCCTGCAATATTCGGAAAGGTGTAACTCTGCCTATCGTCCCTCGAAGGATGCTCTCCACTACCGCCGTCGTACTATCTAGAACTTGATCCTTTCTTCTGTTTACGAAATGTCGACTCGTACCCGCTGCTGCTGTTGAAGTACCCTCGAATCAGAAACCCGCGTTCTTCGTTAGTCCAGGAAGAGCCTTCAACTTAACTAGATACAAGTCACCACTTCGTGTCTTCTTCGTATCAGTCCAGAAACCGCGACCAAGTTAACAGTTGTGTATTGTCATCGAGTTTATTCTACGACTCCAGTTCCGAAAAACTCTTCAAGTATCAAGTGCATTCTTCAAGTTTCAATCAAATTCATTCAAAGAGAATTCATACGAGGAGATAATTCTAATGCGAAGCACATTTATATTTTACTAAGGACTGCATTATTTCGACTTCAACGTCAAATCAATCATTTGACACCTGGATTCCGAACCTTTCATTTTGGCTGGCCCGAAAACAATTCAAGGAAAATCTACTGCATATTCTGTTTCCCACTAGACAACATCATTTCTTCGACCTCACTCTGAAGGAGGTATCGCTTTTTGGGTCTACGACTCTCAGAATAATCTTAAAAGGTAACTTACTAATACTCTTAAATTTTGTTCCCATTTAAATTCTCCATGGATTCCACAAAGTTCTAAATTTGTTTCAGTATCCCTGAAGACATCTGGAGCTACTCTTTTGCTCTGATTCTAATTGTAAAGGATTCAAATAAAGACTTTAATAATATAACTTAAATTTAACAGTTACTTTTTCTTAAAGCCTGTCCCTTAATATCAGAGCTATCCGCTCTGTGAATAAATCAGGTTCGAATCACTGATGCCGGACAATCATTTCTGATATATAACAATACCAATCTCTGACACGTCCATAAAGCTGCTTAGTTGTTAAAACCTTAATAACTGGATCGGTAACATCATAGGCCTGCTTAATTTCGCCAACCTTACTCGATACTTACTCGCTACCAACATCTCGATAGTCAATATGTCTCGATTCTTGTGCCATATGACTCTCCACATTTTCTTGCCTTACTCTTTCAGCAGTGCTCAACACTGCTCTAACCGTTGCTTCAATTAATTCCGTGATATTTATATCCGTCCTAGGCCTTGCCTCTACCGACATATTTCGTATCGTTTTTAATAAATTTATCACTGGTTTTTTCACTACACTATTCGACAAACAGGAGGTCGACTTGGGCGTATTTTCTGATCCATTCATATATTAACAATCAGATCACTAATCGTTTAGAATCAAAATATATATTTAAAATCGGAAATCTCGTAAAGCACTTTACAAAGCAAACATAAAATCGACAGCGTATCGTCTTATGTAGAACGGAATAATTATACCAGAAATCCGATTACTGCGCTATAACTTGGATAAACCGCCACTAAAATTCGCGGGATAATTTAAAATAAATTTTAAGTATAAATTAAAGCTTACAATTAATTTAAATTATTAAAAATTTTGCCAGACATACCATAAAGTTCAATAATCTGCAAACAGATCACTGAAGAAAAATAATAAAACGGATAAATAACTGAGAGACATAACAAGAGGTAACATAACAGAAACAAGAAATACAGAAAACCTTAAATATGTTTAAAATAAACTGTTAGCTCTACATACCCTTTGCCACACGAAGACATTGTGCACCATTGCGCATCCACAAAATATAATTCCTAGAGCGATGAAAATTGATGTTACAATTGCTGGTGTTGTATGAAATTGCGTGAATGTGTACAAGATCATTCCTATAAAAAAAGTATTAAAATGATTGTAAGGAACTAGCAATTAGTGTTCAATTTCTTTTAAATTCAACAAGGAAATTATTATTATTTCCAACAATGGAAGTCCATTGTTGAATTCACTTCTGCACTGAAAAAGAAATTTAATTGATTCAAATATCCATTTAATTGACTATTATCAATTAAATATTTACTTGAATCAAATAATATTTGTTGGAGTTAATTAAAGGGTATTTGAACCAATAATTTCAGTATTTGCATCAAATACCATTTAATTGACTCCAATAAATATTATTTGATTCAATTAAATATTTAATGGATAATACTCAATTAATCGGTTAATTGAATCAATTCAATTTTTTTTCAGTGTGCTAGAGTACGTGAAATAAAATTGAGAAAAATTTTTAGTACATATTCAACTTACCAGTTAAAAAGACAGGAATACTAATAAAAAATCCTCCAACTGCACAAATACGACTGACTGAAGATTTTTCCAAGTATTTGTTTGTCCTAAAACAAATGTACGATTTATGAACACTTCATAACAAAACTAAACTATTTTTAAGCTTGAACTTTTATTTTGGAAAGAAGCGAAAAGACAATTTTTTATCAAAATTGAAGAAAGGGAAAAAAGTTCTCTTTTCAAAAGAGCTCGAGAATGAAAAGGCAATCGTTATTCTCAAGAAGGTTACAACAGTTGTAGGGAATCAGTTTTCGAAGAAAATAAACCATATTACATTCAGTTAAAATTGAATCATTTTTAAAAAATTCTATAGTTTAGTGATATGACAACAAATTTGGATCGCATGTAAATTATTGTATAAAAAAATTAATAAATTTTTTGTTTTTTAATTTCATTTTTTGAAAATTAATATTTGTTTTCTAGAAAGTACCATTAACAGGGTGTCTACAACTAATATAAAAAAATTTCTCTGACATTTCCAGGTTTTCCAGGCCTTCTAAAAATTATTCCCAGGTTTTAAGAATCGACATAATAAGGGGTTACAAAAAATGAATTGTTTAAATTTTATTTGATAACACTTATAAATGACGTGGGAGGAGTTCACAACGTTTGTTATCAACGATTTGAAGAAAAAAAACTGTTTTTCACTCACCAAACAATATTTTACGTTTACAAAATTTTCTTTTTTAACTTTTTGTTCAAGAAACATTGTAAAAGTTTTATTAAGAGAAAAGTTTGAATAGAAAATTATTTTTTCTTCTAAATAATTGTAAACGTCAGCAACGTTATAAATTATGAATATAAAATGAACATTTTAAAAAAAATTATCGGGCCTGGAACCAATGACAGTATTTAAAAATACGTACTTTGCGGACAAAAAATAAAAAATTACGGACCATTTGCAAACAAAAATATAACCAGTTGTGAGGGGAGTAATTAAATAAAACACTTCTTAAGTGATATCAGGATTTATTAAAATAATACGTCTTATCGGACCGAAGGTTCACCACAAAACTGCCCACCGTTACAATGTCCCTTTATCGTTACGTAATAAGGGGGGTTTGACGTCATATCGCCATTTACGAGGGAAAATATCTTACACAGTCAAATAAGAGAACATTTTACTTAAAACAATAAATTGGATTTCTTCATGTTTTATAATAATTAAAGAAGTCCGAAAGATAAAATCATTATTTTATATTATAAGAATATTGTAGCTTTTCAAAATTATTTTCATCATTTCAATTCAATTAAAATTTTCAATAAAATAATAAAAATTTTACGAAATTTCAATTATTCATTTTTCTAAAAAGTTTATAAATATTAAAAAATGTATTACTATTTATTGTAAAGTATTTTCAATTTACTTTCATAATATGTGCTAACATTTTAATTTTATAATATAGAAATAGGAAAAATTTTACCTTTAATATTGAGTGTTTCATGATTTTCCGTGATTTTAATTACTTATTTCTTCTCAGGTGCAAGACTAAAAAATCCAATTTTTGTCTTAATATTTAAGTTTGAACTTCTTTTCCATTCTATTAAATTTTGGTGATGGAGAACGAGCTACTTTTGAGTTTAAATTTAGTTGAAAAAATCTACTGAAAAAACGAATTTGTTGGTTAAAATGCAAGTAGATTTTTGCATGACTATTGAGATAGCCAACTTCAGTGTTATAAAATTACCTGCATTTTAACCAACAAACTCGCTTTTGGAAGCAGATTTTTTAAACATGAATAAAACTACAAAGTAGCTCGTTCTCCATCACCAAAATTTAATAGAATGGAAAAGAAGGTCAAACTTAAATATTAAGACAAAAATTGGATTTTTTAGTCTTGCACCTGAGAAGAAATAAGTGATTAAAATCACTGAAAATCATGAAACACTCAATATTAAAGGTAAAATTTTTCATATTTTTATATTATAACATTAAAAAGTTAGCACATATTATGAAAGTACATTGAAAATACTTTACATTAAATAATAATAAATTTTTTTATATTTATAAACTTTTTAGAAAAATGTAATTAAAATGTAGTGACTTTTGACATTTCATAGTTAAGTTTTAAAATCAATTTTTATCTATTATTTTGAGTATGTTTACATAATAATCTATTTATACAAGTAAATTAGCTCATTTTTAACAAATATCAATCAAGAAATTTGTATTATCTAAATTATTCCCATGCTTTTTTATTAAATTTTCATAACTGCCAATATAACCTTTTTTCTGTCCAACTCAATTTAAAAATTAAAATTCTAAGTTAAATTAAAAAAATTTTATAAAATAATTCTCAAAAATGAATTCTATGGATATTCAACATCATTTTTACAAATTATGAGACTTTTTTAAAAAATAGGCCGCAACGGCTTCAGGTGAAATATAATGGACTGACCCTATTATGTACGAAAATAATTAAGGGGCTGGATGCTATAAGGGGATACGCGCAATGTTAAGTGAGTGGCGCTTATTTCCTTATATAGCATCCAGCCCCTCAATTGAATCCCAGTAAAAGTTTTATTATTTATGAAAATAAAAAATTCAATTATTGCGAACAAATTTATAAAAAATTGAATTCCTGTGAAATGTTTATTATTTTATGAAAATAATTAAATTTTTTTTAAATAATTAGATTCTTATGGAAAAACTTTATTAAAATACTAGATATTGAAAAACATTAAAATAATGAGGAACATTTTTGAAAATAATTGAAATTTTGCAAAGAATTTTATTAACATTTTTGAAAATAATAGAATTTTGGAGAAGAATTTTATTATTTATAAAAATAATTGGGATTTTGACAAAAATTTAAAAAATTTTTTGAATATAATTGAATTTTTGCGAAGAATTTTATAATTTTTGAAAATAATTGAAGCGTTTTGTGCAGAAACCGCATAAGTCCATTTTTTTCGAAAATCACTTTTTTATTGAAAATTTATCTTTAAATGAAGCTTTTCAATCTGGTGAAATATTACATAAGTGACTAAACTCTAAACCCTTAAAAAAAATAATTAAAATATCATTTTGTGCAGAAACAGCACAAGTTCATGATAAGTTTTATATTTATTTGTGATATTCTTGACGTATTTTAATAATTTATATTAAACAGTTTATATTATAAATAAAAACACTCATGGGAAGCAAAAAGTGACAGTGGTGACTGAATTATTTTAAAATTAGAAAATATTGAAAATTGGTTAAATTTATTCTTAAAACAATTTTATTATTTATAAAATGCTACTAAAAATTATCCAAATTTAATATTTTAAATAAATGTTATTAAATATTTCATAAAACTTTGATATTTCACTGGATTTAATAAATTTTCTGTGTTTTTCATTTCATTTTGTGCAGAAACAGCATAAGTCCAAATGTTAATTTATTTTTTACTTTTTTATATTAAGTAGATAATTAATTAATCATATTGGATTTTTTAACTTATAGGTTAGTAGAATATAATGCAAAAAACCGAATTAAAAAAAATCTTAACATTTACGAGGAAAACAGTTTTTATTGATTCCTGAACAATTTCGAATTATGGACTTATGCTGTTTCTGCACAAAACGCTTCAATTGAATTTCTGCAATCATTTGTAATTTTTCTAAAATTAAATTACGGACTTTACGGGATTTACGGACCTAGTTCGATTCCTAAATTATATATTTTAAAAACAAATTGACTTATTTTACGAAAAGAATTTTTTCAATGCCATTATTTCTGTTTTTTTATCTTTTAGAATTTTAAGTGGTCAATATTTTTCTATTTGATTATATGTCTGTGGTTTATACTATTTATCAAAATAAAATAATGAAATTTATTAAAATAACTAATTGTGGGCATTAAAAATATTATTCAAGAGTATTTCAAGTCAGGATGAAAAAAATTCCGTGCCATTTCCCGGTTTTCCAAATTTTCCAGGTGTTGTAGACACCCTGTCATTATGACTAATATTTTAATTATTTAAGTGTTAATTCATTCTTTTTTAAGGTCTGCATTCTGTTGGATAATCCACCTTAGGGACCATTCACATATTACGTCACAGGCTGAGGGGGGAGGGGGGTCTACCGTTTTGTGACGGCCTGTGTAAGAATGACCAATTTCTATGTAACAAAATGTGACGTAGGGGGGAGGGGTTAAAAATTTTCCAAATTTACGTGACGTAATATGTGAATGATCCCTCAATATTAAAAAAAAATAGTTTAATGAACTTACCGATGGCCCTGATATGAAGTCCTCACGAGTTTCACTGCGAAAAGAAACTGGATTGCGCACACAAGAAGACAACAAAGATTTAGTGACAATGCTAGAGCACACAGTGCTAAGGTGACTTGGTAGACAACAGCATATTCCTCGGGGCTAATTAACGTACTAGTTGCTGCCGTAATAGGCGAAACTTTAAGTAGAAAGGTTAATGATAATAATGCTAAGAGTAGAGAAACAAGACACAGCAATCCCAAACTGGTCAGCATCTCCTTAATTCCCGTCTCCTGTATTTTGCTCCTCGATAAAGTTGTAGACCAAGAATTATTTAATGGCACAATATTCGGACTTGACGAAACTTGCATAATAGGTTGAACTTGAATGAGCCCTGGAGATGGTGTAGGCTGATTGTGAAGTCTCGATAACCTAGAAATATCCAATCCTCCATTTATTTTAGGTCTCTCTTGGTTGACGTTGGCTGACATAGTGTGACCGCCATTGTTATTGTTTCCACCCACGACTGGACTGACACTATTCACAGAATGCTTCGAAGTTGAAAGTGTTGATAAATTTAAAGCGTGAGAATGTTGAGCATTCACTTTTTGTGAAATATTGTTGACACTCAATTGAGAATGATTTAAAGGATGATGATGTCCAGACGAAGGAGTGGTTGCCATTGGCTGATGAAGTCCAATGGATCGATGGGCAGTTGGAACAAGTACTGAATCGTAAACATCATGTCCGTTACGTTTATTGCGCCCACTATAATTGTAATGATCTACATGATGATGGTGATGATGTTGTTGTAAGTTATTAGATGAAGGCATCGTCCCAGAAGCTTGACAGTCATTATGATGATGACTGATGCCCGTTGACGGCTGCCCAGTCAAAATATGTTTTAGCATTACTTAATGCTGAATATTCAAGAATAAGTTTTATGCATTTGTTACATGATAACTCTTCAATAGCCAAAAAGTAATCACTGGTTTCAAAAATATCTTAATTCATTGATACAACCAACAGATATTAAAAATCTCTCAAGAAATCCATATCATTCATTTTCTTCTTTATAACTTATATAATTTAAAATAATACTGGGTTCAAATTTCAATTATCTTTTATCCTTTCTTTGATGTCAAATTCGGGACAAATTAAATATCGGGTTCAAGATTATGTGCCCGGACTCAAAGTGTTGCTGCACATTAACTCTATCATTTCAGTCAAATATCATTAATACGTAATATTACATTATGTCTATTAATGTTTATCAATTTGAACTTGGTTAAGTGCACTTTTATTATTAATTAATTAGTGTGAAGCTAAAAAAATATTTATGTATAACATATAATATCATTCTAATATTTATAGAATTTTCATTATTTTCTAATTCACAATTATTGACTTATTCTTTTTAATTAATGCGTAGATAACAGGTAATAAGTAACTTCCAGGCAAGTATTTAATTCTCAACATTTTTGTCAGAATACTGTAAATTGATCTGAAATGAAATAAAAAAGAGAAATTAAGGAAAATTTATTATAATAATGATAGCGATTGTGATAATTTTAACAAAAAAAAAACTGTTGCTGATTACGAATCTTGTAAAAAATTTACAATTTTTAAAATGACAGATGATTTTAATAAAAATTCTAGATTTTTTTAAAACTTGGTGACTAGGGATTTTTAGGGTTGTTGATTACAAATTTGAGGTCGAATTGAAAAAAGTCGAGCTCGAAAACTTTCAAAATAAGAATTAAGTATTGTATAAATATATATAAACGTATTTCCATAAATCAGTTGCATTTTAATTTAATATATAAATACATAAATAAAACAAATAATTAAATTATTTATAATTACTATTATAATATTTTAATTTTTATAATAAGGTGGATTCCACGTCAGTTCAACACACTTATTTTCATGACTTGTTGGGATTTGGCTGTAATTTTGTAAATTTATTACTTTTATAGTGATAAACAACTCCACCAAATATTTTTTCAAAATTTTGAAAATTACCAAAAATATGGCATTTTTAAAATTTTTGTCTTTTTTTTTAAAGTGCTATAACTTTGGTTCTAATTAACCGATTTTGGATTTTAAAAAAAGAATTTCTTTGGTTTTAAGTATATTTTAAGTTAAAATAAATATAAAAAAAAATTCAAAAATTTTTTTTTTTTGAAATTTTGAAAAATTAAAAATCCGTTTTTGAAAAAACATCATCTTCGACTTTTTTCAAAATTTTACTAAATGTTAGGGCAAATGTGCTTTACATGTCCTGTAAGTTTCATCTTGGGATCTCAAAGGGATTCGGAGTAAAAAAATAAAACGTAACCACAAATTACGAACATATGGGGCAAAATTACTCAACTGACCAGGTAAAAAAATGAATTTTCTCTAAACTTTGCTAAAATGTTACTATTATTAGTAGAAGTGTAAATATTAATTTTTTTTGAATTTGATAAAATATTTTTTGAGTTATGGAGTTTCAAAATTTTTATTTTTTTGAAAATACCTATTTTAGATTTATCTTGATTAAAAGTTCATTTTTAATTATTTGAATTTTAAACCAATATTAATTGAATATTTTGAATATAATAAAAACTTGAAAACCAACAATTTTTAATTAATAATTGATTCTCTTTCTGTATTTTTACTCAAAAAATTTAAAACATAACCTCAAATTTTTTCCTTCTTAGGTACCTTTCTTGGGAACGCGTCACATATTGATAAGTAAAATTAATCAAATTTAAAGTATGAATAGTGATTTTTAAAGAGATTTTTAAATTCAAGGTCAAATTCTTAATTTCAATATACAGTAGAACCCGGTTAATACGATCCCGTTTAATACGATTTCCCGCTTAAGACGATCATTTACTGTGGTCCCTGCAATTAAAGACTTACATTTTATATCCCACCTAATACGTTTTCCCGCATAAGACGCATTCTTAGTGCGGTCCCTACAGAATCGTATTAACCAAGTTCTACTGTATCTAAAAATTGGTGTTTTTTATTTTTTTGTAACCTATCCCAATCGAAAGCTTACCTTTTTTCATATGAGCCATGTAAAAATCAGAGTGGGACCATGGAACTTTTTGAAGAAATTAATTGTAAATCATCATTTTATATGTAAAATAATGATAAATTATTATTTTCCTCAAAAATTCTCATGGTCCCACTCTGATTTTTACATGGCTCATAGAAAAAAGGTCACCAGCTTATAGCCCGTGAAACCTCCTTTAAAAATCACTTTAAATTTGATTAATTTTACTTATCAATATATTAAATCGAAAAAAAAATATTTTCAAAAAAATAAAAATTTTGAAACTCCATAACTCAAAAAATATTTTATCAAATTCAAAAAAAAATTAATATTTACACTTCTACTAATAATAGTAACATTTTAGCAAAGTTTAGAGAAAATTCATTTTTTTACCTGGGCAGTTGAGTAATTTTGCCCCATATGTTCGTAATTTGTGGTTACGTTTTATTTTTTTACTCCGAATCCCTTTGAGATCCCAAGATGAAACTTACAGGACATGTAAAGCACATTTGCCCTAACATTTAGTGAAATTTTGAAAAAAATCGAAGATGATGTTTTTTCAAAAACGGATTTTTAATTTTTCAAAATTTCAAAAAAAAAATTTTTTTGAATTTTTTTTTTTTTATATTAATTTTATCTTAAAATATACTTAAAACCAAAGAAATCCTTTTTTTAAAATCCAAAATCGGTTAATTAGAACCAAAGTTCAGAAAAAAAGTTTTTCAGTTTTTTTTCAGTTTCACTTTAAAAAAAAAGACAAAAATTTTGAAAATGCCATATTTTTGGTAATTTTCAAAATTTTGAAAAAATATTTGGTGGAGTTGTTTATCACTATAAAAGTAATGAATTTACAAAAGTACAGCCAAATCCCAACAAGTCATGAAAATAAGTGTGTTGAACTGACGTGGAATCCACCATAAAAAAACATTTTTTTAATGAAAAACGAAGGATACGAAAAAATAAATGACAAATATGCTCAGCATGCATCACTAAATTCATTATCTGCCCCTTATTGAACATTTTTCCTCTATATTAATCGGAGATAATAAAATTTTAAAAATCAAAAATTTTGGAAAATAAGACTTTTTTGAAAATTTTGTTGAAAAATGGTAGAAGTAACTTTAAAATTATCGTTTCCAACTTGTAGAGCATTAAAAAACGCTTCGATTGACCTATTCCTGAACCTAATTCGATAATAAATTTCGAAAATATTGGTATTTTAAAAAACAAAAATTGTGGAAAATGACATTTTCTCAACTTTCTTGTTTGAAAATTTTTGTTTAACTATTATAACTCTCTTGTAGGGTATTTACACTGAAAAAAAATTTAATTGAATCAAATAAAAATTAATTGACTCAATTAAATGGTTTAATTGTCTATTATCCAATAAATATTTATTTGAACCAAGTAAATATTTATTAGATCTGAGTATTTTATTTTATCGTATCAAATAAATATTTATTTGTACCAAATACGAATTACTTAAATCAAATAAATGGAATTATTGAATCTAATAAATATTGATTTAAATCAATAATGCATGGTTTTTAATTCAAATAAATATTTATTTGCATCAATAAAATAATTTTTTTGAAGTAACTAAATATTTATTTGTATCAAATATTCAATTATTCATCATAATTAATTCTTTTAATTGAGACTAATATCCCTTTAATTGAGTTAAATAATTAATTATTTAGTCCATATACAAAATTTATTTGCATCAAAGCAAGGAAGTTTTGGATTCAAATAAATCTCAATTTGTATTAAATAAACGAAACTTTTTATAATTATTATAATCATAAAAATAATAAAAATTCAAATTTTGCATTATCGATTCAACCTTCTAAGGGTCTCAAGCTTGAAAGTATTAGGCACTAAATTTTTACAATTAAATTTAAATCTGAAACCTACGGGGATCGAAACTCAGACGCACCTACCTAACACCTAAGACCTATAACCGCAGAGCCTTAACGACATCGACAACCGAACCGACTTGGAAAATTTTATTCGATATGTCTATATAAATTGCAAGTGTAAAACTTTCAAAATTTCTTAATATTTTTAAAAAACTATTTTAAATTAACAAGAATCTTTCTAAACTTATTATATTTAATATATTTAACACATATTTATTATTCATATAATAAATTTTTATATTGTTAAAATAAAATTACCTAAAATTAATTTATCGTTTCAATACGTGATTTATTTGATCCAAATATTTTTTTATTTGTTTTTATTAAATACTTTATTAGCATTAAATAATGCATTAATTGCGTCAAATAATTTTAATTAATATCAAATATCCAATTAATTGAGTGAAATAAATGAATTAATTGTTTCAAACAACTCATTATTTTGGTTTCAATAAGTTGATATTTATATCAAATATCCAATTAATTGAATGAAATAAATTATTTAATTGTTTCAAATAACTCATTATTTGTATTAAATAAATTCATTTATTAGAGTCAATTAATTATTTAATTGACCCAATTAAGATTTATTTGATTTAAATAAATGTAATTCAAATAATTCAAGTTATTTGAATCAAATAAATATTTATTAGATCTAAATAAAAATTATTTGGATCAAATAAATATTTTTCAAATAATTTGAATTAATTGAATCAAATAATTTTTTTTCAGTGTAAAAATAGATTGATTGACCTAAGATTCAATTTCTTGAATTTACCATATTTATAAAAAGTTATTCATATATTTCTATTATTTTTATCTCTATGAGGAAGCAAAGTGTTCATGAAATGAACACCAAAATATTATAAAAAAATATAGATACCACTTGGCAGCGGTTTTTTAATTATTTGAATGTTAATTAATTATTTTTCTAAAGGTCTGCATTCTGTTGAATGATCCACCTTATAATTTATAAAATTCTTTACGATATCTATATTATTTAAATCATTAACATAAAAATACATATTTATATTATATGCTGTGGTGTTAATAATCTAAATCAAAAATAAAACTCACTTAATTCTATAACATTGAGTCTAAATTTTATTATTACACTTTGAAAAAGATTTCAAAAAAGGAAAAACTTGTTTATCTTTGATTAGAAAAAGGTGAAAAAGGTGACAAATCTTCAAAAAAGGTGATAAAATTGAAATAAGGGGACCAGCTGTGATGCCTGTAAAATTGATTTTGACAAGGTTTTTTGTTGGTTATATGGCCTCTTGCAAAGGCAGGTAGCCAGACACTTTATGACAAGGTTATACAGTAAGAAAAGCTTCATGTGAGTCATAGGGAAGGAGACATTCAGCGTGCAATGGCTCATTAACCAAACATTTTTTTAAAAAATATTCTTTTTGGATTTATAGCTCATGCCATGTACTTTTAAGTAACCTAAAAAATAATGTTTTTATAAAAAATTTCATGGTTTATTTGGCATAACTAAAAAATTTTCTAACTTACAAAAAATGACAATTTTTACAAGTTGTTCTTAAAAATAAGCGGAAAAGGAGAGAAAATTTATGATTTTAGGTATTTTATTTTATTAAATTGAGGAGATAAAAAAGGGGAAAGAAGAATAAAAGAGATTATTATTTGACTAGTTATTTGTTACATTAAGAAAATGGAAATAATTTTTGTTTTATACCAAAAAAGTGGCACTTTTTGTAATAAGTGGAAGAAAAGTCGAAAAAATTAAGAAAAAAGTCATACTAGCCGAGAACTTTATTTTTAACAAAAGAAAAACAAAATAAAGCTAACTGTTTTTAAAGTTACATGATTATAGGTTATGTTAGAAAATTCAGTTTATTATATTAAAAGTGTTTTCAAGTTTTTCTTTTTAAATAGTAGACTTCTAAATTGACAAATAAAAAATGTTATAAAAATATCAAACAGCCTTAAAGCGTAAATATTTTAAAACAGGTAAATTTATATGTTTACTTTGCCATTTATAATTTTGATATTCATTTGATTGGACAAGTGAATTTATTGTGACATGATACGTAAAACTGATTTTTCAGTTTAATAACGACGTGCAAATAAACGATGCACTTAAATTTCATATAAATTCTACTAAAAAAACTGAAAAATTTTGAAAAGAAGTTAAAATATGCCTTAAGGAATAGTGAACCGAATATGCAGAAATACTAACTCACCTAATATTCCAATGATTTTAATCCATTTCTACTGGAAAATATGTGTTTTATAAAATACTTCTGGAGAAGTAAATAATTAACACTTGTAATTTATTTTTTCTTCAACTGTAGTTTACACCGTTTACACATATAATTAAATACTGTTTTTAAATTTCTTTCTACCATAATTAGTAACTAATAATATTATCATCACTTTCTGAACTTGTTTGATTAAATTTTTTATTTAATAGTTATTTTTGGAGTTTCATCTATTTTGATTATTAATTATAGTAATAAAAAATGCATTTTTAACTATTAAACTGGAAGATAACAAATGGATCCATACTAGAAATAATCAATAATTTTAGTGTGTGTTTTATATTTTTCAGACATATAATCGATGTATCGATAAAAAACTATAAAGCCATAGACAATAAACTAAAGCAGAGAAAGAAGTTTAAACGCAAGAAGTTGTTGTTTAAGCTGCTTCTACAACAACTATTTTTTCATCGACATGAACGACATGAATGCATGAACGTGAGAACGATGCGCGCGCAACTATTTTGTATGGTTTTAATGGGGAATCCACACTTCGATATAAGAAGCTAAGCGGGCGATGTTTTTTCTCGTGACTACCAGAATACCGACGTTGACCGAAACCAGAAAATCATAAGAGTGAGAAGAACAACAATATCTTTCTCTTTTGCACTCATGATTTTCTGTTTTCGGTCGACGTATTCTGGTAGTTACGAAAGAAAACTTCCCGCTTAGTTTTTTAGATTGAAGTGTGGATTCCCCATTAAAACAATGCAAAATAGTTGCGGGCGCATCGTTTTTTACATTTATGTCGATGAAAAAATAGTAAACGCAATCGTAATCAGAAGAATGAGTTAGAGAAGGATAAGTATATTGTTTATCCTTTTCTAACTCATTCTTACGATCACGGTTCCGGTTAAAGGTCTACGCAGAATAGAATCTTTTTTAACCGGAACCGCAATCGTAAGAGTAAGTTTTAGAATGAGTTAAAGAAGGATAGGTATATTGTTTATCCTTCTCTAACTCATTCTTACGGTTACGATTGCGGTTCCGGTTAAAAATCTATTCTGCTTTGGACTTAACAAAGTTATGAGTTGTGACACATCTATTAAAATGTTGTTAGTTCATGACGTATAAGTTCGTTCATACTACGTCATGAAGTAACTAAATTTTGATAGATAGGTCACGACTTTTTAAAACGCCGTCAACCTGGAAGTACAGCATCAAAGCATCAGGGTGTATTTATATTTATAATTAGTTATTTTGTTTATTAATAAACTTTCATGAACAGTAAAAATTATATTATTCTGATTAAGTATGAACAAATGAACATAAAATGTTATCGTATCGCTATGTATTCTTTAAAGCGTAAATAAATAAAAATAAACAAAGGCTGAAAATACTTCTGCACTATAAATTTTTTAAATCCTATATTTAGTTAGGGATTTAGTAGTATTTTTTAATCATGAGTACAAAAGAGACAGGCAGATATTGTTGTTCTTTTCACTCTCATGATTTTTTGCTTTCGGTCGACGTCAGGATTTTGTTCACAGGATCGCACCCTGAGGGTGGAGTCCCATGGCACCGTTTTGCGTTGCGTTTTGTAACTAGGCCATGAGTGCAAATATAGCAAACATATGTTTCCATCTCTCTCACACTCATGGCCTAGTTACAAAACGCATCGCAAAACGGTGCCATGGGACTCCACCCTGAGGCCGCAGTCCCATTTGCGTCTTTTTCTCTCCCATTACGACGCAACGCAAAACGCTGTCATGGGACTCCACCCTGACGATTCTGGGTACGTTTCTATTCCGCTTCGAACACAGACAGCACAGAGTCACAGAAGTTTTCGCTCTATATCACTACATACTGTATGATTGCATATGTCAAAGAAAAGAATGAAGATGTACTGACCTGAGACTAGGGTGCTTAGATCATGCAGAGTTTACTTCGATTTTTATCAAGTGTACATCTGCTGTGAACAATGTGTTATCAATACTTATTATTTCTATTTAAGTCACGAAAGTAACTTCTCAAGAGTTATTTTAGTTTTAACTAATAAGAATTATCATTGAAAAATGAAATAGTGATGTAAAACAAGTGCAATTTTGACATGTTTCTTTACAATAATTGAATCTTTTTGTCACTTTCTGGTTTTTCTATTTTGAACCTCGTCACATATTTTATTGTGTGTGAATAGAAATATTCGGAAGAATACCTTTGACTTTTTATATTTCTTACGTGATTAAAGAAAAAGCTATCAAAAGTAATTCAACTATCAAGATGGCGCATACTTTGACACCAAGCGTCAATTGTTCACTTGACGACATTGATTTAAATGCACTCAAGGTATGTATGCATGTGTTGTGCATTGTAAACAAATCATCTATATACTCAAAAGTTCATTTTTCTTTATTTCTCTGTCAAAAACAATTATGTTTAGTTATGTTTTGCATTAACAATAATGATGGCTAACCTAGAACTACATTTAATATCCTTTATATTTTTAAGTAACTAGTTTCTTCAAAATTCTTACTCATTTCTCTTTCAAAATTATAAAAAGTCAATATTTATGTACATTTATAATCATTTAGTGGATTGACACAATTTTCTTGTCTCAATTATTTGTAGAATCTCTGGTTAGAAGAAAATACTATTAAATTCTTTAGTAAGTGTATGCGTTTATATTTTATTACCTTATCTTTCCTTTTTTATGTGACTCACTTTAATGAATGAAGAGATATAAATATTTTTTAATAATATACAATTTTTTAATTCACTAATTTCATTTATATTTTTGTATCTTAATTCGTATTTACAATATTTAATAACAATTCGTTTAATTTATTGTTATATATTATAATCATTCGAAATTTTGATAATTGAATGTTGTTTAAAAATTTTAGTACTAAAACAATGCTTCTAAATTTAATTATCTCAAACTTATATTTATTTTTAACAAGTCATTTATTTTGAATAAGTCATCTGAAGAATTATATTCTACTGTAAACACATTTTATGATTATATAAAAAAATCTTAGTTTATAGAAATTAAAAAAAAATATTGTTTTAGATTAAACGTAAATTGAAAATTTTCTAATATCGATTTATTCACAAATCTGTGAACAATGAATATCTTTAAGATAAAAATTGTTCTATTATGACAATTGTTTGTTCTATTGCACTGAATAGAGAGGAATTCATGAGTCACACATCATAAGTATCTTTCAGATAGTGACAAGGAAATTCCTTTAGGTCAACCACATTAATTTAGTCACTCTGAGAAATATATTGTTGATCATTAAGAAAAAAAGATATATTCACAATCATTTAGGGGGCAACAATTTTCTTCTAGGTTCATATTACACAAGTTGATTTTCTTAATAATAATGTAAATAATATTTCAAATTTTAAGGTAGTTCTCCGGCTGCTACTCTTGAAAAAATTGATTTTCGATAGATTTTCTTAAAATTTTGTGAGAATGTTTCTTCGAATGCCCTTTAAATGTGGTAAAAATTTCAAAACCCTTTGGAATACTAAATTTTGAGTTATTCAAGTTTAAACTGACACTTTTACATGCGATTACGTTAAAAATAAAAAATGTCAACCACAATATCTTGTTTTTTGACATGGCAAAGGGTTTTGAAATTTTTACCACATTTAAAGGGCACCCAAAGAAACATTTCCTCAAAATTTGAAGAAAAATTTTCTTCTAGATTTTCAAAATCTATCGAAAATCATTTTTTACAAGAGTAGCAGCCGGAGAATTACTTTAAGGTTTTAGACATTATACGACTGTAAAGGTCGTTCCTACTTTCTGTCGTATCTATTTTCTACAGGTTCCAATACATTTTACCTTTTGTTTTTACATTGCCTAAAACTTATTTAAAATTTCTAAAATTCATAAATGCTTAACAGCAAATAATAATTGATTAATAATTAATTCAATAATTCATTGATATTGTTCCCATTATCAGGACGGTCACCTGTTAGTAAACTCAGGGAAATGTCGAGAAAAATAAGTTCAATACGTGTACGAAACCCTTTGTTTAAAATTTCTCATGCTTTAAAAATATTTAATTTTTATATTACAGTAAGTAAAAAAAAATACTAGAGAAAAGCTTAAAGGCAAAAAAAGAATAATTTAACCCTTTCCGTGTGCAGCTGAAATATTCTAAACTGGGAGAAAAAAGTATGCAAGAACTTCGCACTAATTAATTCCCTCGAAATTCATTACTCAGGGGTTTTTGGGGTCGCTGATTACGAATCTGGAGTTGGATTTCCAAAATTCAAAATGGCGGATAAGAAATATAAAAATAATTAGATTCTCTTGAAATTGGTTATCCGGGGGTTTTTAGGATCGTCGATAACGAATATGACCTTAGTATACAAAGGTAGGTCCATATTTGTCCAACCATTATTTTTTTTGTCTACCAAAAATTAATTTTCAATAAAAGAAATTCTGAAATATTTTGTTAAGTTAGATAAACGAAATTATTGCTTAAAAAACATTATAATCGACAATATGAACTCAAACACCAAATGTTTAAACAAACTTCTACGTAAGATAACAAATTCAACGTTAACAACAATTGTTTAAAAAATTACAATATATAACTTCTGACAAAAGACTTTTTACAACTTAATTTTTTTCGTAACTCAGTTATAGAGGGTGGAATTAATATTCTAGTAGGTGGACAAACGAAATTAGCAGTTGAACACACGTCAAAAATGACAATTTCAACATTAAAGCCAATTGTTAAACCATGGGCCCATGGGCACAAAAACGCAGATATAAAAAAGTAACTATTGGGATCCTGGCATGGGGTCTAATAATAATTTTTGACGTTCAAATTTTTGTTTAAAAAAAATATTTTTAAACAATTTGTTATAAATAAATGAAGAAAAATTAATTTTCATAAAAAACTGATAGCGCCATTCGATTCTACACGAAAAAGTACTACGAGATCATATATTACATCATTTTTTAAAAAAGACTTATTGTTGTGAAATTATTATAAACAATTAGCCTGAATTTATACTGTATGAGGTCTACAGATAGTTTATGACGTTAAAAATATTTTAAACAATATTAGTTTAATTAGGATAGTTTTTGACGTTAAACATTTTTATAAACAACACTTTTAACTTAAGACTAGGCTTAGACCTCATGCAGTATAAATTCAGGCTAATTGCTTATAACATTTTGACAATACACTCGACTCTCGGATCTTTTGCACTTACGGGACCAAATCCTCTCATACCTTTTACAAAAACGAATGTCATGGTAACGCAAAACAAAACAATATGTATAACCAAATATGTAAATTAATGACAGTATTCATGTTTTAATTTTAATATTTACATTTAAAAAAATAAAAATGTTAACCCTTTAACGCCCGACTTTTTTGTAGCAGTGCAATTCACGTCATTGCCCGTATATAAAGGTTTTCGGGGTCGCTGAATACGAATTTGAGGTCAGTTTTTAAAAATTCAAAATGGTGGATCCAATATGGCGGCCATTTTTTCTAAAAATTAATTCAATTTGCCTGAAAATTGTTACTCGGGGGTTTCTGGGAGCGCTAATTACGAATCCGATGTCCTTTTTTCAAAATTCAAAATGGCGGATCCAATATGGCGGACATCTTTTCTAAAAACTGATTCAATTTGCTTGAAAATTGTTACTCGGGAGTTTTCGGGGTCGCTGATTACGAATTTGATGTCAGATTTTTAAAATTCAAAATGGCGGATCCAATATGGCGGACATATTTTCTAAAAACGGATTCAATTTGCCTAAAAATTGTTAGTAGTGGGTTTTCGGGGTCGCTGTTTACTAATCCAATGTTAGAGTCTATGTTAGGCAATTGTTTTTCTATAGTCACGAATGTAAACAAACATTTAATTTTGACATCGTTTTCTCATTAGGCATTTGTTTATCTGATTGTCACAAATGTAGATTCATATTTTATTCTAATCTCGTTTTTATTTGGACATTTTATACACTAAATTGAAACCGCTATTTTACATTTAAAAAAATTAAAAATCAAAATCGTAATCAGCGACCTCGAAAACCCCCGAGTAACAATTTTCAGGCAAATTTAATCAATTTTTAGAAAAGATGTACGCCATATTGGATCCGCCATTTTGAATTTTTAAAATCTGATATCAAATTCGTAATCAGCGACCCCGAAAATCCCCGAGTAACAATTTTCAGTAGCTTTGTTTCCTTTTATTTTCGAATTTGTAAGTTTGTTGCAAATTTTGCAACAAATTTTTTTTTATTATTGTTGATTTATTTATTTATTTAACAATTTATACGGGCTTACAAAAGAGAACGTCCTTTTATTAAAACTAACTTAAATCTAAATTGCATCAATTATCTAATTAAGTGTTATCGGTCGCAATTTCATCAACAGTTCTTAAATAAGGGGCCAAACCTCGCAAAAACATTGATTTTGAACTCCCGAAAAAGTCGACATCTTTCATGACAAATCTTAAGAATTTATGTTGTATTTTTTCTAAATTTTCTTCTTGATAAAGATATTGAAGATAATAAATATTTGATAAGCATTCAATATGGGGTCTAACAAGAGAAAAGAATAATATTTTAAGGACTCGAAGGTTATGAAAAACTGCACCAAATCTTATAATTTGGCCAAGTGCTCTTGATGATTTTTTAATAACCTGATCAATATGAAAGTTAAAATTTAGAGCAGGGACCATAATTAATCCCAAATCTCGCTGCTGACTCACCCGTTCAAATACTGTTCCAGATATATTATAATAAAATTTGACAATTTTTAATTTTCTATGAAATGACATTATGGTGTACACCTCAGAGTGGCATTCCAGACACCATAAGCCCTAAGTTTATACAATAATATACTGTGATCGACTTTGTCGAACGCTTTTGAAAAATCGTTGTAAATTGTATCCACCTGTAGTCCTCTATCCAATGAGGTCGACAAGTACCGAGTAAAAACGCATAAATTCGTCGATGTGGAGCGTTTCCTTCTGAAACCGTGCTGCTCCTCAATCAAAACATTCTTAAATGCCGAGTAAATTTGATCATGTATCAAACTTTCAAAAAGCTTAGGTATTGCACTAAGAATTGTCATCGGTCGGTAGTTTTTAATATTTGATCTATCACCATTCTTATAAATGGGCGAAATAATACCCAGTTTCCAGCACTCAGGAAAATAACCTGCTATGAGAGAAGAATTAAATATAATAAGAAGAGGTTCAATAACTGAGGAACAGCACGACCTCAGAAAAGAATTTGGAATGCCATCGCAACCAGCTCCCTTCGCATTATTCAGAGTTCGAATCTTTGCCTCAATTTCCTTCTTAGTTATTAAATTAAGATTTAGATCAACCTCACAATTGCAATCGAAAGAAAAATCATTCATGTGATCAGAAGTATTATAAACAGACTTAAAATACTCTGCAAACAAATTAGCAATATTATAATTGTCGTTAGCAGTTTGTTGGGAAAAATACATCTCATTAGGGAATGTAGAATTATTTTTATTATTTTTATTGTTGTTTATGAAATTCCAAAATGCTTTTGGGTTACGAATTAAATTATTCTCGGTGTCAATAATATATTGATTATAACATTGTTCAGAAAGCATTTTACATCTTGCTCGAAGGACAGAAAAATACTCATAATCAGCTAAATCATTTGTACGTTTAAAAGTAGCATGCGCTATTTTCTTTTGAATAACCAAATTTTTTAAATCGTTTGAAAACCATACAGGATAATTTGATGTAAATTGGAGTATTGATGATCGCCTTATTAGTTCTAAACCTACAGGAAGATGGATGTCTTTCTCACAATGGTTATCTCCTCAGTTCATTATAAATACGACTCGCAATTTTGCCTTTTTTCTGCCCTGTTGCCTTCCAATAAGATTTAGTTTTTATTGTGTACATGAACGAAGGTGCAGCCGCCATATTGAATCCACCATTTTGAATTTTCAAAAACAAAAAAAATCAAATTCGTAATCAGCCTGTTTTGTGCCATTTTTAAAAATCTTGACACCACGTTGTACTTGTGAACGTGCGTTCACATTGTAACAATAGCATTTAAAGTCTAACGCGAGAAATGAATTCAATTATATTTCATGCATTGAGTATATATGTATATACTACAGCGCGTTCAGCCTGCTAGTCGCGTAGAGAGTTCAGTAGCCACGGCGCACACACCGCCGCGCCTTCTTCGCTGACCCCACCGCTCAACTAATCTCCCTAGCTACGAGACACATATATATACGTTGCTTGCACTGACAAGTGACAATTTCTTCAGTTCGCCGTCAACTGAGCATAACCGACAGCAGCTCACTCCTTTCTTTACTTTCTATCTACCGCCTAGGGTGAGGTACTACTCTCCCAAGGAATGAGATTTTCTTTTCTCAGGGCAGATATTTCTGCACCACCTTCCATCCTCTCTACCTAGTCAGGGTAGGTGGTATCTCAAGTACGACTGGGTCCACTAACCCGGACAAATTTTCTCAGAAGGAGTTGTACTCAAGACTTATGTTCGTCTGTGTCTAGCCTAAAAGCCTACTTTTCCTGACATCTTTTTCACTTTCCGCTCCACGTGAATAGAGGTACAAATAGAGGTACATCTCTCTTTACCTGAAGCGATGATGTAGACTTGTTTCTATGCTCAGGGTACATTTTGGGTTAAGAATCATCTTCACAGAGAGTTAATTATTCCTCCCACTAGAGTACACTGTCAAAGCAATCGTCCAATAATGATAACCAGAAAGTAAATTCATGGCTAGCTTCGGGAATAATTAAAACTAGTAACGCCCATCTCGTACGCGGTAACATAACGTACCAACTGGATATTTTAAGATATTAGATATTTTAGATACTAGCAAAACGGTAAAGTATTGACTTCATTAGCGTCACGGTTAATTTATTGTTTAAATTATGTACTCGATTATTCTCAGATAGAAAACTAGCAGACGATATTTTATTATTAGTATTTCTACGATATATTTTGTTATTCTAAAATTTTATTTTGTTAATTTATTTGTTACTAAAATATACTTTCTTACGAAGCTTTAATTAATGCCTTATTAATGACTACACCTTTACTTTGAGTCACAGTATAAATCGTTCCATCAGATAAATATTGTTTTAATAACCAGATAGCGCTTCACGCCACTAATTACACTGAAACCCCACTTATTTAAAGTCTCATTTACTTAAAGTCGCGTTTATTTGAACCCGTTTTTTCTTCAGTTATTTTTAGTTAGAATCAGCCCTAACCTCACTTATTTTAGCTTATGCGCAGTACGCGACCAATGGAAAGATACTTACATTCCCATTGGTTGAGTTCAAACAAAACCAACCAATCATGTCAATTTATCGAATTACGTCATCAAAATAGGTTATGTCGATCAAAATACAAATAAACGCGACACTTCGTGTCGAATTGCGTGGACCATGTTCAAATAAGTGGGGTTTCAGTGTATTAGAATTAGCTGCTAAACTATGTACCCGGGCTCCATCCGGTGAGCATTCCTTGGCAATAACAACCCAGATTCATCCGATTGATTGTTTAGAATCATAAAAGAACTGTTCAAAAAAATTAGCTATGAAAAATAATTAAAATTATGAGAATAGTTCAAATTGCAATTTTTCAAAAAGTTCGAGTTTTATTTAAAAAGTACTTACTAATGAAAACTAACTTACTTTCAAATACACAAAATTGAAAGAAAATAATTGACCCCAGCCATATGAAAGACAAATGCAGGTCGTCCCAATACTGAACAAAAGTCGATTCGAATTTTGAATAGATGTGAATAATATTCATTAATCGTGAAATTTTCACCTTGAGTACCGTCCATAATTGAATGGACACCTACATCTATTGCTATTAAAATCACAACCATAATAATGTATTTTTCAGTTCCTGAGGTCAGGTCATAATGTAAAGAAAAAAGAAAAAATCGAGTTTGAAAATTTTCTTTAAAACAATGATTTAATAAGGATGCTTCCTTCATAAATTAACATTAATGCTATTTCAATTAAATAAGGCTTGGAAATTATAAAAGTTTTCCGAATGTTTTTTAAATTTTTCTATCTTTATTTGTCGCCGATTTATCACAATTTAAAGACAGTTGTGTTTTTTGATAGAAGTCGATGTGAGTATTCACTCAACTTAATTGATTAATTTTCAGGAACTTAAAGTTAGTATTACAATATGAATTATATTTAGAATATAATTTTACTTGTTTTAGGATCCTGCTGGAATTTTCGAGCTGATAGAAGTTGTTGGAAATGGTACATATGGACAAGTTTACAAAGTAAGTTATTAAAATACTATTTTTTGTGTCTAAAAGTTGTCATGGAATTATCAGGGTGTCTACTAATCGGGAATTCCGGAAAAACCGGGAATTTTATACCAAACCGAGAATTTTTTTGCCAAAATTAAAAAAGTTTTATTATTTTAATTTGTTTTTAAAAAATCACTTTTTATTTCAATTTTTATAGGTATTTATACTGTTCTCTAAATATAAGTTAGTTAAAAATAATTAATTTGATGATAAAAAATCAATTCGACTGAAAATATGTAATTAAATTTGCTAAAGAATTTCATTAGAAACTTTTTAACAAATAGAATTTTCAAAGTATTTTAATTTAATAATTGATTAATAATTGAATATTATAAAGAGTTAAATTCTAATGTATTCATGTTTCTTACTGCGAAGATTAGGGTAGAGTGGGGTAAAAAAGCCATGGTGTAAAAAAGCCATTTGAGTTTTATTTAAAAACTATTAAGCCGATTTATCAGCTGTTTAGAATATAAATACTATTAGGTAATACGCAACTTTTGAATCTAGTTTGAACGTTGTACCTAGATTAATATTGTTTTTATTGTAATTTTAATTTTTTGTTGCTTTTTTGAAAACATTTTGGTGAACTTTTTAAACATATTACAGTCTGATTAAGTGAACGAATAATAAAAATAAATGTTTGTACATAAGGAGAAAAGTATACCGAAAACGTATACAATGTTAATTTTTGGAAATTGAACTGAATTAACAATTTATTTTTGCTTTTTTAATAACTGGTCTTGGGTGTAAAAAAGCCAGGGCAAAAAATCCATTGAATATTTTGTGAAATTCACTTGTTTTCTATTTAAACTAACCTTCTTATTTTACAAAATTTCTCGTGTTTATTTAATAAAATTAATTAAATACGACGAAAAAGTAGTTCACAGTGCATTAAAAAAATAAACAATGAATAAACGGTTGCAACGAAATATGATATCTGTGGTGAAACTTAAAGAGAACTTCTAAAAAAGGTACGAAAAATTGGCAGTGCAAATCGAAAACAGGTAAACTCAATATAATTTTCAATTTTGCTTGCTAAAAACTCTTTCATAATTATTAAAATATTTTTCAAATAAGACTATTTGTCATATAAATAAAGGAAAACTATAAAAATACCTAAATTGATAACATGTTTTGCTAAAATCGTAGGGTGGCTTTTTCACCCCACCAGGTGGTGCAAAAAAGCCACTTACAGTGCTTTCGTAAAACTCTTATAACTTAGTCCTTTCATGAGATAAAAAATATTTCCGTCAAGAATTTTCAAGCTTAATAACTAAACTTTCAATAACAATTGGAAATTTGAGAAAAAAATTTTAAATACAGATTTTACAGCATCAAAAGTAAAAATGTGGCTTTTTTACCCCACTCTACCCTAATAATTAAAATTTTTATTAGTTAATTTAAAAAAATATACATACTTAAAATTGTTTAATAAAATTGAACTTTCGCAAATTTTTTTTTAATTCTGAAAAATAAGATTGTTGTAATTTTTTAATTCTATTGTTTTAAGATAATTGAATTTTTCTAAACAAATAATTGAAATTTTTTTAAATAATTGAAATTTGTTTACATTTTTTTAAAAATAATTGAATTCCTTTAAAGAATTTTATTTAAATTTTTCGAAAATAATCAAGGGAAGTTAGTGACCGTAATTATAATTTAATTTTTAAAATTTAAAGTCCCTCTTACAGTTTTAAATCAATTTTTTGCTTCTAAAAATATTATTGAACTTCTCTTAAATTTTTATAATTTTAAATTTCTGATTAAATGTTTATTACTTATTAAGTAAATAATTAATTATTATTAATGATTATTATTTTCAAAAATTTTAATAAAATTCTTCACAAGAATTAAATTATTTTCATAAATAATAGCATTCTTTGGAAGGATTCAATTGTTTTTATAAATAGTGAAATTTTTTTGCAGAAATTCAATTATTATCAATATAATTTTAATAAAATTAAAAAATCAAATTTTCAATTATAATTATAAAAAGACAAGATTATTTTTGAAAAATTAAAAAAATTTAAAGATTTATTTATTTTCAAAATCAAATTTAAATTTAAATTTAAATTTGATGAGAAAAAAAACCGGGAAAAAATTTGGACATAACCGAGAAAATCCGGGAAATAACCGGGAATTTTGTTGAACGAAAATACTAGACACCCTGTAATTATCTTTTCTGTCCGCGGACATTCTAAGAAATTCTAGTAATGTCTCGGAGATATATTGAAATAAAAAACGTAACAATTAATTAATAATTACTTTCTGTGTTATTGCTTTTTCTATTTTCTTCATTTTCTCTATTTTTGTCATTTCCTTCCTATATATTTTTGAAAAAAATATAGTAACTTCCGATCCATTTTAAAAAATTGCAAAATAAACTATACCATAGTATATTCAGAACACTCAAATTAAAAAAAATAGGTACGTGTTCTATTAATTTTTACACAATTTTCGCAAAATTAAATAATGAAGTAAAATAAAAAGTTGTTAAACTTGTTTCTATTTCAACCGTTTGGTAAACGGTTTGGTAAACGGTTTAGAGTAAAAAATATCACTTTTCATAACAAATTGAGCTCGGCAGGATGCTATGAGGCAAGACCGATTATTGCACCGAAACGCTCAATTGATAAAAGACTTTGAATATTCTGAGGATCAGACTAGAAAAGCGAAAAAGATTATTTATACCTAGTAACAAATTCTACTACTATTTAGTCTTATTTTTTATTTTGAAAATTTAGAAATTGTTTTTTCCAGGGACGTCACACAAAGACTGGACAACTGGCAGCCATAAAAGTAATGGATGTTACTGAGGTAAATTAAATTTATAAATCATTGTTTAATATACATTTTAAGTAATTAATATACTAGTCAAATTTGTAAATGAAGAACGTAATATTCGCCAAATTGTCATTGATTTCATCTCATTGGCTAGATGACTTTCCAAAACTTGGTTTAAATTTTTTTACTTTTTTTTATTTCCAATCTAATTTTATTTATTTTATTCCTTGTATGTCGATTCATCGTAAATTCAATTGGAAGGCTTCGGATTTAAAAAAATTAATGTTCACAATTTCAAATTCCTGATGTCTAAAATTGCTCCAATTAAATTCTTCTATGGTTGAACCCAAGAATTTTCTGAATATTTGGAAAATTTAGACATTAATTTAATATAATATAATAATTGAATCTGTTATTGTTACGGTTCAGCAAAAGTTCATACAATGGACAAAAAATGTACCTGGGAGTATATCTGATAAAGTTAAAAAAATTGCTGAGGTCCTATTGGAATCAAGTTCTGTGAAATTGAAGATTTCAGTTGCCAATATATTCCATAGTCATTCGTCGGAAGAAAAATACAACGAATTGCGCACTGACCAGATCGAGTTTCAAAATACGGAGGTTCAGTTATCATCTCAATTGACAGAATTAATAGTTATTCATTTTTAAGAATTTAATTACCATTCTTTATAATAATTAAAAATTTAGTTGTTTAAATTGTTAATTGATCGGAAGAATTCAATTGTTATTTCACAATAACGTCAAGTTGCCATAGAAGAATAATAAATAAGAAAAAGACAATCTTTTAATGACAGTCAAGGAGATTACACGTTTACTTTCTGGAGTCACTTCGTTTTCTATTTATTGTGAAAGAACACTTATCAATTTTGGAGCCAGAGGAAACATGATCAACATTCCACCTCGGTTTTAAATTCAAGGTTTATCCTACCTAACATTTGAACCCTTCTTCGAAAGATCTGTCAATTTTTCTCCAAGGAAAGTAAATTATATAATTTGTCTATTCCAAAATTGAATTTTGATTTCCTTATTTAATTAATGAAATCAAATATTGGTTCGACCTGTTAAAATTTTAAAAGATGTAATTTTATAATTATTACCCTAAAATTGTTTTAATCTTCAAATATAATTGAGCTTTTAATTGTTTTAAATTGCCTTTATTCTTTTTTAATTTCTAATTAATCCAAATAGGATCTCGTGCCTGAATATTTATTCACAAAAATATTTTTCACTTTGTAACCAAATTAAAGTTAATTAAATAATTATATTTTTTACATTATAAGAATTTATATTCTTATAATGTGTAATGTAAAATCTTATATGTGTAAAAAATCTTATAAGGTTTCAACAATAATTTTTCTATTGTCAATTACATACCAAAACATTTTTTTTATACAGTTCTTTATAAATATCTGTCTATATATTTCAAAAATTTTCAAATTCTTTCAGGATGAAGAAGAAGAAATAAAACTGGAAATTAACGTCCTCAAAAGGGTGAGTACATAAAAAAAAATTAAAAATAAATTTACATTGTAATGAAAACTTTAAACGCGTTTTTCTCAAAACTGTATTTTAAAAATCGGTGGACACTCTGGATGCCACAAATTTCAATCGATCCTCTTAGTTCTTTTTTTATTTTGTTTGTGATATAATTATCTAGCGAAATACGTACGGATTTTTCGAAATATTAATATTTAAATTTTCTAGACAACTTTAAATAATGAAATTTAGGCAAAAATATGGACTTTTTCCTTCAAATCGATGCCATTTTGCGAAAAATAAATTTTTTTAAAACGGATACGAATTTCGCTAGATTTTGAGCTAGAGAAACTAAAGCATTTTTACTTTTTGGTCTAGCTTAATTCTGGACCGAGTTATAGTGTCCACCGTATGGCGATACATTTTTAAAGCACTTTAACATATCATCTGTCAAACCGACAATTTTAAAAAAAAGAAATTTATATATATTTTTTTGTAGTTCAAGAGTAGTACAATACCCAACTGTAATTTAATTTTCCTAAAAAAATCTTTGAAAATTTGAATTTATATTTACAATATTCTTATGATATAAAATAATGATTTTATCACTCTGTCATCTTAAATTCATTATAAAACATGAGGATATTCTCATAAGTTATTGAATTTGAGAATCTTAATTCCTATAGAAAAATAATAATAATTAAATATTTATTTAAAAAAGAAGTTATTGATGTTCTTCAGGGTGAGGGAAAAAGTGAAAATTTTGTCTGGAAATCAGGAAAATGTCAGGAAAAAACAAAATTAAAGTTTTGTGGCAACCCTGGAGAGGAGAAAATTTTTTTAATTCAATTGGAAAAAACTTTTTTAATCAATAATAAAAATTTAATTTAAAGACTTTTGATTTGTAAAATTTGAATTAATTGAATTAGTACCTACTTAGTATAGATTAAAATTATCCAGTGACTCAACGGAATGTTAAAATTGTTAATTTTACTTTTTGAGAAGTCAAGTGACTAATGATGCTTTCTTAAAAATCATCCACTATGGATTTTTATTGATAACACTTTCGGTTGTATTCACTGAAATATTTCCCACTTAATTTAAGTGGCGAATATTCTTGGCGCATATATAAGAAGTTTTTCTTGAAATTAGAATGTAATTTTTTCAGTGTTGACACGCAGAGGTTGCTCGTCTTAACAATTTTCTTTCTAAAATAAATGAGCGATAAAATTGATTGTTTATTGAAATATTTTCCAGTACTCGAATCATAGAAACATTGCAACCTATTACGGTGCTTTTGTAAAGAAGTCACCACCAGGCAAGGATGATCAGTTATGGCTTGTAATGGAATATTGTGGAGCTGGATCCGTCACGGATCTGGTCAAATCAACCAAAGGACAAAGCTTGAAGGAAGAATGGATTGCATATATTTCAAGGGAGATATTAAGAGGTCTCAGCTATCTTCACAGTAATAAAGTCATTCACAGGGACATAAAGGGACAAAACGTTTTACTGACAGACAATGCTGAAGTTAAATTAGGTACTTTTTCTAACACTTTAAAATGTGTTGAAGCAAATTTTTAGAATTCATTATAATCTTAATCTGTAAATTTTATTTTCTAGTCGATTTTGGTGTTAGTGCACAATTGGACAGAACAATTGGCCGCAGAAATACATTTATAGGAACGCCATATTGGATGGCCCCTGAAGTTATTGCTTGTGATGAAAATCCAGACGCTACATATGATAATAGAAGTGATCTTTGGTCTCTTGGAATTACAGCTTTGGAAATGGCAGAGTCGCAACCCCCTCTTTGTGATTTGCATCCTATGCGTGTAAGTTTTGCTCTAAAAGACCATTTACATATTTAAATAATTTTGCTAGCACTTGATAGTAACAAATTTTTGTGCATTCTCTAGGCTCTCTTCTTGATACCGAGAAATCCACCACCAAGACTCAAATCTAAGAAATGGGCAAAAAAATTCCACGGTTTCATAGAAACTGTTCTGGTTAAAGATTATCATCAACGTCCATATACTGAACAACTTTTGAAGCATCCATTTATCCGTGATCAACCAACAGAAAGACAAGTCAGAATACAACTTAAAGACCACATAGATCGTTGTAAAAAACGTAAACAAGAAAAAGGTACTATCTTATGCTCACTGAAACAATTTAATAACTCACTCTTTTCTCTAATTGAAAATTAATTTTTGTAGAACGAGATGATTATCGATATAGTGGAAGCGAAAATGAAGAGGACGAACCAGCGCTAGCTGGAGAACCCTCTTCCATAGTGCAAGCACCCGGTGGCGATACGTTGCGTCGAAATTTCCAACAAATTCAAGAGGGAAGAACTTTAACACAGGAAATTAGCACTCCAATGCCAGCTATAAAGGACAACAAACAATGTGGCAATAAAAATGCTAAAGAAATTCCAGAACCTGGACCTCCATCCAGACCGACAATACCTCACAGACTGATTGGTAAGCCTGCGTAAATATTTTATTCCAATTATCAACATTTGTTTGAACAATGTACTCTAATTGAATGCGCTTTCCTTCTCATTACATATTAATCTTTTTGGAAAGATCTATAGAATATGAAACATTTTAAACAGTTGTACCAGATCCTCAACCACCATGTCGACCTTTACCTCCAACTCCACGAGATGAACCTCGACAATCTCATAAAGTTTCCACACCTCCTTCGAATCATCAATCCTCTTCATGCGCTGGAGGCAATATCATTTCTTCTGGTCAAGCCGTATCGCAAAGAAACAGTCATATATTTAAGCCTACGGTAAGTTATATCATTATTTACATTATTTTATATTTTTATAACTTTCAAACACTATGAACTGTGTTGCCACAGGTCAGGGAATTCAGGGGAATTTGAATTTATCAGGGATTTTTATTAAAAGAACGGGAAAAAATTTAATTTTTAGAATTTATAACAAAATTCTAAATTTTGGTGTCTTTTTTGTTTGCCTCATAAACTATGAAATTGACAACAATTCTAATAGAAAACCTATAATTTTTTCTATTACTGACAATCATTTCTTTTTAAATAACTTAATTCTTCAAGAACTATCATAAAATTATTATTATTTAGAAATTATAAATTACTTAATGAATAATTTTACTTAAAAATTTCAAAATTAATTGGATTTCAAAAGAGTTGCGTTTACAATCTTCATAAATAGATGAACTTCAAAGGCTACAATTTGAAATTTTAGAAAATATCAATTTTTAATGAAATTAAATAGAAATTTTAAGAACAACTGATTCCAAAAATTAAATTATTTTCAAAAGTGATAAACTTCTTTGCCTAAAGTCAATTATGTTCAAAAATTTAAGAAAAATTCTCGTTAAAATTTCAATTATCTTTATAAATAATAAAATTCTTCTTTGAAATTCAATTACTTTAAAAAAAATTTAATAAAATTCATGTCAAAATTTTAAAAATTTTCCTCATTTTAATTATTTTTAATATCTACTATTTTAATAAAATTTTCCAAAAGAATTCAATTATGGTAAGTGTGCCAATTATGGCGCGGTTCTGGTTTAGCCGTCTTTGAAATAGAAAATTCAAAAATTATAATGAAAGAAGTAAATTTATGGCTTATTAAACTAAAAGGCCGTGTCATATAGATAATAAAACTTTTATAAAAACTTTATAAAAATTAATTATTTAAACAAAATTAAAGCAATAAGAATTAGGATTAAAAACGTCAATTATGGCGCGGTTGAGTCAATTTCGGCGCGCCAATTACGGCGGGGAAAATAACGTGTATTTAGAGGTTGTGTTGCGCGCCATAACTGGAGCACGCACATTCAATGAAAATGTGCCAATTATGGCGGGGCACAATTTTTGTACTTAAATAATTAAACCAATAATAGTTCAAATGTGTTTTTTTTCGTACAATTATATCGAGTAAGGTCGAAAATAACTTTTTCTATCATTTTCAAATAACGATATTATTCTAAAATAGTAAATAATTCTATTTTTTACAAAGTCGCCATAATTGGAGCACCCGCCACAATTGACACACTTACCCTATTTAAACAAAATTTTAATAAAAATTTCGGATCGCATGATTATTCCCCAAATGTTATTTTTCCGACATGTCATTTTACCGAACTGCACTTTTGCGAATACTCATTTTTGCGAAAATCCAATTTTGCGAAAAGCTATTTTTGCGAATTGTCATTTTTGCGAATCGCCATTTTTACGAATTGTCAATTTTCCGAAAAGTTACTTTTGCGAATCGCCATTTTTACGAATTGTAATTTTTTCGAAAAGTCATTTTTGCGAATTGTCATTTTTACGAAAAGACATTTTTGTGAAATGTCATTTTTGCGAAAAGTCATTTTTGCGAATTGTCATTTTTGAAAAATGTCATTTTTGCGAATTGTCACTTTTGCGAATCGATATTTTTACGAATTGACATTTTTACGAATTGTCATTTTTGCGAATAGTCATTTTTGCGAATAGTCATTTTTGCAAAAAGTTATTTTTGCAAATTGTCATTTTTGCGAATCGCCATTTTTACGTATTGTCAATTTTCCGAAAAGTCATTTTTGCGAATCGCCATTTTTACGAATTGTCAAATTTCCGAAAAGTCATTTTTGCGAATTGTTATTTTTGCGAAAATTTCTATAGTGAATCTATATATGCATACAAGTTTACTATAGGAATTTTCGCAAAAATGATAATTCGCAAAAATGACTTTTCGAAAAATTGACAATTCGTAAAAATGGCGATTCGCAAAAATGACTTTTCGGAAAATTGACAATTCGTAAAAATGGCGATTCGCAAAAATGACAATTCGCAAAAATGACAATTCGCAAAAATAGCTTTTCGCAAAAATGACTTTTCGCAAAAGTGCAGTTCGGTAAAATGACATTTCGGAAAAATAACATTTCGGAAAAATGACATTTGGGGAATAATCATGCGTCCCAAAAATTTCACAGGAATTCAATTACTTACCAATTTTTTGTAAATCTCTTCACACAAATTCAATTATTTTTAATTTTTTAATGAATTTTCTCGAAAGAATTCAAATATTGAATAAATATATACAGAAAATTGAAAAAAATATTTCTGAGAAATTCAATTATTTCGAAAAATTTTAATAAAATTCTTTTAAAAATTCTATTATTTAAAAAAATTTTGACAAAATTCTTTACAAGATTTAGTTAATAAAATTGCAATGTTAATAAAATTTTCCTATACAATTCAATTATTTTCAATACATTTCTTCTTAAGAATTCAATTATTTTCACAAATAATAAATTTTTTTATAGGCGAATTCAATTATTTTAAAAAATTCGAATAAAATTCTTCGCAAGAAATCAATTATTTTCATAAATAATAAAATTTTTCTCGAGAATTCAATTATTTTAAAAAATTTTGATAAAATGATTTATAAATTTGAAAAATTATAATATATAAATTGATCATAGAATAGAATTATTCTTCTAAAGAATTCAATTCCTTTAAAAAATAAAATTTTTTCACAGGATTTCAATTATTTAAAAAAAATTTAATAAAATTCTTCGTCAGATTTCAATTATTTTCAATTTTTTAATGAAATTTTTAGATGGAATTAAATTTTTTTTTTAAGTTTTAAAAAATTCTGAGAAATCCAATTATTTAAAAAGATGTTTAATAAAATTCGTTGCAGGAATTCAATTATTTTCATAAATAACAAAACTTGTCCTGGAATTTGAATTATTTGTTATACAATTTTAAATAAAATGATAGAAAATTGCATTTAATCTTAAATTTTTTTTTAAATTTACCTAAAGAATTCAATTACAGTAGACTCTTTCAATAGTGTAGTCGTCGGCAATGTTGTGCAGTATTGGAAGAGTGCATAAACGGAGTACTCCATAAACGTAATAATTCAGGTCCGTGTCAAGAAAATAAAGCGACAACACTGTATTTCACGTCACAGATTCCCTTGCCCTTTGCCTCCCGGAACCCCTCGTCTACTGAACTCACTAATGACTGCACTGTTCAGAACTGCACTATTGAAAGAGTCTACTGTATTTTTAAAAATTTCGATAAAATTCTTCATAAAAATTCAATTTTAAGAAATATTCAATTATTTAATAAATTATTTATTTTTGTATTTAAATAATTGAATTCTCGTAAAATTTTCTAATAAAAATTGATTAAAAAATTAATTTCACTTAAAATTTTAAATTATAATTGAATATTAAAAGCATTATGGCGTGAATTTTTAGAATTATAATTGAATTTTGAAATGGGTTCAAATTAAAATCTTGGAAAATTAGAATTTGTAGTTACAATATTCTTATCATATAAAATAATGATTTTATCACTCTGTCATCTTAAATTTATTATAAAACATGAAGGAATCGATTCCGAGTCTTCTACTCGGGGTGATCGATTTCCTCATGTTTTATAATAAATATTCTCATAAGTTATTGAATTTTCGAAGGTTTGAATTTAAAAATCTTAATTCCTATAGAAAAATAATAATGATTAAATATTAATTTAAAAAAGAAGTTTTTGATGTTTTTGAATAATTTTGCAATTAAAGAAATTCGTAAATAAATCTAATAGAATATTGTTTTAAGTCAGGGAAAAACAAGATTAAATTTTTGCAGTTCTAATATGGGGCAAAAAAAAATTTTTTAATTTATCAGATTCGCTTAAAATTTGTAACTCGGGGTTTATTGATGTCGCAGATTTAAAATTTTACGACATTTTTTGGAGAAATTATCCACCACAAAAAATTTCATGAACATTTAATAATTTTCGAAAAATATATCTGTCTTTTTGAATTTTTAAAATCTGACTTCGGAGTCGTAATTAACTATATAAATTATATTAATATAACTATATTATAGTTAATTTCTTTTAGTTAGTGATTAAAAATAAACACCGATTTTTGAATTTTTTTTGTTACATTTTTGCAGGCATTATCAATTGAAAGCGACAGTGATGATGATGTTGAAGAAAATAGTGGAATTAATATAAGAAATGATGGGACGTTACTTGCCAGTGATCCGCCGAAACCTTTGTAAGACTTTTATTTCAATCGTTTAATATTTCTAACTTTTTTCATTTAAAGATGTATTTTTTTATTTTCATTATTTACAATTGATGAATCATATCAGAAGAGTTTTTGTTTTTTATATTTTCAGTTGCAACTTTACTCTAAGAAATAAAAATAGAATCTGATATTATGTACTTATATTACTTTGTGTTCTTTTATAACATACAAAATTAATACATATATGTATATTTTTAATTAATTTTTTTCAGACCAACGACAGAATCATCGTCGACTTCTTCCCACAATGCTTACAATTCACATCATGAAGGTAATTATTTATGTCTAAACTAAAAATATCAACTTATTAGTATAAATGCTGTTTTTGGCTTCAACTTTGCTGTACATTATGTTTTTAAATTTTTATTATTTTTTTGTTTGAATACATGCATGAATTGGTGAAATTAGCTATAACGTACATTTCTTAAATAAATAAAATAAATTCTATGTTTTTCCTAAGGATTTGTTAATTTATGATTATTTGTTATTAGACATTAATTAATGAAATAAAACTATTATTCAGGTGGAGCACCAAATCGTCCATTGCCTCCAACTCCAGATGAAGAGGAATCAGGAGATCGTACACTAGTCATGAAAAGGGTAATGAACACTATCATAATCACTATTAACAAAATTTTAAGACTTTTATCATCTATCTCCAGACATGGCCTAGATAATCTTAATCCATTAATATCTTGTACTATAAATATACTCATATTTATAATATTCTACAGAATCGCGAAGCAGATCGCATGAGAGCAGGTTCTGATTTTCAAAGGTCAGAATCATCTCCTGGATCCAGACCATGTTCTGTTTTGCCTGATTTATTAACTTCATCGCCAAGTCAACGGCAGGACAAATCTACAAGTGAAGAGGTTAGAATTTTAAGATTTATTAACTTTATATAACGTGCTTTAATAATAATTATCAAAACACGTTATAATTTTCAGTAATCAATTTTTCAATTGACTGCAAAAATTTGTGAACAATCTGATAAGCCAACATGAAAAATTTTAATGTTCAGTTTGAAAACTGGCCAAATTTGTTTCAGTATCGACAAGCAGTGAAGTCGCCTCCATTAGCGCTTCAGCAAAAGCAACGCTCGTTTCTTACTTTTGGCTTTGGCGCGGGACCGGCCAGAAGAGAATCGCACGTAAACGTAAATGTGACGCCCACTAGTCATGATTTAGCATCCGATACTCCAGAGATTCGAAAGTATAAAAAACGATTTAACAGCGAAATTCTTTGCGCTGCTTTATGGGGTAAGTTACAGTAGTTTCCATTTAGCTTGTGACGTAGAGAATCAAATTAATATATTACAGGGCTCGGATTGTGCGACTTTTTCGACTTTTTTCGATTTTTTTTGTGAAAAAATGCGACTAATCGACTTTTTCGAGGTTTTTTTTAGTAAAATGCGAATGAAATTAAAAATTTTTTTTTAAATTTAAAGGAAAAAGTTTGAATCAAAAAAATGTTTTGTTACATTTATTTACAAATTTCTTTCAAATTTTTCAAAAACATCAATAACTTCTTTTTTAAATAAATATTTAATTATTATTTTTCCATAGGAATTAAAATTCTTCAAAAGATTCAAATTCAAACCTTTTTGAAATTAAACAACTTATAAAAAATTGTTATAAAACATAAAGAAATCGATGTCTTCATGTTTTATAATAATTAAAGATAACCGAGTGATAAAATCATTATTTTATATTATAAAATTTTATAAAAAAAAAATTTTTTAATTATTTTTTATGCAAATAATTGAACTATTGTAAATAAATTTAAAAAACATTAGTAAGTAATTGAATTTTGCAGAAGAATGTTGATATTTACAAAGATAATTGAAATCTTGACAAGAATTTTATTAAAATTCTTTGCAAATAATTGAATTTCAGGGAAGAATTTTATTATTCACAAAGATAATTGAAATTTTAAACAGATTTTTTTCTAAAAATGGTTAAAAGTAATTGAATTTTGCAGAAGAATTTTGATATTTATAAACATAATTGAACTTTTGAGAATTTAAAAAAAATTTTTGAAAATAATTGAATTTCTGTGAAGAATTTTCTTACTTTTGAAGATAATTGAATTTTGCAAAGAATTTTATCAGAACTTTTGAAAATAAATAAATTTCCATGATGAATTTTATTATTTATGAAGATAATTAGAATTTTAACGAGAAATTTAAAAAAAAAATTTGAAAATAATTGAATTTCAGAGAAGAATTTTATTACATTTGAAAATAATGGAATTTCTAAGATGAATTTTATTATTTATAAAGATAATTGAAATTTTGACAAGAATTTTATTAAAATTTTTGCAAATAACTGAATTTCAGAGAAGAATTTTATTATTTATAAAGATAATTGAAATTTTGAACAGATTTTTTAAAAATTGTTTTAAAAGTAATTGAATTTTGCAGAAGAATTTTGATATTAATAAATATAATTGAAATTTTGAGAAGAATTTAAAAAACAATTTTGAAAGTTATTTAATTTCTGCCAAGAAATTTATTACTTTTGAAAATAATTGAATTTCTAGGATGAATTTTATTATTTCTAAAGATAATTGAAATTTTGACAAGAATTTTCTTAAAATTTGAACAGATTTTTTTTAAAAATATTTAAAAGTAATTGAATTTTGCAGAAGAATTTTAATATTTATAAACATAATTGAAATTTTGAGAAGAATTTAAAAAAAAATTTTGAAAATAATTGAATTTCTGTTAAGAATTTTCTTACTTTTGAAGATAATTGAATTTTGCAAAGAATTTTATCAGAACTTTTGAAAATAATTACATTTTTATGATAAATAAACAATAAATTGTTTATAAAATTTTGACGAAAAATTTTTTTAAAAAAATCTTGAATTTAATTGAATTTCTGCGAAGAATTTTATTACTTTTGAAAATAATTGAATTTCAGAGAAGAATTTTATTATTTATATCCATAATTGAAATTTTGACAAAATTTTTTTTTAAATAATTGAATTTCGGAGAAGAATTTTATTATTTATAAAAATAATTGACATTTTAAAGAGAATCTAAAAAAAATGTTAAAAATACCTAATTAAAATTTTGCTATGAATTTAAAAATTTTTAAAAATTTTATTCCGGATTGTTTGATATTAATGTATCTGTTGTTGAGAAATGTGATTTTTTTTACAATTTTGACAATTTCGTGTTTCCTTTTTGTCTTTTTTTCTAAAATTTCATGCGACTTTTTTCCGACTTTTTCGGAAATTTTATGCGACTTTTACATATTTAAATATTCAATTCGAAACATTTGCATCAAATCCCGTCCAAGAATAGTTATAATTATAAAATAATGATTTTTATTTTTAGGTGTTAATTTACTAATTGGAACAGAAAATGGTCTTATGTTATTGGATAGAAGTGGACAAGGAAAAGTATATCAATTAATTAGTAGGAGACGTTTTCAACAAATGGAAGTTTTAGAAGGACAGAATATTTTGGTTACTATTAGTGGTAAAAAGAATAGAGTACGAGTTTATTATCTGTCTTGGTTGAAAAGTAAAATTCTACGAACTGATGGACACAGTGATGTAAGAATGAATTAAAATTTAAATATTTATTATATCCATAGAATATAATTGAATGAATTGTTTATTTACTGCTACTGAAATATTTAATTTTGTTTGCTTACGGTATTCGTACTTATGAAAAGCGTTTTGAAAATTTTAGCAAGTTGAACGTCGCAATGGATGGATTAACGTTGGGGATCTTCAAGGGGCTGTTCACTTTAAAATCGTGAAATATGAGAGAATAAAGTTTCTTGTCATTGCTCTGAAAGATTCGATTGAAATTTATGCCTGGGCACCAAAACCGTATCACAAGTTCATGGCATTTAAATCTTTTGGTGAACTTGCTCACAGACCGCTTCTAGTTGACCTTACAGTAGAAGAGGGAACTAGATTAAAAGTAATATACGGTAGTGCCGACGGTTTTCATGCTGTAGATTTAGATTCAGCGACAGTGTACGATATATATCTACCCAAGCATGTAAGTATTAATGTTTCTTGTTTGTGCGCTAGATGTAACTGTTCTTTTTTAATGTTTTTTTTTAATTTTGCAGACTCAGGGACCAATTTGTCCACACTGCATTGTGGCATTACCCAATAGCAACGGTATGCAATTGCTTCTCTGCTACGATAACGAAGGAGTGTACGTCAACACGTATGGAAGAGTTTCAAAAACAATGGTTCTGCAATGGGGGGAAATGCCCACAAGTGTTGCATACATTGGCACTGGACAAATAATGGGTTGGGGCAATAAAGCTATTGAGATAAGAAGTGTCGAGAGTGGTCATCTCGATGGCGTTTTTATGCACAAAAAAGCTCAGCGGCTCAAATTTCTTTGTGAACGTAATGATAAGGTAACTTTACAAATATTTGGGTAAGAATTCCTGAAGTGGGCCCCTATTTTTCATTGGTTTGGTGGATTTTTCTCATTCTTATATGTTTCGATAGCCTATGATGGCATAATAAAAACTTGTAAATAGTTTTCCGAAATTCGAATATTTGCCAAAGTTATTCAAGGTCAAAGTTATTTGTAGCGTTTTAGTAAATAGCTAATTACTCGCGATCGGATGAACCGATTTTAATAAAAATTGGAGGAGAGTTTACCTAAAGAATTGTACTTTAGATAAATGATCAAAATTTTAATTAAAAAATATAATTTGTTTAAATAAATTAACTTTTTAATTTTTGGGGTTAAAAAAAAATTTGTTCTCCATCTTTTTTTTGGATTTTTTTTAAATAATCAAATAGAGAATACTTGTAAGATTTTGTTTCAACAATAAAAAAGTGGGATTCTCTATCACTTTAGAAAATATAATATTTTTAGTTACAAAATTTTTTGAAAAGTTAAAGAAATTTGAAGCAAAACAAATGAATGAACTAAACTTGGTTGGTTAAAATTGTCGAGTTTAGTTCATTCATTTGTTTTGCTTCAAATTTCTTTAACTTTCCAAAAAAATTTGTAACTAAAAATATTATATTTTCTAAAGTGATAGAGAATCCCACTTTTTTATTGTTAAAATAAAATCTTAAAAGTATTCTCTATTTGATTATTAAAAAAAAATCCAAAAAAAAGATGGAGAACAAATTTTTTTTTAACCCCAAAAATTGAAAAGTTAATTTATTTAAACAAATTTTATTTTTTAATTAAAATTTTGATCATTTATCTAAAGTACAATTCTTCAGGTAAACTCTTCTCCAATTTTTATTAAAATCGGTTCATCCAATCGCGAGTAATTAGCTATTTACTAAAACGCTACAAATTACTTTGACCTTGAATAACTTTGGCAAATATTCGAATTTCGGAAAACTATTTACAGGTTTTTATTATACCATCATAGGCTATCGAAACATATAAGAATGAGAAAAATCCACCAACCCAATGAAAAATAGGGGCCCACTTCAGGAATTCTTACCCATTTATTTCTTTAATGTCTATTAGCATGTCTAACTAGCAAATGTTACGCGCGGAATATGCTATTCAATTTATTAGTATATTATGCAAATTACAAAAATTTTTATTTTCAACAAAATTTTAATAAATTGTTTTTTAAAATAGTAAAACCTTTGCAAAAATTCAATTATTATCAATACAATATCAAATAAAATCCACCAAAGAATTTAAATTTTCATCGAAACAATTATATTATTTTTCAAAAATTCTAATGAAAATCTTAGCAAGATTTCAATTATTTTCATAAATAACAACATTTTTCAAAGGATTTCAATCATTTTCAAAAATTTTAATAAAATTCTTCTTAAAAGTTCAATTTATCTTCATAAAAAATAAAATTCTTTGGAAAATTCCAATTATTTTCATTAATAGAAAAATTCTTCGGAGGATTTCAATTATTTTCAAAAATTTGAAACATATTCTTGTTATGAAATCCTTTTGAAGTAAAATTAATAGCAAAAATTAAATTACTTTTTATAAATAATAAAATTTTCCTGAGGAATTCAATTACTTTCAATACAATTTTAATAAACTTCAAAAATCAAATATTTCATTATAATTACTCAGTCACGATTATTTTAAAAAGTTGAAAAAATTCTTTGTTTAATTTAATAATTTTCGATTAAAATTATTCAAAAAACTGTACTATTTAAAAAAAAAAACTTAAAGATTCTTCAAAAAAATTTAATTATCTACAAAAACTCTAATAAAATTGTTTAAAAGAGTTTAATTTTCTATCAATAAATTTAATAAAATTTAAAAAAAAATTTAATACAGTTTTCCACGAGATATCGATTATTTTCATAAATAATAAAATTCCGTGAAAAATTCAATTATTTTCATAAATAATAAAATGTTTCAGAGAAATTCAATTATTTTCAATAGAATTTGAATAAAATTTCTCGAAAGAATACAATTATTTTTAAAAATATTATTTAAATTCAATTATTTTCAAGATTTTTAATAAAAATTCAATTATTTTCAACAATTTAATTATTTTTATAAATTGTAAAATTCTTGGCAAGAATTCAATTATGTTTGAAAATAATAAAATTCTTTCGAGAACTTCAATTATTTTCAATATAATTTTAATAAAATTCTAAGAAAAAAATGAATTGTATACTTATAAGATAATTTTAATAAAATTTCTCTAACAGGTTTAATTAATTTTAAAAATTGTAATAAAATTTTCTAAATAATTCACTTGTGCTTAAAAGTTTTTAAAAAAATTCTTTGTAAATTTCAATTTTATTTTCAAAATTTTCAATTAAAATTACTTTTAAAAAAATTCATTATTTTTACGAAATTTAATGAAATATTTAATTTAATATTTCACTTTAATTTTCAAATTTTTTTATAAATACTTTACAAGAATTAAATGATTTTCAGTACATCGACAATTTAATTATTTCTGAAAATAATTGAATTCTTGAATAGAATTTTATTATGTACAACTTTTTTCCTGCGAAAAAATATATTATTTCTACAAATAATTGAATATTTACCAAATTTTTAAAAATAAGTGAATTTTTTAGAAGAATTTATTAGTTTGTATTTAAAATAATTAAATTCCTGTAAAAATGTACTATTTATTGATATTATTGAATTTTTTTGAAGAATTTAAAAAAAAAATTTTAAATAATTTAATTTTCCCTGGAATTTAATTTAAATTGTATTTAAAATAATTGAATCAAAGCGAAAATTTCATTATTTATGAAAATAATTAAATTCTTGAATTGAATTTTATTAAAAGTTTTTTGAATAATTGAACTCGTGTGAAAAATTCAATTATTTTTTTTAAAAAATTGAATTTTTTTGGAGAATGTTTACAAGATTTTTAAAAATAATTAAAATTTTCGAAGAAATTAATTAAAATTGTATTGGAAATAAGTGAAAGTTACAATGAATTTTATTACAATTATTGAAAATAATTGAATTCTTGATAAAAATTCAGGTTCTTTTAAAATTTTTAGTAAAAATTATTTTTAAAAAATCCACTATTTTCAAGAGTATTGAAAAAATTCTTAAAAAAATTTCAATTATTTTAAAGAATTCTAATAAAAATCTTGCCAAAAATTAAATTATTTTAAATACAATTTTAATTACATTTTATCGAATGAATTCAATTATTTTCAAAGTTTTTTTATAAATATTTTACAAGAATTCAATGATTCATTTATTTAAAAAGTTATGAAAAAAAGCAAACAGCAAATAACTTCAAACTGCGAACAGATTACCGGAATACAGCGATTATTATTAATATAGATTATTCACGAAATGAGATCACAAAAAACTGACCTTATATATTTACTACATTTCGTACGATTTGCTACTATTTGGAGACTTTCCTTAAATGTGACTCCATCGAAATTGTAGGAATTTTTTTCCAAAGTAGTGAAAGTAGTTCAATTTCTGGAATTGCTTCAAAAATACTGATTTTTGGAGAACTTTGAAAATATTGAAAACTTTAAAATGTCGTTGAATTTTTTTGCTCATTACATACTAAAAAAAGAGTTCTAATTTTTATAAAAAGATGAAATTTTGTGTTAAAAAAATTAACTACTTTTCACTTTTTTTAGGTAATTTGAATAGACAAAAACAATTTTTTTTGCGTTTTTATTATTTCAAGTTATAAGTTATACTTCTATTAAATAAAAAATGATGTGCCATAATTTTTAAGGCCTCCAAAATACTTTTTATTACTCTATAAAGTATTGTCTTTTACGATAATATTATCAGCGTCACTTATGTAAATTTCTCTTTGATAGAATTAATTAAAAACTCTATTTTAATAATTGTTAATAAGTTTTTAAATTTTTTGTAAATTTTCAGGTATTCTTTTCATCGGCTAAAGGTGGCAGTTCGTGTCAAATATATTTTATGACCTTAAATAAGCCTGGCATGGCCAACTGGTGATTATACAGAGAACTGCGTACAACTTGATTATCAACAACATACGTATCGATTAAAGTACGATTTAAAAAAATGTTATGTTGCCTAAGAAGATACATTTTTAGACAAAAGGCTCAGTTACTTTTCACTGCCACCATGAAAACATCTAGAAGTGTGTGTTCATCGCTATAAAAATAACAAAATAATTTAAATTATAAAATAAAACAATGTAAAATTGTGTTTCATGTTATTTTGGCAGTTTGCTCTAATGTCATAGAAAAAAATATGAGCGTAGTTTTGAAAAGATTTACGATTTCTGTATTGAAATATCTATTAACATCACTGTTTTATATAATCTAAATATTGTATTGTTTTGTTAAGCAATTTTATATTATAGTAAAAGAATTTTCATTTTTTATTATAAATAATCATCATATGAATTTTATATTTAGAACAATTTGTATATCTTTAATTTTTTACAATTTTTTACTTTTTCTAACTCTTACTCAAATTTTAAAATGCTACATAAACATGCTGGTGTTCTGGAATTGTACATTTATCCTAGAGTGCTAGAAAATGCCAAAATTTTTAAAAATTTATTTAGAATATTCAAAACAATTTTATAATTGATTACAATAAATTGTAATGATTAAAAAATCAGTATTTTATTTTTATTCGAAACGATATTTAAATCGACAATTTTATTTTTTTTAATGAATACGTACGTACATACTTATCCCCCCTGCTGCAAGTAGGTCTCGAAGATATAAATGTAGTTTATCTTAATTCTAAATCGCAGGGTATTTATAACACCATTTCAATATAAATGCCTTTTAAAGTTATTAACATTATTTTAAAGGCGATTTTTTAGACTCAGATTTACTTACTCATAAAATTTAATATCATGTATACTCGTTGGAATTTTAATATTTTTTTTGATAATAATAGTTTCAAACTTAAATTTGAATGAATCTTAATTAATAAATTTATTTTAATTTTTAGTATATTAAAATAAAAATATATTAATATTAATGATTAACAAAGAATTTTGTAAATAATTAGTAAAGTTAATTAGTAAATCGATTAAATTGGATAAACCTGACAGCTCTTTAGATCAAAGATAAAAAATTATAACAAAACTTGAAACATATTCTGCCGTTCGTTGGTCGAGTTCAACAGGGGAATTGCTTCCTGGTTCATAAATTTTGATGCCATTCCCGAATATTCAAGAGCACCAGGAAGACGAAAATTCATAACATAAACCATAGCACAAACGAAGTACTTTTGTAGCGACGCGTTCGTGCCCAGGTAATCGGTCATTTAATTCATTCTCGATATAGTGTTAATAAAAAATAAAATTAAAATTCATTTTAAAACGTACCTAGTAATTAAGTAATTGAACTTTTTAATTGTTTCAATTTTTAAAAAATTATTTTCGGAAATACAATTATTTTAAAAAAATTCTAATTATATTTTTTCAAGAAACCATTTTTTGGAATTTCTGAATTAAATTACTCAAAATTTCAATACTTTTTGTTAAACAAAAAATTTTCTTATTTATTTTTCGACAGGAATTCAAATTTCATCCTGATTTTAATGAAAAACCTTTTGAAATTTAATTATTTCTAAAAATTGCAATTGTAATTCTTCCAAAATTAAATTATTTTTTAGAATTTTTGAATTAAATTATTTAAAACTTTAAGAATTTTTAAAGAAAAATAATATAATTAATAATTTCTTAAAATACAAATTTTAAATATAAAATTTTACAAAATTTCCGATTGTTTCAATTTTTAAAAATTATTTTCGCGGGAATTCAAGTATATCTTCAAAAAATTGTAATCCTACAATTTTTCATAAACCTAATTTTTTCAGAATATCCAAATTAAATCTTTCAAATTTCAATCATTTTTGTAAAATAAATATTAAAATACTTATTGTTCTTTATTTGCTTAAAGTTTCGAAATACTTTCAATGTAAAACCATTTGAAACATTTTTTATGAAAATTTGTACTGCAAGTCTTCCAAAATTCAATTATTTTTTTAGAATTTTTAAATAATATTATTCAAAAATTTTAATTTCTAAGGAAGCTAATAAATTAATAATTTTTTAAATTTAAATATTATGATACTTTTACAGCAATTAGAATTTCAAAGATTGAAATTTAATTATTTCTAAAGAATCCTAATTCTTATCAGAATTCAATTATTTAAATAAAAAAATAATAATTTTTATTAATTTATGAGACTTGGAAATATTTTTAATAATTGAAACTTTAAATTTTAACAAAGTTGCCATAGATCAGGAAAATCAGGGAATTAAGGGAAACGTCAGGGAAAGTAGAATTGGTCAAGGAAATAATCTTATTATTAAATTTTTTAAAAATTATAACAGAAAATTAAACTCTTTAAAAGATTTTTATTTGTTTTTGAAAATAATTAAAATTTTTTGAAGAATTTCTTTAAATTTCGTAAGAATATAATGTAATTTTTAAAAAATAATTTTCACTGAAAGTTTTAAAAATAATTGAAATTTACAAAGAATTTTATAAAAAAAAACTTTTGAGAATAATTTGAAATTTTTAGAAAAATTCTATTACAATTTATAAAAATAATTGAATTTTTTGGAAGAATGTTACAATATTTATAAAAGTAATTCAATTGTTTCGAAGAATTTCATCAGAATTTTTGAAAATTATTGAATTCAATCGAAAAATGTTATGAAAACGTATAAAAATAATTCATTTTTCTTAAGAATTTTATAAAAACTGTTAAAAATAGTTGTAATATTTTAAAAAATAATTGCATTCTTCCGAGAAATTTTATTAAAAATAATTTAATTCCTTTAAAGGATTTTATCAGAATTTTTAAAAATTTAATTAAATTTTTTGAAACAATGTTATGAATAATTATGAAAATAATTGAATTCAGTCGAATAATTTTATTAAAACGTTTACAAATAATTAATGTTTAAAGTATTTTATCAAAATAAAAAAAAATAATAAAAATAATCGAATTCAATTATTATTTTTAAAAATAATTGTATTTGTTCTAGAAATTTTATTAATATTGCATTGGAAATAATTAAATTCCTCCGAGGAATTTTATGTTTTATAAAAGATGTATTCCACGTCAGTTCAACACAAAAAATTTTATTAGGTTTTGGGATTCGGTTGAAATTAGGTAGATTATATCCTCTGGTGGTAGTAAATAAAATCCCTAAGCGATTTTAAAAAATTTTAAAAATTGGCGGACATATTGGATTTTTAATTTTTTTGTACTTTTTTTTTGAAAAATATATATCTCTGCTTCTTCTTAACGGATTTTAGTTTATGACCTCTTAAATTGTTCGTATTGAAATATACTTTTATTTAAAAAATTAAAATTAAAAAAATTATTTAAATTTTTTGTTTAAAAAATTAATTTAATTTTTTGAAAAGCCATAGAAAAAATATGCTACCTTCAATTTTGATCATTTTTTTACCATTTGTAGCCATAAATGTGTTGAACTTGTCCTGAAATTTTCATCGTGGGACAGCCAGTAGTTTTTGAGAAAAAAAATAAAACGTAAATCCTCGCATAGCGCTGTAGCGCTCAGTTTTAATGCCGCACGATTGTAAATGGAATTTTAATGAAAGTACGAGTTTTTATTAACCCTAGAACTAAAATATGATTTTTTTATAGACTAACGAAAAACTGAGGTGGTTTGGTACCCCAGATTTGAAACAATTGTAAAAGGTTACCTTTTTTGTAATTTTTTTAATTTGTCAACAATGTGGCTAATTTGAAAAAATTAAACGGATTTTAAAAGGTAAATAGAGACAATTTTATTTTGATTAAGGCAACTTGAAAATTTAAATATTATTTACAATATATACAAATGTTAAATGATTTTAAAATAGAATAAAAATTATTTATTACAAAGGAGGTTTCTATTTTTTACGGAAGAGTTTCCGAGGTCGTACAGTTTTTCTTTATTTACCTTTTAAAATCCGTTTAATTTTTTCAAATTAGCCACATTGTTGACAAATTAAAAAAATTACAAAAAAGGTAACCTTTTACAATTGTTTCAAATCTGGGGTACCAAACCACCCCAGTTTTTCGTTAGTCTATAAAAAAATCATATTTTAGTTCTAGGGTTAATAAAAACTCGTACTTTCATTAAAGTTCCATTTACAATCGTGCGGCATTAAAACTGAGCGCTACAGCGCTATGCGAGGATTTACGTTTTATTTTTTTTCTCAAAAACTACTGGCTGTCCCACGATGAAAATTTCAGGACAAGTTCAACACATTTATGGCTACAAATGGTAAAAAAATGATCAAAATTGAAGGTAGCATATTTTTTCTATGGCTTTTCAAAAAATTAAATTAATTTTTTAAACAAAAAATTTAAATAATTTTTTTAATTTTAATTTTTTAAATAAAAGTATATTTCAATACGAACAATTTAAGAGGTCATAAACTAAAATCCGTTAAGAAGAAGCAGAGATATATATTTTTCAAAAAAAAAGTACAAAAAAATTAAAAATCCAATATGTCTGCCAATTTTTGAAATTTTTCAAAATCGCTTGGGGATTTTATTTACTACCACCAGAGGATATAATCTACCCAATTTCAACCGAATCCCAAAACCTAATAAAATTTTTTGTGTTGAACTGACGTGGAATACACCAAAAATAAATGAATTTTTCCAAAGAATGTTATTTTTTATGAGAATAATTGAATTGTTTTGAAGAATTTTTAAAAATAAGAATTAAATGTTTTGAAAGAATTTTATTAAAAATTTTGAAAATAATTGAATTGAATCGAAAAATTTTATTAAAACAAGATGAAAACATAAGAGCGAGAAATCTTTCAACACTAGGTCAAGAAATTCATCTTAGAATACTCTTTAATTTAAAAATTAAAATTCACTTTGTAAAATTTTTATAATATAGAAGATTTGTAGAAGATTCAGTCGATAAAAAGTTTCTCTAAAGTTTAAACAATTTTCTTAACATTTTAAAAGTGGATACTAATGAAATAAAATTTAAATTTCTTTAAAGAGAACAACAAGGTAAAGGAACAACAGGTATAGGTGTAAATTTTATTTATTTAACATGAAACAAGAAAACTTTGGTATAAAACAAAGTAGTTGTAATGCATTGACAGTAATTCATAGCTGGTTTTTTGTCGAATTATATATTATAATTATTCATTAAGGTGAATTTAAATAAATTTTTCAAAATACACTTTATTTACGCAGTGTATTAAGTTGTAAAATTTGAGAAACATTAGATCAAAAACCGGCAACTCCATTTTTAACATATTTGCAATTTTCAATTGCAGTTTTGATAACAATCATCAACTACAATTAATTTCTCCAAATAATGTGAAAATTGGAATTGGATTTGTTCTGACACTCAACAATTGTACAATATAGCACGAAAAAGTTTGCCACTTACGAAAAAGTAAAAAATGAATCACTTTTTCATTCCTTTTCTTTTTTTTAATTCGCACAATTACGCACTAAGCAGCTTAAGAAGCTATATTTTTTATAAGATTTATTAGCTGATAAAGTAACTGCATTTTTATTTAGTTTAAGCCTAAAAGTGTTTTAAAGCGGCAATTTCTTTTATACTGACGATGCATTAATGAAACATTCATTATCGCATAATTGCATTGTTCTGAATCAAGTAATGATTTTCAGACTTTTATTTATGAAATGTTACACAAAATGCCACATAGAAAATATATTGTTTTCTGATACTATAATTGCGTAACTAAACATCTTATTTGAAAAAAATGGAATCAGTACAATTTACAAAAATTCTTATGTTCAATTTGTGTTTTCCGTTTTTTTTGTTATATACAATTTTAAATTCTGTAATTTGAAATTGTAAGAATCGAAATATTCATCAGGTTCATTGTATTGCTCGTTGATATGAAAATGCCGCTTTATTTTATACTGATATAATTATGAACGGTTAATCTTATGGCAGTTGTCTAAAATAAAACTATACTTATCAATTTACGATATCCTGGGTATATTTTTTTGAGTTCATAAATAACTCGATGAATTTTAAAATTTCATGAATTTCAAATTCATCGAATCAATTACGTACCATTTTTTAGTGCTAGTTGACTATGTTTAATTTTTTTTGAGATTAATCGTGTGTTTTTGTTGGTTTTTTTTTTAAATTCAAACGCGATAAGCGAAAAGTTTACGAGTCTTACACAAATCGTAATAGTTTAGTTTATAATATTATAGTTTTGAGTACTGCTATATCTAATAGCACAATTTAACACATATACGACACACAAAAAACTGCGCAGCATTAAAATCACATCGATGACAGAGGGTTCGTCGTCGCAGCCAAACCAATTACCATTATAGTTTCTATAACGATTTTATACTTATTTCAATGATCATCAATGATCATCAATTATCATCAATTATCATCAATCTTCATCATACAGTCGTATACCTCTCGACATTGACTATTTTTCATTCCTTTGGCTCATGAAGAACGAGGAAATTCAAAATAATTTTTTAAATTCCTTTCATAGATTATCAAAACGAAATTTAAAAAATCACTTTTATTAAAAAAAGGATGATTTTGATTTTGAATCAATTGAAATGCAATAAAAATTGCATAAAATTGCAATAATTGAAAATTGGCACACATAAATAAATATTATGCTAAAAATAGGAAAACTAGAAAGAAAATCAATGTCGTCGCCGGTATGCTTCCTCTTTTTTAAAATTCGACGCGAGAAAAATGATGGCTGCCGATCGACGCATGGCACATAAACAAATGTGACATCTACATTATACTTATATAGCCTAGCAATAATACCATTGTAAAAATGACCTATGAGTTTGGTAATACGCACGACGTCTACAATCCACTGGTTTGCCTTTTAATTTGAACAAATCTTTGTTCTTTGGTTTCTTGTTGCATTTATTATTTGCCGTCGTAGACATCGTGTAATACCAACTCGCAACCATCTGTTCGATTAAAGTTCTGAGCTATCTACGCATACTCGTTAATTATTTGCATTTGCGGAACAATCGATTGTATCTGTGAAATGTTCATCGCAACCGTACAATGCTCTAATATCACAAAGTAGTAACGAGGATGATTTTGTGTAAATATGAGCATAAATGTACGGCCATGACCGTAAATATGACAGAGTCATCGTTTTTCTTTAAACCACATGATGATTTTTCTTTTTTTCTTTTTTTCTTTTTTCATTTTCATATCATTCGTCGGAGACACAACCTTCGTTACAAAATTATAAATCGTTGGTCTATAAATCACGGCAGTGTAATAGAACTATGAGTTAATAAAAAACCAAGTGAAACATTTAAACATTCGGACCCTTAAAAATTGAATTAAATGCAAAAAATTAATTGAATACATAGTAAATATGCTTCATTGTTATAATTATATCGACTTTAAAAACTTTAATTTACGGAAGAAATAATTTATTTTATTTTATTATTTAAAAACAAAATTATGAGCATATTAAAATAATTTAAAAGTTTTCACTGCAAAAGCAAAGATTCTACTTTCTATGACTGGTTTTGATGCGAAATAATTTTTTATCCATTCGTTGCAGTTAAAAAGTCTAGTAAAAGTCACTTAATTGAAACTTAGATTGAAATTAAAAACTCAAGTTGGGAGCATTTTTCACCTTTCAGTTAATATCACAGATACATAAATAATAGAGAGAATTATTTTCAATTCTTTAACATTGGGGAGATGTAAACTTATTAAAAAGAAAATTACGAATTCAGCCCACAATAAATGGACTTACTTTTGAATCTTAAAGTACAATTCAGAGTTTTAATTTACGAATAAATTAATGATTTTAAAAATATTCAGTCAAATTTTTAAAACTTTTGATAAGAGAAATATCTCTTTGTTTAAATTTTTGAAGAATTGCATGCAAAAGGGTACCGAAAAAGTTGTTACTTTTACATTACTAGATCTTCGTAGAAACAGTGTGTCTGTAGGTATTTGTTTAAAATTCTAATTCTTCAGTAAATGTAAATGTATAGTTAAATTGTTAAATTGTTAAATTGTTAAATTGGTAAATTGGTAAATTGGTAAATTGGTAAATTGGTAAATTCATATAGAGAAACGAATTGGGAAAGAGTTGTGGGTATATTGAGATACCCGTAATTTTAGATGACCTTACTGATCATTCAATTTTGAACAACCTACGTAAAATTGTACGTGAAGAAAAAAGTATGTTTCACTTCAAGTTGAAAGATGGAAGACGATAAGCGCTTTACAGATTACACTGCCACAGTATCGTAGGGTGTGAGGAGTCCCCCGTGACTACTGAGGGCGGCGTTGGTTTGCCTGGAGGGTGCTTCGTTTCTGCAAAAGGTTAAAATGATTTACAAAACAATTCAATATAACCTTTATTGTATGCTAAAACTATACAAGTTTAATTACAAATTTATTTATACAATTATTGGAATATATTCCAAATAGGGCTGCACACGTGACCAATAAGGCAGTAATTTTGTCAGTAAATTAAAAAGCAAATTCAGATACAGCAAAAGTACAGATTTACTCGTGAATACTTTCGCATAAAATTTAAGGGAGGTACATCAATTGCTCTCTAAATTTGAATTAGTAAAAATGTTTACTAATTTTAATTAGTGACTGACTTTTTGCTTTAGAATTAGTCAATTTTACTAATAAATTAATAGAAATTACTATTTACTAGTAAAATTTACTAATTTAAAAGCAAAAAGTCAGTTACTAATTCAAATTAGTAAACATTTTTACTAATTCAAATTTAGAGAGTGTAACTTTCAAACAAACGATTATTTTTTTTGTATTTTCTTTTAAATTATTAGGGTTGCCACAAAAATTTAATTTCGGTTTTCCCCGACTTTTCCCTGATTTCGAGACAAAATTTTTGCTATTTCCCTGACCCTAAAGAATAATAATAAATGATATAAAAATATTATTGCAAAACATGATGAAATGGATCACTCAGAGTTGATTTTTTCATGTTTTATAATAATTAAAGATGACCGAGTGATAAAATCATTATTTTCATCATTTCAATTCAATTATTATTTTCTATGCAATTTTTAAATAAAACTCTTCTTTAAATCAATTACTTTTAATAAGTTTTTCTTGAGAATTTTCAAATCTATTTGTTTACAATTCAATTTTACGAAATTTTGAAATTTCGATTATTCGGAAATTCTTCAATTAAATATACATTAGAAAATAAAAAATTGAAATTAATTTAAAAAAATTTTAATTAAGCTTTTTGAAGAAAATTAGTTCCATAGAATTTTTAATTAAAAGTAGGCATGAAAAATTCATATTGTCAAAGATTTTAATTTGAAACCTTTACAAAATTCAATTAATTTCTAAAAATTGCAATTATTAGTAAATTCTCAAAAATTCCATTATTATGTAAAACTTTAACTGAAATCAATTTTTAAATCAATTTTTATTAGAAAATTCAACGAGAATTCAGTTATTTAAATATGTACAAACATAGATAATTTATTGAATAATTGAATGTTTCTTAAAATTGAATTCTTATTGAATTTAATAAAATTTAAATTTACCAACAAATTTTTAAATAATTGAATCTAGAATTTTATCAAAATTTTTGTTTCATAATTGAATTTTTGTGGGAAATTTTATTAAAATAGTAGAATATTGAAAATCATTAAATTAACTATTAAGAAAAATTTTCAAAATAATTGAAATCTTGACATGAATTTTATTACAATTTTTGAAAATGGAAATATATTACTTTTGAAAATAATATAATTTCGCAATGAATTTTATTAAAATTCCCGAAAATATTTGAATTTTGTCGAAGAATTTTGTTATTCATTTATAAAGATAATTGAAATGTTGACTACAATTTTTTTTTAGATTTTTTGAAAATAATTGGATTTCTGCGAAGAATTTTATTAATTTTGAAAATAATTGAATTCATAAGATAAATATTATTTATGAGAATAGGGACGCATGATTATTCCCCAAATGTCATTTTTCCGAAATGTCATTTTACCGAACTGCACTTTTGCGAATAGTCATTTTTGCAAAAAGCCATTTTTGCGAAATGTCATTTTTACGAATAGTCATTTTTGCAAGAAGCCGCTTTTGCAAATAGTAATTTTTGCGAAAAATCATTTTTATGAATTTTCATTTTTGCGAATCGCCATTTTTACGAATTGTCACGTTTGCGAATTGACATTTTTACGAATCGCCATTTTTACAAATTGTCATTTTTGCGAATAGCCATTTTTACGAAATTTCATTTTTGCGAATAGCCATTTTTGCGAAAAGTAATTTTTACGAATTGTCGTTTTTGCGAATTGTCATTTTTGCGAAATTTCATTTTTGAGAAATGTCATTTATGCGAATTGTCACTTTTGCGAATCGCCATTTTTACGAATTGTCACTTTTCCGAAAAGTCATTTTTGCGAATTGTCATTTTTGCGAAAAATACAATAGTGAATCTATATATACCTACAAGTTTACTTTTGTATTTTTCGCAAAAATGACAATTCGCAAAAATGACTTTTCGGAAAAGTGACAATTCGTAAAAATGGTGATTCGCAAAAGTGACAATTCGCAAAAATGAAAATTCGTAAAAATGACTTTTCGCAAAAATGACAATTCGTAAAAGTGCAGTTCGGTAAAATGACATTTCGGAAAAATGACATTTTGGGAATAATCATGCGTCCCTTATAAGGATAATTAAAATGTTGACGAGAATTTAAAAAAAAATTTTTGAAAATAATTGAATTTCTGGAAAGAATTTTGATATTTATTAAGAAATTAATTAGTAATAACTTTATGGCAGTTCTTGAATAGAATTAAGATATTTAAAATAAATTATTGTCAGAAATAGGAAAAATTGAAAGTTTTGTATTAGAGCTCGTGGTTATTTCATAGTTTATGAGGCAAACAAAAAGCCACACAAATTTAGAATTTTCTTATAAATTCTAAAGATTTATTTTTTTCCAGTACTTTAAATAAAAATTCCTGACTTTTCCCTGAATTCCCTGACCTGTGGCAACCCTGATTATGATTTCAAAGGTGTGTATCTGCGTAAATTAGTCCAGACCAGGCGGCAGCACACTATACGATGGGTGTTTTTCTCAAAATGACATTTTTAAAGATTTTGCCAATTACTCAAAAACCATTAAAACGATTTATTTGAAATTTAGTATAAAATATAAATGTAGTTTCTAATCGAAGGATTTTTTTTTAAATCCTTCGTTTGGAAACTAAATAATTTGATAATAAATGTAAATCAGTTTCATTTTTGCAGTTCAGACCAATATTCCAGGAGCTAGCGACGAAATCGATTTTCTCATTTCATACCATTTCGTACTTATGGCGAATATTTTGTAATTTTTTTTATCAATATTGTCGATTTAAAATAAAAGAGTCGCTGGCTCCAGAACTAAAACCAGTTTGACCTAGAGGGTTGAGTTTTGGTATACTTACGTATTTTTATGCCTAGATTACCCGAAAATGTAACAAACTATGTAAGATTAGATTGAATGCCTAGCAAGAAAAGTATTTTTCAGAGACATTTTGCATTTTTCTTGTTCCTAGAAGAAGCAGTGATTTAAATTCAGAAAATACACTGAATTAAATATAATGAAAATTAATTAACATTTTGCATTAATCCTCTTTAATATTACGTTTTACTTTATTGATGTTAATTATTTTTTATTAGATTTTATTGACTTTAATTACTGCTCTTCAAACAACACTTTTTCCAGGAAATTTTTGACAGTTAACTCCTTTTCACTATTATGCATATTATATGGTAAATACAGTCATGATGAGAACTCGGATGAGACAATGAAGTACTGTTGAAAACCTCCCAAAATATGGTTTGAAATTGGAGAGACATAGAATTATTGGGACTTCTACATTTAAAAAGTTTATTGTTGAGGTAAAACTATTCTTATTCTTTTTATAGTTTTAAATAAATTTATGTGAAGCAGTCAACCCAAAATTTCTAATTGAAAAATTTCTATTTTTAAAATGCTGCTATTTCCATTCAAATTTGTAAAATGAAATAATTATGGCACATTTTGGTAGTAAATTTAATTGTCTTTTATTTGGTGAATTCTAATTTTTAAATTGCATTAATTTACATTAAAAGTACTACAAACGAAAGTTTTAAGTTTAATTTTGAAAACTTTCGACCATTTAAAAAAAATTTCAAAAATGTATTAAAAAATAGTTTAATAGCTTTAAAACCATAAAAGATGCCATTCTGATCTTTGGCAAAAAAATTATAAATAAAATTATAATCTAAACCATTTTTAAGCCATTTTTTAAAATTTTTTAAATAGTCGAAGTTCTTTAAAATTTAACTTAAAACTTTCGATTTTACTATTTTGAATAAAAGTTACCTAATCCAATTTTAAAACTAAAATTCACGAAATTAAAGACAATAAAATTTACTATACAAAAGTGACATAATCTTTTTTATTTATGCCTTTTTATGAAAATAGCAGTATTTTAAAAATACAGTCTTTTTCACTAGAAATTTCAGGTTGAATGTTTCGTTTAAAATGCCTCAAATATTTCCTTGATACCTATAATAGCTAAATAATTAATTTTTTAAATCAAATAAATTTTTTTCAATGCATGATTCATAGTGCTTTACAGATAATATGATGTGATAGGTACATTTCTATTGTTGTAGGGTTTTTTCTGAATTTAAATTAGAAACAAATTATTAAATAGCAGTTCCGAAATGAATTTTTTTTCCCTGGATATTAGGTATAAAAAACCAAAAAAATTATTTAAAAATAAAAAAGTATTACAATTAATTTCATTTTACCTGAAACATCGCTAAATGACAACAATGACAACAATGACAATGAAAGAATTATAACATATCCTTATTAATAAAATCAGACTTTTGTCTGTACATTGCATAGAATTCAAAATTTCTATTATATTCCTTCTTTTTACACTCTAAGGAATGCGAAAATACTATTAAGAAAATTATGTGTGTATGTGTATATGTGTGTATGTGTGTATGTGTGTATGTGTGTATGTATGTCCGCAAATTTTCGACCGCGTATCACGGAAAAACGGTTCGATCGTTTGAAGTGAAACTTGGCAGTCTTTTAGGCATTAGCCTAACTTAAAATCCTAGCGATAGTAGATTAAAAAATATTAATATGGACGAAAGTTATGCCATTTTTTCAAAAATTCGAAAATTCGAAATTTTTAGTTTTTTCATATACTTTAGTGAATTGTACTTAAACTTGGTACAGGGTTAATTTTAGTGTTTCTTATTAAGATTCAATCGTCAGAATAATAAAATTTTGAATAACAAATAAAAAGTGTTAGAT